CAGTGGTGAGCTGTCCGTGTCACCATCCAGCCCAGTGGTGAGCTGTCCGTGTCACCACCCAGCCCAGTGGTGAGCTGTCCATGTCACCACCCAGCCCAGTGGTGAGCTGTCCGTGTCACCACCCCGCCCAGTGGTGAGCTGTCCATGTCACCATCCCGCCCCGTGGTGAGCTGTGGTGAGCTGTCCATGTCACCACCTCGCCCTGTGGTGAGCTGTCCATGTCACCACCCAGCCCAGTGGTAGCTGTCCGTGTCACCACCCAGCCCAGTGGTGAGCTGTCCGTGTCACCATCCAGCCCAGTGGTGAGCTGTCCGTGTCACCACCCAGCCCAGTGGTGAGCTGTCCATGTCACCACCCAGCCCAGTGGTGAGCTGTCCGTGTCACCATCCAGCCCAGTGGTGAGCTGTCTATGTCACCACCCCGCCCAGTGGTGAGCTGTGGTGAGCTGTCCATGTCACCACCCCACCCAGTGGTGAGCTGTCCATGTCACCACCCCACCCAGTGGTGAGCTGTCCGTGTCACCACCCCGCCCAGTGGTGAGCTGTGGTGAGCTGTCCATGTCACCACCCCACCCAGTGGTGAGCTGTCCATGTCACCACCCCACCCAGTGGTGAGCTGTCCGTGTCACCACCCCGCCCAGTGGTGAGCTGTGGTGAGCTGTCCATGTCACCACCCCACCCAGTGGTGAGCTGTCCATGTCACCACCCCGCCCAGTGGTGAGCTGTCCATGTCACCACCCCGCCCAGTGGTGAGCTGTGGTGAGCTGTCCATGTCACCACCCCACCCAGTGGTGAGCTGTCCGTGTCACCACCCCGCCCAGTGGTGAGCTGTGGTGAGCTGTCCATGTCACCACCCCACCCAGTGGTGAGCTGTCCGTGTCACCACCCCGCCCAGTGGTGAGCTGTGGTGAGCTGTCCATGTCACCACCCCACCCAGTGGTGAGCTGTCCATGTCACCACCCAGCCCAGTGGTGAGCTGTCCATGTCACCACCCCGCCCAGTGGTGAGCTGTCCATTCTTCTATACCCGACATTGGTACCATGTCACGATGACAGTCTGGCCTTGTACGACAGTGGACGAGTGGGGCGTGGCTTAGTGGGACAGTGAACTAGTGGGGCATGGCTTAGTGGGACAGTGAACTAGTGGGGCGTGGCTTAGTGGGACAGCGAACTAGTGAGGCGTGGCCTAGTGGGACAGTGGAGTAGTGTGGTGGGGCGTGGCTTAGTGGGATAGTGAACTTGTGGGGCGTGGCTTAGTGGGACAGCGAACAAGTGGGGCGTGGCTTAGTGGGACAGCGAACTAGTGGGGCGTGGCTTAGTGGGACAGTGGAGTAGTGTGGTGGGGCGTGGCCTAGTGGGATAGTGAACTAATGGGGCGTGGCTTAGTGGGACAGCGAACTAGTGGGGCGTGGCTTAGTGGGACAGCGAACTAGTGGGGCGTGGCTTAGTGGGACAGTGAACTAGTGGGGCGTGGCCTAGTGGGACAGCGAACTAGTGGGGCGTGGCTTAGTGGGACAGTGAACTAGTGGGGCGTGGCCCATGGGGATAGTGAACTTGTGGGGCGTGGCTTAGTGGGACAGTGAACTAGTGGGGCGTGGGATAGTGAACTAGTGGGGCGTGGCCTAGTGGGACAGTGAACCAGTGGGGCGTGACATATCCACCTGACTGCTCACATGAGTACTTAAGCCGGAATAAATATTGTATTCCCATGTAGCCGGTCAGAAGCCGGCGCGCGTGTTTTATTGCACTCACCGGCCCCCCGATCCTTACCGCTTGACTGGCTATCAGGTGCACACAGTAAAACTTTGAGCTGGTCATAATTGTTCATTTGTGGCGCAGCCCGAATAATTGATGGCTCAAAATCTTTAGACTGTCGGGACAATGGCCTGCTACTTATCTATTGGTTCTGTGAGGGAAGAAATAAAACTAATGGTTCGAGACCCCCCCCCCCTCACAGCACTCACAGAAGTTGTAGCAGTTTCAGTGTTTCTTCCGGACTTTTTTCTCCGGGGGGGGGGGGGGGGGAGGGGGAGGGCACTTGAAATTTTCGGGGGGGGGGGGGGGCGGACACTGTTAAAAGTATATATTTTCTATATAAATTATATAATTTCATTCCGTTCGGGGGGGGGGGGGGGGCAGCCCCCCCCCCCCGCCCCCGAAGAGATGTCTGGAAGATACTCTGAGCAGGTTAGTGTGGAGTAAGATGTGTGGTGTGTGTTATATTGTGTAGTGTGTTGTGTGTGCGATGTGTGTGATGTGTGGTGTGTTACATTGTGTAGTGTGTTATGTGTGCGATGTGTGTGATGTGTGGTGTGTGTTATATTGTGTAGTGTGTTATGTGTGCGATGTGTGTGATGTGTGGTGTGTGTTATATTGTGTAGTGTGTTATGTGTGCGATGTGTGTGATGTGTGGTGTGTGTTATATTGTGTAGTGTGTTATGTGTGCGATGTGTGTGATGTGTGGTGTGTGTTATATTGTGTAGTGTGTTATGTGTGCGATGTGTGTGATGTGTGGTGTGTGTTATATTGTGTAGTGTGTTATGTGTGCGATGTGTGTGATGTGTGGTGTGTGTTATATTGTGTAGTGTGTTATGTGTGCGATGTGTGTGATGTGTGGTGTGTGTTATATTGTGTAGTGTGTTATGTGTGCGATGTGTGTGATGTGTGGTGTGTGTTATATTGTGTAGTGTGTTATGTGTGCGATGTGTGTGATGTGTGGTGTGTGTTATATTGTGTAGTGTGTTATGTGTGCGATGTGTGTGATGTGTGGTGTGTGTTATATTGTGTAGTGTGTTATGTGTGCGATGTGTGTGATGTGTGGTGTGTGTTATATTGTGTAGTGTGTTATGTGTGCGATGTGTGTGATGTGTGGTGTGTGTTATATTGTGTAGTGTGTTATGTGTGCGATGTGTATCAAAACGTGTCCACGTCAAGTTTTGTGTTCGCGCTGTTCCCCATTTAGCGCGGGTTCGTAATCGGCGCGGCACAAAAAAAAAAAAAAAAAAAAAAAAAAAAAAAAAAAAAAAACCCACAGAAATAAAGGTATCAGTGGCAACATCAGCGCGTGGCTACTACATGGTAAGCACAAGGACATATGGACCCTATGAACATAAGGGTCATATGGAATTAAGGATAATATGGAATTAAAGGTCATATAGACGTAAGGATCATATGGACACTCATTCATTTGGTGAGATAAAACACCAGTTGCTAATGGATGAAGGATACCCGTTGCCCGTTGGACACATGTCATTGGCAGAGGACATTGTAATGGACCTACCATAGCAAGATGTTCACAGTTAAGGTAGAGGACATTGTAATGGACCTACCATAGCAAGATGTTCACAGTTAAGGTAGAGGACATTGTAATGGACCTACCATAGCAAGATGTTCACAGTTAAGGTAGAGGACATTGTAATGGACTTACCATAGCAACGTGGTCATTGATAAAATAATTAGTTGTAAGATTAATTAATGCACCAGAATAATTTGGTTTACTGTCATGGTTCTTGTATTGTATTTATATCATCTCCCCATCTCTAGTACATGATTTTATTTGGATTACGTCCCTTGCATTGCACATGTTTTCTCACTAAAGTATTATGTGTCCTCAGTAGCGTAGCGAGGGGGGGGGGCGGGACATATGTCCCCGGGCGCCGACCTTAGGGGGGGGGGGGGCGCCAAATTGAAAGTTTGAAGGGGGGGGGGGCGCCAAATTGAAAGTTTGAAGGGGGGGGGGGGTGCAAATGAAAAGTTCGAGGGGGATGCAAATCGAAAGTTTGAGGGGGGGGGGTGCAAATGAAAAGTTCGAGGGGGGGGGGGTGCAAATCGAAAATTTGCTCCCAAGGGGGTGCCAAATTGAAAGTATGTCCCCGGGCGCCGGGAAGGGTCGCTACGCCTCTGTGTGTCCTTGGTTGTGTGAAATGCTTGATGTTGTTTTAGCAAACATCTCAAATATATTAGGACTAGGACAACATTTTAGGCATGAATTTATACTCATTGTTTAATACACCTTGTTTTAACCATTTTTATTGCTTTTGTATATAACACAATCATACTTCAGCTAAAAAAAATTAAAGATTCCCTCCCCCCGGTCCTTCTGCTCGGGAGGGGGGGGGGGGCGATTCCAGGCTTTTGTGGGGAGCTAGAAAGTGTGATAACACTTTGTTTCTTTTCCCTAGGCCTAGGATAGATAACCAGGCTAGGTCAATTTTGCGGAAAATATTAGTTGAGTTGTTTCCCTTTGCATGTTTATGCCAACGTAATTATTTCTGTTACATACAACAAGACTAAACCCGGTACTCTTAATTAATCTGATCTATATAACAAAACTGTCTTCACATTTGAGTTTACCAACGTAATGTTTTCAGTCGTCAAAGAGGCAATAGATTTCTCTACAGGCCCCTCATTAAAAATAGCAATATAAAACTACCATAAAAAATCTCCTTAAGAATAGTCAGACATGGAGAGTCTACCGCTCCTCCGCCCGAATGAAATGGAATGTATATAGAAAATATGTACTTTTAACAGTGTCCGCTCCCCCCTCCCCCCCGAAAAAAAAGTCTTTGAGAAACTGGTGATAGTGTGTATATTGTGGATAGGCCTACATGACCCTTGGCCTTTAATCAGTGTCCAACCCCCCCCCCCCCCCCCGTAATTTTCAGTTTCCTCCCTCCCCCCCCAACCAGGAGAAAAACGAATGCAAAAAACCCTGTGCGTAAAAATATATATACTATATACAACAATTGACAACATCATATTACATATGCTTTGCTAGTAGCCTATTTTAAACAACAGTAATAATTATAAATTGGCTTTTTCTACACTAATTTATAATGATTTGTTTTATAAGTAGATCTATATTAGATGTAGATTCCTCTAGCTCTAGTTATATTTCTAAAATAAGTGAGTGTAGTTAAAGAATAGAGAAACAGTATTATTTTAGAAGTGTCAGCTTCTTCGGTACTTCAATATCTACGGCTTCCGTTATCATTTACTCCGTTCCTACATTAATGGCAGCGTCCATAGTTCTTTGATCTACCGGTTTTATTTAAGGCTTACGTGGACAAACGAAATGGAAGGTATAAACTGAACTACGCTTTTAATTGTTATGTATGTGATAAATGGTTTTCTTTTTAAACTCTTACGTTTATCTAGTAAATAAATCTTAACAAAAGGGAAAAAGGGGAGATCAAACAAAATAAATTAAATAAACTCTCAAAAACTGTTACTGGCTACTGGGCACTGGGCCTAACTACTCTATTAATAAATTTAATAATATTATTAGGCCTATTGGGAAATTTTTCCTAATTATCATAGAATGATAAAATGGACCCAGATTAATCCTATAATATACCCCATTGATAAAAATATCAAATTTATCATTCTAGGCCTAATAGTTTTTTTTATAAGAATTTTCAAAGTTATGTGTTTAACTTGTTTGTTATGTTTCATTGTAACCTGCATTCCAGACGTGTGATTGGTTTTAAACTTGCATACCAATGTTGCTATTAAAGATATAATGATAAAACTTTGCACATTTGTACTCAATGATATAGGCAATAGAATTCTACAAATAAAATAAAAATTAGAAAAGAGGTAACTAGAAATAATGTAGTTAAATTAAGGGGTGTGGCACTGTTCTATAGTGACTGCCATAAGAGGATTTCCAGACTGCACAGCTAGGTTGCTATTCCATATACCATCATGAAACTTTAAATATTAGGACTAGAGAATGTAAAAAATACAAACATGCAAGTAAAATAAACATAGCTAGAGGAAAACTATAAATAGTGAACTTGAATATGGTACAGCGCAATTAGACTATGATGATTAACTACAGGCTAATATGTTGCACTCCTTTGTTGCTACTATAAAAATAAAGATTAAACTTTACATATTGATTCTGGTGTTAGTAATAAGAATGCTAGTATACATATTGTACAGGTAATGTATAGAGTTAGAACTTACAAGTCAAATACAGCACAATATGATCAAGATACTTAACGATTTGCCATAAATATTGGATTTGTGTCCGTGTATAACATGGTAAAAATGTTATTATTAATTTAGAAAATTTTGGTTCTTGTAATGTTTCTGATGAAAAGTGTTGAGGTGTGCTAAAACTCAAAGATTGACATTTCACAGTATTCTTATTTATAAAATGTTTAGTGAAGTTGACGTATCTTTGATAAATTCTTAAATGACATTAATTAAAGTGTTCATGTTTTCTGTCTATTATAGTTGCCTATAACTAAAACTGTAATGCAGTGCAGCTTATAAAATTGGGCATTATTATTTTTAATTTAGGCCCTTTATAGTACTTTATAGATCTAGATACTACAGATAGGCCTGTCAGTATTATTTACATTAAGGCCTAATAGTTTATATATATAGGCCTATATATATATATATTATTACACATCTCTAGACCCATTATTGTTTTCATTTCCATTTAGATCTAGATTCTATTTTTTTAAAACTGTTTACAATAAATATAGATTTTTTCTACTTGAAAATGCCTTTATAATCTATTTATCTGCAATTCGTTAATGCTAGTTTGCTAGATCTAGTTAACCTGGTATATTAAGAAGGTTAATAAAAATCTGGCTAATTTAAAATTTTATAATTTATTTAGGCAGTAATTAGGCCTAATTACATTCTTTCCATTTTTAATCTAATAATTTAGATCTACAGTATATTTATTTTAAAGCCCATGTTATTGTAACAGTCCATTTAAAAACAAACAGCTATTAAAAAACATTGTATGCGCATATCTATTAATATCTCGTAACCCGGCCGCCATTATGAAATTACGCACGCTTTCTCGTTCCTACCCCTACGAGTTTTATCGCGCTACTCCTCATTGGCCCGTGCTTAAAAACCCTTCAAATCGACATTTCTATTTATCCAAATGGTTGGCATGCTATTTAAGCCTATTTTCATGCAACTTAAAGGATTATTTATATGTGAAATTTAGTTGTCAATGCGCCAGTTCGGTAGCGCCGGCATTTCGACAAATATTTGCTATTATCGGTGATCGCTTTCGGTATCGGACAATGTAAAACGGGAGCTAATTCATTTATTAGTATGTATAAAAGATGAAATTCATTTCAAATATTCACATCGAATACATTTTATTCTTCGATACCGATGGCGAGAATTAACATGTTAAAAAATGGCGAATTTCAACTAGTACGATGAAAAAGTCAGGATGTGGTCGTACCGAATCGAAACAGCGGAAGTCGAAATGCCTAAATATTATTATTAATATTAACTAACTAACAAATTTGTAAATCATAAATGATAAATCAATTAATAAATAGATCTAATAGGCATAGGCCCCTACGGCCTAAATGTCATTAAATGATAAAAATGTAGATCTAGATCAGTGGTTCCCAACCTTTTTCGAGTGGCGACCCCCTTTTATAAAAAGTAAGTGACCCGCGACCCCCATAGAATTAAAAAGCCAAAATTAGTATGGAAATTAATAAGCACTAAAATAAGATTTTCTAGTAGACTTTCAATATGAACTACTCTTGATAACTATTTTAATAGCATGAGTAAAATTGCATACTATTCACTAAACCTTCGTGGTTAAGTTTTTAATTAAACAAATTTTTTGTTAACGCCAACCTATGTCATTATAATTATCTTAATTTTGTTTTTAATCGAAGAATAGTGTTGAAAATATATTCTCGAAAAGTCAATCAATTTTACGTTTGGGTATGAATGGTGAATACTACACCAAAATTGTGTCTGCAGTTTTTCATCTTACTCGGAATCATTCTGCAAATTAAATAATTCATCTTGTAATTCATCGGGAATGCAGGCAACATCAAGGGAAGAAGAGAATGGGTAATTCGTAAATGCAGATTCTTCTTTTTTCAGCTCAGAGAAATAGCGATGCAGTTTGTTTTCAAGAGATTCAAGATGCCCAGAAATCGCTTCTTTCAAAATTTTAATTATCTCACAGTCAGATCCATCTACCACAACTCAGAGTTTCTCAAATTTACAATATTTCCAAGATTTATTTTCTTTACGGATTTTGCAGCTTTGATAAAAATGCCCCGAGATTATCATGGAAAGTTATAATATTCGTTCATTTTCCCTAAAGCCTCAGGTTAAGCTTATCTTGATGTTCAAACACATCTGCTAGGTATGATGCTCTCTCCAACCACTCTATGACGTTTTAAGTATACCAAAAAGTCTTGTTTCCTTTGCACTTCCAAGAGCAATTTGATTTCAGATTTCAATTCAAAAACACAATTTACATCATTTCGTTTGACAGCCAGCGTATTGTAGTGTAGAAGAGCAGAACCTCGTGATCTATATTAATGTTTTTGCTCAGTTCTTTGAAGGCTCCAGATTTTATATAATTTACGACTTATACTAGACTAGCAATGGACACTTGATGTCGATTGGTTAGGGCAGTGGTTAGGGAGCTAAATCTTTTCTGTTTTCTGAAAGCCCTATTTTGAGCTAAACATAGATGGCGCACCATCCGTACAAACTCCCACAGCCGTTCTAACCCATTTTAGTCATCCAGTTTCAAAAAAGGTATTTATTTTCTCCATGCTATCTTCACAAAAGAGCAACTCTTCTTTGCTATCATCCGCATGAATATAGACACAGACTAGCAACTGCGAACACGAACTCACGTCTGTTGATTTATCAACTTGAAAAGCAAACAGTGGTGAAAGCTTAATTTCGATAAAAATGTGTTATTTAATATTCACGTACATGCAGCGTTTGATGTGATTTTCTCCTATTATTTTTTTTTTTTTTTTTTTTTTTTTTTGCTTGGCATTTTTTATCGCGACTTCATTTGATGCTTGCACTAATGCTGGTGAAAACTTCCTGTTCGATCAAGTCTCTGGCGTTTGCAATTTGCGACTAGCTTCTTACCGACGAAAAAACTCCATATAATTTTTGGTTTGTTCCAAATGACTCGTCTCAAATGGCGTTTTAGTTTTGAAGATTTCATAGATTCGTGACTGAGAACAACTTTGTACAGTGCGCTTTGTTTCTCCTCTGCAACATTTCCAGTGATGTTAATGAAGCCGAATTTCAAAAATTCTTCTAAATATTTATGTTTTGTTTCAAATTACTAAGGTTTAGTATACTAGTTGGCGACCCCCCAGAAAGACCTTCGCGACCCCCAGGGGGGTCGCGACCCCCAGGTTGGGAACCCGTGATCTAGATCTTGGAATCTAGGCTAACTTAAGACTTTAGCCTACTATTTTTAAAATAAAACAAACTAGTCTTAAACTTAAATCTAGATTTAGATCAGCCCTTAGGCCCTAAGCTAAAGTGTTAAACTTAAACTTCTTAAACTACTCAATAAACTTAGGGTGGGGGGGCAGTAATCATGTTTTGTAATGTTTGATTGATGAATAATGAATAGTCAAATAGGCCTAATAAATAACCATACGGCCGATTCTAATGGAGAGAAACTACAACTTGCGTTCGCGGCGATGTTTTCTATTGTACTCCGCATGTGTGTGTTTACAACCCCAGAGCGAGCCCTAACCCTAGCCATAGGTCACTGCACATGCGCAGAACTATCTTTTGCCGACCAGGTGGAGACGCTGGGGCGAAAAATCTTTTTCTGAGTAGTCACTTTGTAAATAATATAATTAAGGTTATGAAGTGACTAATCAGAAGAAACTTCTTCCCCCCAGCATTAGTCTGACTGGCAGAAGATAAAAAATTCAATGATCTGAATTAGATATTCTTGCTAAATCTAAAATTGACTAAATTTTCAATTTAAAAATAAAAAATGACCATTGAATAATAGACATCCATATTTAATTCATTTGGCACTAATTTTGAAATTTTTAGTTAGTTTTAAACTAAATTACTCAAATTAATATTTATTGTCACTCATTGCCATGGCACGACACACCTTTCCATTGCAACCATGTTATATCATTTTTAATTTTTACGTTTGAAGCCACAGCAAACCACAGACTTTTTCACTGGCTATTTTTTATGCACTAGAGTTCCTTACTAGTGATCAACCAAAAAACAAAAAAAATTGGTTGTTATATGAGCGCTGGTCTTATAAAAAAACAGCACACAATATTTGATTTCTTTTTTCATAGACTGATATAGACCATACCCACCTACCTGGCCTACTGTCTAAATATAAATTTGAAGCCAAAGCTAATTTTGAGACTGAAATTATTTGAAACAATTGGCGTATTTATTTTGTTATATTTATTTTGTCGCAATATTTGCAAACATGAATCTAAATATATTTATTCCATCTATTGTATAATGAGCTTCTGTTTTTTTTCTAGTCCCATTATATTTGCTTGGTGTGTTGCTCTTGTGTGTCCTACCCAGCAATGCCAAACAGAAACCAATCAACATTGCTTTGTCAGCCAAGTGGAACTCTACTTCCTTACTACTTGAAACAAGGTCAGTTCAATGCATGCAGTTGTAGACAAATGCCTCAGTTGCTGTAGATGATATTCTCATTCAATGTATCAGGACCCAATAAGTAGTGGCCTGGTTTGCTAGTAGATGTAGTGATAGTTAACAAGTTGAGTCTATCAGGACCCAATAAGTAGTGGCCTGGTTTGCTAGTAGATGTAGTGATAGTTAACAAGTTGAGTCTATCAGGACCCAATAAGTAGTGGCCTGGTTTGCTAGTAGATGTAGTGATAGTTAACAAGTTGAGTCTATCAGGACCCAATAAGTAGTGGCCTGGTTTGCTAGTAGATGTAGTGATAGTTAACAAGTTGAGTCTATCAGGACCCAATAAGTAGTGGCCTGGTTTGCTAGTAGATGTAGTGATAGTTAACAAGTTGAGTCTATCAGGACCCAATAAGTAGTGGCCTGGTTTGCTAGTAGATGTAGTGATAGTTAACAAGTTGAGTCTATCAGGACCCAATAAGTATTGGCCTGGTTTGCTAGTAGATGTAGTGATAGTTAACAAGTTGAGTCTATCAGGACCCAATAAGTAGTGGCCTGGTTTGTTAGTAGATGTAGTGATAGTTAACAAGTTGAGTCTATCAGGACCCAATAAGTAGTGGCCTGGTTTGCTAGTAGATGTAGTGATAGTTAACAAGTTGAAGCTATCAGGACCCAATAAGTAGTGGCCTGGTTTGCTAGTAGATGTAGTGATAGTTAACAAGTTGAGTCTATCAGGACCCAATAAGTAGTGGCCTGGTTTGATAGTAGATGTAGTGATAGTTAACAAGTTGAGTCTATCAGGACCCAATAAGTAGTGGCCTGGTTTGATAGTAGATGTAGTGATAGTTAACAAGTTGAGATCAACAACCTGAGTCCATCCAGCTCTGGTGGGTACCTGACTCAAGAAAAGCTAGGAACATGCCAACTCTACTTCATCATGTTGCCAATTGGCCGTTAGGTCAGGAAAGTCAGCCTTACTAGAACATACATGAAACCAAAGCAGGCAGTCTGGCAACTCTAGCACACAAATAGTGCGGTTCACACTTGCAACTCTAACATACAAATAGTGCGGTTCACACTTGCAACTATAGCACACAAATAGTGTGGTTCACACTTGCAACTCTAGCATACAAATAGTGTGGTTCACACTTGCAACTATAGCACACAAATAGTGTGGTTCACACTTGCAACTATAGCACACAAATAGTGTGGTTCACACTTGCAACTATAGCACACAAATAGTTTGGTTCACACTTGCAACTCTAGCATACAAATAGTGCAATTCACACTTGCAACTATAGCACACAAATAGTGTGGTTCACACTTGCAACTCTAGCACACAAATAGTGTGGTTCACACTTGCAACTATAGCACACAAATAGTGTGGTTCACACTTGCAACTATAGCACACAAATAGTGTGGTTCACACTTGCAACTCTAGCATACCAATCAAGCTGGATGTAAAACAAACAAATCAAGTAATGAGTCATGAAGTCATGAACCAACTTATCAATGCGCTTGTAGTCTTATGATTGCCCAAACAATACAGTCAAATATCTTAAGCTGGTGTCTGCCATTACTGCTAGCTGTTTTATTGGGACAGTTTTAATTTTGTGATGTCGTCTATAATTGCTTGGAAATTGCCCATTTTAACAATTATTTTATTATTTGATTTGTATAAATAAGTTTGTGTAAACTTTTTGTCTATTCTTCAGCGAGTTCTTGGCCAAAGAGTCAAATGAAAAGTTTTGGGAATTCACTGAAAAAATATCAGAACAAGAACCATCCTTTTTTCAGACTGGTAGGTTTTGTTTGATTAAAGTCAGACTGGTAGGTTTTGTTTGATTAAAGTCAGACTGGTAGATTTTGTTTGACTAAAGTAAGACTGGTAGGTTTTGTTTGACTAAAGTAAGACTGGTAGGTTTTGTTTGACTAAAGTCAGACTGGTAGGTTTTGTTTGACTAAAGTAAGACTGGTAGGTTTTGTTTGACTAAAGTAAGACTGGTAGGTTTTGTTTGACTAAAGTAAGACTGGTAGGTTTTGTTTGACTAAAGTCAGACTGGTAGGTTTTGTTTGACTAAAGTAAGACTGGTAGGTTTTGTTTGACTAAAGTAAGACTGGTAGGTTTTGTTTGACTTAAGTCAGACTGGTAGGTTTTGTTTGACTAAAGTCAGACTGGTAGGTTTTGTTTGACTTAAGTCAGACTGGTAGGTTTTGTTTGACTAAAGTAAGACTGGTAGGTTTTGTTTGACTAAAGTCAGACTGGTAGGTTTTGTTTGACTAAAGTAAGACTGGTAGGTTTTGTTTGACTAAAGTAAGACTGGTAGGTTTTGTTTGACTTAAGTCAGACTGGTAGGTTTTGTTTGACTAAAGTCAGACTGGTAGGTTTTGTTTGACTTAAGTCAGACTGGTAGGTTTTGTTTGACTTAAGTCAGACTGGTAGGTTTTGTTTGACTTAAGTCAGACTGGTAGGTTTTGTTTGACTTAAGTCAGACTGGTAGGTTTTGTTTGACTTAAGTCAGACTGGTAGGTTTTGTTTGACTAAAGTCAGACTGGTAGGTTTTGTTTGACTAAAGCTTAGACTTTGTGCTGATAGGTCCACAGTCTTGTATGATCATGTCCTATCCCCAGCTACTGATGAAATCAAGTACAAATTGGCTCAGAAATTTGCAGCAGAGCTCCTGTCACCATTGCAGCTTAGTTTTCTCAAATTCTCCTTGTCCCTGCGTGCGTTCTCACCAGCAGTTCAGATGTTTCAGCAGGTAACCAAACTTTTAACCAAACTTGTCATTATCACATGTTTCAGCAGGTAACCAAACTTTTAACCAAACTTGTCATTATCACATGTGTCAGCAGGTAACCAAACTTTTAACCAAACTTGTCATTATCACATGTGTCAGCAGGTAACCAAACTTTTAACCAAACTTGTCATTATCACATGTTTCAGCAGGTAACCAAACTTTTAACCAAACTTGTCATTATCACATGTTTCAGCAGGTAACCAAACTTTTAACCAAACTTGTCATTATCACATGTTTCAGCAGGTAACCAAACTTTTAACCAAACTTGTCATTATCACATGTTTCAGCAGGTAACCAAACTTTTAACCAAACTTGTCATTATCACATGTTTCAGCAGGTAACCAAACTTTTAACCAAACTTGTCATTATCACATGTTTCAGCAGGTAACCAAACTTTTAACCAAACTTGTCATTATCACTCTTTTCTTGCAAACCTCTCATCTCATCCTGGGCTTACCATAGAGGCTAATGATGTAATGAGTGACTTATGATGCAATGAGTACTTATTATGCAATGAGTGACTAATTATGTAATGTGTGACTAATTATGTAATGAGAGGCTAATGATGTAATGGGTGACTTATGATGTAATAAGTGACTAACAGTGTAATGATTTGCAAATGAAGTAATGATCTGCTAACGATGTTATGATCTGCTAACGATGTTATGATCTGCTAACGATGTTATGATCTGCTAACGATGTTATGATCTGCTAACCATGTAATGATCTGCTAACAATGTAATTATCTGCTAACAATGTAATTATCTGCTAACGATGTAATGATCTGCTAACGATGTAATGATCTGCTAACCATGTAATGATCTGCTAACGATGTGTTACAGCTGGCTGAACAACAGAATGTAAACAAAAACTGTCAGACAGCTGTTGATGTCAATGGTAAATTTTCCTGTGCACCGAGTGACCTTCCAGATCTTCTGGCTACAGCCTCTTCCAGGTATGGCATTCACTACACGGGTCAGTTGTGTAGATGTGCACGGGTCAGTTGTGTAGATGTGCATGGGTCAGTTGTGTAGATGTAGGCTACATGGGTCAGTTGTGTAGATGTACATGGGTCAGTTGTGTAGATGTACATGGGTCAGTTGTGTAGATGTACATGGGTCAGTTGTGTAGATGTACATAGGTCAGTTGTGTAGATGTACATGGGTCAGTTGTGTAGATGTAGGCTACATGGGTCAGTTGTGTAGATGTACATGGGTCAGTTGTGTAGATGTACGCTACATGGGTCAGTTGTGTAGATGTACATGGGTCAGTTGTGTAGATGTACATGGGTCAGTTGTGTAGATGTAGGCTACATGGGTCAGTTGTGTAGATGTACGCTACATGGGTCAGTTGTGTAGATGTACATGGGTCAGTTGTGTAGATGTGCATGGGTCAGTTGTGTAGATGTACATGGGTCAGTTGTGTAGATGTAGGCTACATGGGTCAGTTGTGTAGATGTACATGGGTCAGTTGTGTAGATGTACGCTACATGGGTCAGTTGTGTAGATGTGCATGGGTCAGTTGTGTAGATGTGTACGGGTCAGTTGTGTAGATGTACATGGGTCAGTTGTGTAGATGTGTACGGGTCAGTTGTGTAGATGTACATGGGTCAGTTGTGTACATGTACATGGGTCAGTTGTGTGATGTACATGGGTCAGTTGTGTAGATGTGCACAGGTCAGTTGTGTAGTTGTACATGGGTCAGTTGTGTGATGTACATGGGTCAGTTGTGTAGATGTACATGGGTCAGTTGTGTAGATGTACATGGGTCAGTTGTGTAGATGTACATGGGTCAGTTGTGTAGATGTACATGGGTCAGTTGTGTAGATGTACATGGGTCAGTTGTGTAGATGTACATGGGTCAGTTGTGTAGATGTAGGCTACATGGGTCAGTTGTGTAGATTTACATGGGTCAGTTGTGTAGATGTACGCTACATGGGTCAGTTGTGTAGATGTACATGGGTCAGTTGTGTAGATGTACATGGGTCAGTTGTGTAGATGTAGGCTACATGGGTCAGTTGTGTAGATGTACATGGGTCAGTTGTGTAGATGTACGCTACATGGGTCAGTTGTGTAGATGTACATGGGTCAGTTGTGTAGATGTACATGGGTCAGTTGTGTAGATGTAGGCTACATGGGTCAGTTGTGTAGATGTACATGGGTCAGTTGTGTAGATGTACATGGGTCAGTAGTGTAGATGTGCATGGGTCAGTTGTGTAGATGTGCATGGGTCAGTTGTGTAGATGTAGGCTACATGGGTCAGTTGTGTAGATGTGCACGGGTCAGTTGTGTAGATGTACATGGGTCAGTTATGTAGATGTGCATGGGTCAGTTGTGTAGATGTACATGGGTCAGTTGTGTAGATGTGCATGGGTCAGTTGTGTAGATGTAGGCTACATGGGTCAGTTGTGTAGATGTACATGGGTCAGTTGTGTAGATGTACATGGGTCAGTTGTGTAGATGTACATGGGTCAGTTATGTAGATGTGCATGGGTCAGTTGTGTAGATGTGCATGGGTCAGTTGTGTAGATGTACATGGGTCAGTTGTGTAGATGTAGGCTACATGGGTCAGTTGTGTAGATGTACATGGGTCAGTTGTGTAGATGTACATAGGTCAGTTGTGTAGATGTACATGGGTCAGTTGTGTAGATGTACATGGGTCAGTTGTGTAGATGTGCATGGGTCAGTTGTGTAGATGTACATGGGTCAGTTGTGTAGATGTAGGCTACATGGGTCAGTTGTGTATATGTGCACAGGTCAGTTGTGTAGATGTAGGCTACATGGGTCAGTTGTGTAGATGTACATGGGTCAGTTGTGTAGATGTACATGGGTCAGTTGTGTAGATGTGCATGGGTCAGTTGTGTAGATGTGTATGGGTCAGTTGTGTAGATGTACATGGGTCAGTTGTGTAGATGTACATGGGTCAGTTGTGTAGATGTGCATGGGTCAGTTGTGTAGATGTACATGGGTCAGTTGTGTAGATGTGCATGGGTCAATTGTGTAGATGTGCGCGGGTCAGTTGTGTAGATGTAGGCTACATGGGTCAGTTGTGTAGATGTGCATGGGTCAGTTGTGTAGATGTACATGGGTCAGTTGTGTAGATGTGCATGGGTCAGTTGTGTAGATGTACATGGGTCAGTTGTGTAGATGTAGGCTACATGGGTCAGTTGTGTAGATGTGCACAGGTCAGTTGTGTAGATGTGCATGGGTCAATTGTGTAGATGTGCGCGGGTCAGTTGTGTAGATGTAGGCTACATGGGTCAGTTGTGTAGATGTGTACGGGTCAGTTGTGTACATGGGTCAATTGTGTAGATGTACATGGGTCAGTTGTGTAGATGTACATGGGTCAGTTGTGTAGATGTACATGGGTCAGTTGTGTAGATGTACATGGGTCAGTTGTGTAGATGTACTCGGGTCAGTTGTGTAGATGTACATGGGTCAGTTGTGTAGATGTAGGCTACATGGGTCAGTTGTGTAGATGTACATGGGTCAGTTGTGTAGATGTACATGGGTCAGTTGTGTAGATGTGCATGGGTCAGTTGTGTAGATGTACATGGGTCAGTTGTGTAGATGTACATGGGTCAGTTGTGTAGATGTAGGCTACATGGGTCAGTTGTGTAGATGTACTCGGGTCAGTTGTGTAGATGTACATGGGTCAGTTGTGTAGATGTACATGGGTCAGTTGTGTAGATGTACATGGTTCAGTTGTGTAGATGTACATGGGTCAGTTGTGTAGATGTAGGCTACATGGGTCAGTTGTGTAGATGTGCACAGGTCAGTTGTGTAGATGTACATGGGTCAGTTGTGTAGATGTAGGCTACATGGGTCAGTTGTGTAGATGTACATGGGTCAGTTGTGTAGATGTACTCGGGTCAGTTGTGTAGATGTACATGGGTCAGTTGTGTAGATGTAGGCTACATGGGTCAGTTGTGTAGATGTACATGGGTCAGTAGTGTAGGTGTACATGGGTCAGTAGTGTAGATGTACATGGGTCAGTTGTGTAGATGTACATGGGTCAGTTGTGTAGATGTACATGGGTCAGTTGTGTAGATGTACATGGGTCAGTTGTGTAGATGTACATAGGTCAGTTGTGTAGATGTACATGGGTCAGTTGTGTAGATGTACATGGGTCAGTTGTATAGATGTGCATGGGTCAGTTGTGTAGATGTACATGGGTCAGTTGTGTAGATGTAGGCTACATGGGTCAGTTGTGTAGATGTGCACAGGTCAGTTGTGTAGATGTAGGCTACATGGGTCAGTTGTGTAGATGTGCATGGGTCAGTTGTGTAGATGTACATGGGTCAGTTGTGTAGATGTGCATGGGTCAGTTGTGTAGATGTGTATGGGTCAGTTGTGTAGATGTACATGGGTCAGTTGTGTAGATGTACATGGGTCAGTTGTGTAGATGTACATGGGTCAGTTGTGTAGATGTACATGGGTCAGTTGTGTAGATGTGCATGGGTCAGTTGTGTAGATGTGCGCGGGTCAGTTGTGTAGATGTAGGCTACATGGGTCAGTTGTGTAGATGTGCATGGGTCAGTTGTGTAGATGTACATGGGTCAGTTGTGTAGATGTGCATGGCTCAGATGTGTAGATGTACATGGGTCAGTTGTGTAGATGTAGGCTACATGGGTCAGTTGTGTAGATGTGCACAAGTCAGTTGTGTAGATGTAGGCTACATGGGTCAATTGTGTAGATGTACATGGGTCAGTTGTGTAGATGTAGGCTACATGGGTCAATTGTGTAGATGTACATGGGTCAGTTGTGTAGATGTGCATGGGTCAGTTGTGTAGATGTACATGGGTCAGTTGTGTAGATGTAGGCTACATGGGTCAGTTGTGTAGATGTACATGGGTCAGTTGTGTAGATGTACACGGGTCAGTTGTGTAGATTTACATGGGTCAGTTGTGTAGATGTAGGCTACATGGGTCAGTTGTGTAGATGTACATGGGTCAGTTGTGTAGATGTAGGCTACATGGGTCAGTTGTGTAGATGTACATGGGTCAGTTGTGTAGATGTGCACAGGTCAGTTGTGTAGTTGTACATGGGTCAGTTGTGTAGATGTGCATGGGTCAGTTGTGTAGATGTTCATGGGTCAGTTGTGTAGATGTACATGGTTCAGTTGTGTAGATGTACATGGGTCAGTTGTGTAGATGTAGGCTACATGGGTCAGTTGTGTAGATGTGCACAGGTCAGTTGTGTAGATGTACATGGGTCAGTTGTGTAGATGTAGGCTACATGGGTCAGTTGTGTAGATGTACATGGGTCAGTTGTGTAGATGTACTCGGGTCAGTTGTGTAGATGTACATGGGTCAGTTGTGTAGATGTAGGCTACATGGGTCAGTTGTGTAGATGTACATGGGTCAGTAGTGTAGGTGTACATGGGTCAGTAGTGTAGATGTACATGGGTCAGTTGTGTAGATGTACATGGGTCAGTTGTGTAGATGTACATGGGTCAGTTGTGTAGATGTACATGGGTCAGTTGTGTAGATGTACATGGGTCAGTTGTGTAGATGTGCATGGGTCAGTTGTGTAGATGTACATGGGTCAGTTGTGTAGATGTACATGGGTCAGTTGTGTAGATGTAGGATACATGGGTCAGTTGTGTAGATGTACATGGGTCAGTTGTGTAGATGTACATGGGTCAGTTGTGTAGATGTGCATGGGTCAGTTGTGTAGATGTACATGGGTCAGTTGTGTAGATGTGCATGGGTCAGTTGTGTAGATGTACATGGGTCAGTAGTGTAGATGTACATGGGTCAGTAGTGTAGATGTACATGGGTCAGTTGTGTAGATGTACATGGGTCAGTTGTGTAGATGTACGCTACATGGGTCAGTTGTGTAGATGTACATGGGTCAGTTGTGTAGATGTACATGGGTCAGTTGTGTAGATGTACATGGGTCAGTTGTGTAGATGTGCATGGGTCAGTTTTGTAGATGTACATGGGTCAGTTGTGTAGATGTGCATGGGTCAGTTGTCTAGATGTGCACGGGTCAGTTGTGTAGATGTGCATGGGTCAGTTGTGTAGATGTACGCTACATGGGTCAGTTGTGTAGATGTACATGGGTCAGTTGTGTAGATGTACATGGGTCAGTTGTGTAGATGTACATGGGTCAGTTGTGTAGATGTGCATGGGTCAGTTGTGTAGATGTGCATGGGTCAGTTGTGTAGATGTACATGGGTCAGTTGTGTAGATGTACATGGGTCAGTTGTGTAGATGAACAACGGCCACGTGTATCCCCCTACATTTGATGTACTTTCAGGGCCCCCTCTGTCCTGTACAAGTTTGACCATATCCCCCCTACATTTGATGTACTTTCAGGGCCCCCTCTGTCCTGTACAAGTTTGACCATATCCCCCTACATTTGATGTACTTTCAGGGCCCCCTCTGTCCTGTACAAGTTTGACCATATCCCCCCTACATTTGATGTACTTTCAGGGCCCCCTCTGTCCTGTACAAGTTTGTCCATATCCCCCCCTACATTTGATGTACTTTCAGGGCCCCCTCTGTCCTGTACAAGTTTGACCATATCCCCCCTTACATTTGATGTACTTTCAGGGCCCCCTCTGTCCTGTACAAGTTTGACCATATCCCCCCTTACATTTGATGTACTTTCAGGGCCCCCTCTGTCCTGTACAAGTTTGACCATATCCCCCCTTACATTTGATGTACTTTCAGGGCCCCCTCTGTCCTGTACAAGTTTGACCATATCCCCCCTTACATTTGATGTACTTTCAGGGCCCCCTCTGTCCTGTACAAGTTTGACCATATCCCCCCTACATTTGATGTACTTTCAGGGCCCCCTCTGTCCTGTACAGGTTTGACCATATCCCCCTTACATTTGTTGTACTTTCAGCGCCCCCTCTGTCCTGTACAAGTTTGACCATATCCCCCCTACATTTGATGTACTTTCAGGGCCCCCTCTGTCCTGTACAAGTTTGACCATATCCCCCTTACATTTGATGTACTTTCAGGGCCCCCTCTGTCCTGTACAAGTTTGACCATATCCCCCCTACATTTGATGTACTTTCAGGGCCCCCTCTGTCCTGTACAAGTTTGACCATATCCCCCTTACATTTGATGTACTTTCAGGGCCCCCTCTGTCCTGTACAAGTTTGACCATATCCCCCCTACATTTGATGTACTTTCAGGGCCCCCTCTGTCCTGTACAAGTTTGACCATATCCCCCCTACATTTGATGTACTTTCAGGGCCCCCTTTGTCCTGTACAAGTTTGACCATATCCCCCCTACATTTGATGTACTTTCAGGGCCCCCTCTGTCCTGTACAAGTTTGACCATATCCCCCCTACATTTGATGTACTTTCAGGGCCCCCTCTGTCCTGTACAAGTTTGACCATATCCCCCCTTACATTTGATGTACTTTCAGGGCCCCCTCTGTCCTGTACAAGTTTGACCATATCCCCCCTTACATTTGATGTACTTTCAGGGCCCCCTCTGTCCTGTACAAGTTTGACCATATCCCACCTACATTTGATGTACTTTCAGGGCCCCCTCTGTCCTGTACAGGTTTGACCATATCCCCCTTACAATTGATGTACTTTCAGGGCCCCCTCTGTCCTGTACAAGTTTGACCATATCCCCCCTTACATTTGATGTACTATCAGGGCCCCCTCTGTCCTGTACAAGTTTGACCATATCCCCCCTACATTTGATGTACTTTCAGGGCCCTCTCTGTCCTGTACAAGTTTGACCATATCCCCCCTACATTTGATGTACTTTCAGGGCCCCCTCTGTCCTGTACAAGTTTGACCATATCCCCCCCTACATTTGATGTACTTTCAGGGCCCCCTCTGTCCTGTACAAGTTTGACCATATCCCCCCTTACATTTGATGTTTTTTCAGGGCCCCCTCTGTCCTGTACAAGTTTGACCATATCCCCCCTACATTTGATGTACTTTCAGGGTCCCCTCTGTCCGGTACAAGTTTGACCATATCCCCCCTACATTTGATGTACTTTCAGGGCCCCCTCTGTCCTGTACAAGTTTGACCATATCCCCCTTACATTTGATGTACTTTCAGGGCCCCCTCTGTCCTGTACAAGTTTGACCATATCCCCCCTACATTTGATGTACTTTCAGGGCCCCCTCTGTCCTGTACAAGTTTGACCATATCCCCCCCTACATTTGATGTACTTTCAGGGCCCCCTCTGTCCTGTACAAGTTTGACCATATCCCCCCTACATTTGATGTACTTTCAGGGCCCCCTCTGTCCTGTACAAGTTTGACCATATCCCCCTTACATATGATGTACTTTCAGGGCCCCCTCTGTCCTGTACAAGTTTGACCATATCCCCCCTACATTTGATGTACTTTCAGGGCCCCCTCTGTCCTGTACAAGTTTGACCATATCCCCCCTACATTTGATGTACTTTCAGGGCCCCCTCTGTCCTGTACAAGTTTGACCATATCCCCCCTACATTTGATGTACTTTCAGGGCCCCCTCTGTCCTGTACAAGTTTGACCATATCCCCCCTACATTTGATGTACTTTCAGGGCCCCCTCTGTCCTGTACAAGTTTGACCATATCCCCCCTACATTTGATTTACTTTCAGGGCCCCCTCTGTCCTGTACAAGTTTGACCATATCCCCCTTACATTTGATGTACTTTCAGGGCCCCCTCTGTCCTGTACAAGTTTGACCATATCCCCCTTACATTTGATGTACTTTCAGGGCCCCCTCTGTCCTGTACAAGTTTGACCATATCCCCCTTACATTTGATGTACTTTCAGGGCCCCCTCTGTCCTGTACAAGTTTGACCATGTGTACCCCGGCCCAGGCAATAAGAAGGCTGTAGTTGTCCTGTACACAGAAATGGGTTCCAGTGGGTTCAAGGCCTTTCATCTAGCGCTAGTAGAGTTGGCCAAGAAAGGGGAGGTCACCTACTGCTTGAGACACTTTGTTAAGGTTAGACCACTCTTACTTCTTTAAGGTTAGATCACTCTTACTTCTTTAAGGTTAGATCACTCTTACTTCTCGAAGGTTAGATCATTCTTACTTCTTTAATTAAGGTTAGATCACTCTTACTTCTTTAAGGTTGGATCACTCTTACTTCTTTAAGGTTAGATCACTCTTACTTCTTTAAGGTTAGATCACTCTTACTTCTTTAAGGTTAGATCACTCTTACTTCTTTAAGGTTAGATCACTCTTACTTCTTTAAGGTTAGATCACTCTTACTTCTTTCTGCTCCTTCTTCATCATTTTGAAATCTCTCACTTGAAAATACAAGACATTGAATAAATAAACAACTGCTATGTCCACAGGATCCGAACCCCACCAAACTGCAGCTCTCTGGGTATGGCGTGGAGCTGGCACTCAAAAGTACTGAGTACAAGGCCAAAGATGATACTAAAGTTGAAGGTAGGGTCAGTCCAGTTGAAAGCTAGGGATTGTAAGTGATCTTTAGAGTGGTTGATTCCTGTTGAAAGCTAGGGATTGTGATATTTTGAGTGGTTGATTCCTGTTGAAAGAGATGGATTGTGATATTTTGAGTGGTTGATTCCTGTTGAAAGCTAGGGATTGTGATATTTTGAGTGGTTGATTCTTGTTGAAAGCTAGGGATTGTGATATTTAGAGTGGTTGATTCCTGTTGAAAGAGATGGATTGTGATATTTTGAGTGGTTGATTCCTGTTGAAAGCTAGGGATTGTGATATTTAGAGTGGTTGATTCCTGTTGAAAGCTAGGGATTGTGATATTTTGAGTGGTTGATTCCTGTTGAAAGAGATGGATTGTGATATTTAGAGTGGTTGATTCCTGTTGAAAGCTAGGGATTGTGATATTTAGAGTGGTTGATTCTTGTTGAAAGAGATGGATTGTGATATTTTGAGTTGTTGATTCCTGTTGAAAGCTAGGGATTGTGATATTTTGAGTTGTTGATTCCTGTTGAAAGCTAGGGATTACGAGATACTTGATGTTGCAGGTGACAGGTCTGGGTCTTCAAGTGATGATGATACTGACACAGGCGAGATTGATGGAATTGTCTTTTCTAAGCTCAAGTAGGTTTTTGTTGTTGTCTTTAAAGGTGGGGAATTTGTATGTTTTGTCCAAGGAAGGGAGGTTTTTTTTAAATTTTCATGTTGTCTCTGGGTTTTTTTTAAATTGTCTTCCTCTGATTGTCTTCCACTGATTGTCTTCCATTGATGATCCACCAGTGACCTTCACCCTGAACTCAAGTCCCAGCTGAGAGAGTTCAAGAACCATCTGATGGACTCGGCCACAGAGCTGACCCCATTTAAAGTCTGGCAGCTACAAGGTCAGTTTACTAGCGTTTGTAATCTTTTGTCTGCTGCTGTGGTTTTTTGTCTGGTGGTGTGTTGTAGTTGTAGTTATGTTTGATATTTGACTATGGGTGTTGATGGTGTGTTTATGTTAGATTATGGGTGTTGGTGGTGTGTTTATGTTAGATTATGGGTGTTGGTGGTGTGTTTATGTTAGATTATGGGTGTTGGTGGTGTGTTTATGTTAGATTATGGGTGTTGGTGGTGTGTTTATGTTAGATTATGGGTGTTGGTGGTGTGTTTATGTTAGATTATGGGTGTTGGTGGTGTGTTTATGTTAGATTATGGGTGTTGGTGGTGTGTTTATGTTAGATTATGGGTGTTGGTGGTGTGTTTATGTTAGATTATGGGTGTTGGTGGTGTGTTTATGTTAGATTATGGGTGTTGGTGGTGTGTTTATGTTATGGTGTTGGTGGTGTGTTTATGTTATGGTGTTGGTGGTGTGTTTATGTTATGGTGTTGGTGGTGTGTTTATGTTATGGTGTTGGTGGTGTGTTTATGTTATGGTGTTGGTGGTGTGTTTATGTTATGGTGTTGGTGGTGTGTTTATGCTATGGTGTTGGTGGTGTGTTTATGTTATGGTGTTGGTGGTGTGTTTATGTTATGGTGTTGGTGGTGTGTATATGTTATGGTGTTGATGGTGGGTTTATGTTAGTGTGTTGGTGGTGTGTTTATGTTATGGTGTTGGTGGTGTGTATATGTTAGTGTGTTGTTGGTGTATATCAGAGCTGTGTTGCTGTGTCTCCCACAGACCTGAGCTACCAAGCTGGTCAGAAAATTGTCTCAGCATCAGGACTGGACTGTTTACAATACCTGAGGGACATCAGTCAAAACTTCCCCACCCAGGCCAGGTCAAACTTACCCATTTTTTTTTGCCTTTTTTTATGGCATATAAAAAATTATTAATAGTTTTACATGTTTGTCATTTTAATGTATGAAGTTTAGATGGTGGAACCCCTGACTTTGTTTCATGTTTTGACCCCACATTGTACCTCATTCCCTCCTAAGCCCCTACTTCCAGTTTACAAACCCATTCCTGAACAAAGGGAAGCTACTTCGTTTTTTATAATATGTATTTAAAATAAATATTTTTTACTATCTAATCATTAATCAATTTACTATTACAAAGACCAATGCTCTCAGAAATGGACAAACTTTCAGAGAAATATAAAAATACTGCCATAACAATAAAAAACAGCAGCATAGAAAAAGGAAACTCAACAAAAATTGTTCATGTAACATTTATTCAACACAAAAATCATTGCGTGAACCACGTTTTGAAAGTGAACCAAACAAGATAAAAACGTTTTAAATTGAAATATCATGGATTCTCACTACTACGTATGTTTGACCCCATGTTTGACCCCATGTTTGACCCCATGTTTTGACCCCATGTTTGACCCCATGTTTGACCCCATGTTCTGACCCCATATTTGACCCCATGTTTTGACCCATGTTCTGACCCCATGTTTTGACCGATGTTTTGACCTGTGTTCTGACCCCATGTTTGACCCCATGTTTTGACCCCATGTTTGACCCCATGTTTTGACCCCATGTTTGACCCCATGTTTTGACCCCATGTTTTGACCCATGTTCTGACCCCATGTTTTGACCGATGTTTTGACCTGTGTTCTGACCCCATGTTTGACCCCATGTTTGACTCCCATGTTTGACCCCATGTTTTGACCCCATGTTTTGACCCCATGTTTGACCCCATGTTTTGACCCCATGTTTGACCCCATGTTTTGACCCCATGTTTGACCCCATGTTTTGACCCCATGTTTTGACCCCATGTTTTGACCCCATGTTTTGACCCCATGTTTGACCCCATGTTTTGACCCCATGTTTGACCCCATGTTCTGACCCCATGTTTTGACCCCATGTTTTGACCCCATGTTTGACCCCATGTTTGACCCCCATCATCTTCAGATCCCTGGTTAGAACAACTGTGACGAATGAATTTAAAAAAGAGGTCAAGCTCAACCAAGAGGTCAGTTATTTATAGCTCACTCATCCACATCTGGCTCACGGGATATCTTGTATCTGCTGACCTTCATGTGACTATCTTGTATCTGCTGACCTTTATGTGACTATCTTGTATCTGCTGACCTTTATGTGACTATCTTGTATCTGCTGACCTTTATGTGACTATCTTGTATCTGCTGACCTTCATGTGACTCTTGTATCTGCTGACCTTCATCTGACTATCTTGTATCTGCTGACCTTTATGTGACTATCTTGTATCTGCTGACCTTTATGTGACTATCTTGTATCTGCTGACCTTCATGTGACTCTTGTATCTGCTGACCTTCATGTGACTATCTTGTATCTGCTGACCTTTATGTGACTATCTTGTATCTGCTGACCTTTATTTGACTATCTTGTATCTGCTGACCTTTATCTGACTATCTTGTATCTGCTGACCTTCATGTGACTATCTTGTATCTGCTGACCTTTATGTGACTATCTTGTATCTGCTGACCTTTATGTGACTATCTTGTATCTGCTGACCTTTATGTGACTATCTTGTATCTGCTGACCTTCATGTGACTATCTTGTATCTGCTAACCTTCATGTGACTATCTTGTATCTGCTAACCTTCATGTGACTATCTTGTATCTGCTGACCTTCATGTGACTATCTTGTATCTGCTGACCTTCATGTGACTATCTTTAATCAAGCTCAAATGTTGTATGATATAATTGTAATCAATGTCAATGTTTGATTGTATCAAGCTCAAACGTTGTAATCTATGTCAATGTTTGATTTTATTCTAGTGTGTGATTGTCATAGTGTAGCTCCATGTGTTTGTAACCAATCCAAATAAAATATGTCCAACTTTTGTGACCCTGACCCTATCCCCAGCAATTTGAGTACCGTGGTGTTGGGGCTGGTGATTCTCTCATGTACCTCAACGGCCTGACAGTGGACCTGGAGGTGTATGACATCTTCACCCTGCTGGACCTCATGGCCTCGGAGGCCAAGCTTGTAGAGGGGCTTCATTCCCTGGGCTTCAAGGTTTGCTCGTTGGTTCATTCAATGCACATTAAGTTGACTATCCACAATAAGTTGACCATCCCCATTAAGTTGACCATCCCCATTAAGTTGACCATCCCCATTAAGTTGACCATCCCCATTAAGTTGACCATCCCCATTAAGTTGACCATCCCCATTAAGTTGACCATCCACATTAAGTTGACCATCCACATTAAGTTGACCATCCCCATTAAGTTGATCATCCCCATTAAGTTGACCATCCCCATTAAGTTGACCATCCCCATTAAGTTGACCATCCACATTAAGATGACCATCCCCATTAAGTTGACCATCCCCATTAAGTTGACCATCCCCATTAAGTTGACCATCCACATTAAGTTGACCATCCACATTAAGTTGACCATCCCCATTAAGTTGACCATCCACATTAAGTTGACCATCCCCATTAAGTTGACCATCCCCATTAAGTTGACCATCCCCATTAAGTTGACCATCCACATTAAGTTGACCATCCACATTAAGTTGACCATCCCCATTAAGTTGATGATCCCCCATTAAGTTGACCATCCACATTAAGTTGACCATCCACATTAAGTTGACCATCCACATTAAGTTGACCATCCACATTAAGTTGACCATCCACATTAAGTTGACCATCCACATTCAGTTGACCATCCACATTCAGTTGACCAACCACATTAAGTTGACCACATTCAGTTGACCATCCACATTAAGTTGACCATCCACATTCAGTTGACCAACCACATTAAGTTGACCACATTCAGTTGACCAACCACATTCAGTTGACCACATTCAGTTGACCAACTATGTTTCAGGGAGAAGACCTACAGAAATTTCTGCAACTTGATTTGTCCAGTGGGGAGGAGGAGAAATATGCCATTGATATCAGGCATCCAGCCATTCAGGTAACACAGTACTAATCTAAGTTTCTATTTTCAGTATGTAAATGACTTTCTATTTTCAGTATGTAAATGACTTTCTATTTTCAGTATGTAAATGACTTTCTATTTTCAGTATGTAAATGACTTTCTATTTTCAGTATGTAAATGACTTTCTATTTTCAGTATGTAAATGACTTTCTATTTTCAGTATGTAAATGACTTTCTATTTTCAGTATGTAAATGACTTTCTATTTTCAGTATGTAAATGACTTTCTATTTTCAGTATGTAAATGACTTTCTATTTTCAGTATGTAAATGACTTTCTATTTTCAGTATGTAAATGACTTTCTATTTTCAGTATGTAAATGACTTTCTATTTTCAGTATGTAAATGACTTTCTATTTTCAGTATGTGAATGACTTTCTATTTTCAGTATGTAAATGACTTTCTATTTTCAGTATGTGAATGACTTTCTATTTTCAGTATGTGAATGACTTTCTATTTTCAGTATGTAAATGACTTTCTATTTTCAGTATGTGAATGACTTTCTATTTTCAGTATGTAAATGACTTTCTATTTTCAGTATGTGAATGACTTTCTATTTTCAGTATGTAAATGACTTTCTATTTTCAGTATGTAAATGACCTTGCGACTGAGAAAAAGTACCAAAACTGGCCCAGTTCTGTACAAGACCTTTTGCGACCTACTTTCCCAGGGATGTTAAGACACATTGCAAAAAATCTGTTTCACTTGGCAAGTTTTTTTGTTTGATCATTTTAAATCTGTTTCACTTGGCAAGTTTTTTTGTTTGATAATTTTAAATCTGTTTCACTTGGCAAGTTTTTTTGTTTGATCTTTTTAAATCTGTTTCACTTGGCAAGTTTTTTTGTTTGATAATTTTAAATCTGTTTCACTTGGCAAGTTTTTTTGTTTGATCATTTTAAATCTGTTTCACTTGGCAAGTTTTTTTGTTTGATCATTTTAAATCTGTTTCACTTGGCAAGTTTTTTTGTTTGATCATTTTAAATCTGTTTCACTTGGCAAGTTTTTTTGTTTGATCATTTTAAATCTGTTTCACTTGGCAAGTTTTTTTGTTTGATCATTTTAAATCTGTTTCACTTGGCAAGTTTTTTTGTTTGATCATTTTAAATCTGTTTCACTTGGCAAGTTTTTTTGTTTGATCATTTTAAATCTGTTTCACTTGGCAAGTTTTTTTGTTTGATAATTTTAAATCTGTTTCACTTGGCAAGTTTTTTTGTTTGATCATTTTAAATCTGTTTCACTTGGCAAGTTTTTTTGTTTGATCATTTTAAATCTGTTTCACTTGGCAAGTTTTTTTGTTTGATAATTTTAAATCTGTTTCACTTGGCAAGTTTTTTTGTTAGATCATTTTAAATCTGTTTCACTTGGCAAGTTTTTTTGTTTGATCATTTTAAATCTGTTTCACTTGGCAAGTTTTTTTGTTTGATAATTTTAAATCTGTTTCACTTGGCAAGTTTTTTTGTTTGATAATTTTAAATCTGTTTCACTTGGCAAGTTTTTTTGTTTGATCATTTTAAATCTGTTTCACTTGGCAAGTTTTTTTGTTTGATAATTTTAAATCTGTTTCACTTGGCAAGTTTTTTTGTTTGATAATTTTAAATCTGTTTCACTTGGCAAGTTTTTTTGTTTGATCATTTTAAATCTGTTTCACTTGGCAAGTTTTTTTGTTTGATAATTTTAAATCTGTTTCACTTGGCAAGTTTTTTTGTTTGATCATTTTAAATCTGTTTCACTTGGCAAGTTTTTTTGTTTGATCATTTTAAATCTGTTTCACTTGGCAAGTTTTTTTGTTTGATCATTTTAAATCTGTTTCACTTGGCAAGTTTTTTGGTTTGTTCATTTTAAATCTGTTTCACTTGGCAAGTTTTTTTGTTTGATAATTTTAAATCTGTTTCACTTGGCAAGTTTTTTTTGTTTGATCATTTTAAATCTGTTTCACTTGGCAAGTTTTTTTGTTTGATCATTTTAAATCTGTTTCACTTGGCAAGTTTTTTTGTTTGATCATTTTAAATCTGTTTCACTTGGCAAGTTTTTTTGTTTGTTCATTTTAAATCTGTTTCACTTGGCAAGTTTTTTTGTTTGATAATTTTAAATCTGTTTCACTTGGCAAGTTTTTTTTGTTTGATCATTTTAAATCTGTTTCACTTGGCAAGTTTTTTTGTTTGATCATTTTAAATCTGTTTCACTTGGCAAGTTTTTTTGTTAGATCATTTTAAATCTGTTTCACTTGGCAAGTTTTTTTGTTTGATAATTTTAAATCTGTTTCACTTGGCAAGTTTTTTTGTTTGATCATTTTAAATCTGTTTCACTTGGCAAGTTTTTTTGTTTGATCATTTTAAATCTGTTTCACTTGGCAAGTTTTTTTGTTTGATAATTTTAAATCTGTTTCACTTGGCAAGTTTTTTTGTTTGATAATTTTAAATCTGTTTCACTTGGCAAGTTTTTTTGTTTGATCATTTTAAATCTGTTTCACTTGGCAAGTTTTTTTGTTTGATAATTTTAAATCTGTTTCACTTGGCAAGTTTTTTTGTTTGATAATTTTAAATCTGTTTCACTTGGCAAGTTTTTTTGTTAGATCATTTTAAATCTGTTTCACGTGGCAAGTTTTTTTGTTTGATAATTTTAAATCTGTTTCACTTGGCAAGTTTTTTTGTTTGATCATTTTAAATCTGTTTCACTTGGCAAGTTTTTTTGTTTGATAATTTTAAATCTGTTTCACTTGGCAAGTTTTTTTGTTAGATCATTTTAAATCTGTTTCACTTGGCAAGTTTTTTTGTTTGATCATTTTAAATCTGTTTCACTTGGCAAGTTTTTTTGTTTGATAATTTTAAATCTGTTTCACTTGGCAAGTTTTTTTGTTTGATAATTTTAAATCTGTTTCACTTGGCAAGTTTTTTTGTTTGATAATTTTAAATCTGTTTCACTTGGCAAGTTTTTTTGTTTGATAATTTTAAATCTGTTTCACTTGGCAAGTTTTTTTGTTTGATCTTTTTAAATCTGTTTCACTTGGCAAGTTTTTTTGTTTGATAATTTTAAATCTGTTTCACTTGGCAAGTTTTTTTGTTTGATAATTTTAAATCTGTTTCACTTGGCAAGTTTTTTTGTTTGATAATTTTAAATCTGTTTCACTTGGCAAGTTTTTTTGTTTGATCATTTTAAATCTGTTTCACTTGGCAAGTTTTTTTGTTTGATAATTTTAAATCTGTTTCACTTGGCAAGTTTTTTTGTTAGATCATTTTAAATCTGTTTCACTTGGCAAGTTTTTTTGTTTGATCATTTTAAATCTGTTTCACTTGGCAAGTTTTTTTGTTTGATCATTTTAAATCTGTTTCACTTGGCAAGTTTTTTTGTTTGATCATTTTAAATCTGTTTCACTTGGCAAGTTTTTTTGTTTGATAATTTTAAATCTGTTTCACTTGGCAAGTTTTTTTGTTAGATAATTTTAAATCTGTTTCACTTGGCAAGTTTTTTTGTTTGATAATTTTAAATCTGTTTCACTTGGCAAGTTTTTTTTTTTGATAATTTTAAATCTGTTTCACTTGGCAAGTTTTTTTGTTTGATAATTTTAAATCTGTTTCACTTGGCAAGTTTTTTTGTTTGATAATTTTAAATCTGTTTCACTTGGCAAGTTTTTTTGTTTGATAATTTTAAATCTGTTTCACTTGGCAAGTTTTTTTGTTTGATCATTTTAAATCTGTTTCACTTGGCAAGTTTTTTTGTTTGATAATTTTAAATCTGTTTCACTTGGCAAGTTTTTTTGTTTGATAATTTTAAATCTGTTTCACTTGGCAAGTTTTTTTGTTTGATAATTTTAAATCTGTTTCACTTGGCAAGTTTTTTTGTTTGATCATTTTAAATCTGTTTCACTTGGCAAGTTTTTTCGTTTGATAGTTTTTTTTTAACAGAATTATTTCAGAAAAGTATTAATGTCTACTGACCAAGCTACGTGAACTGACCAATGCTATGGGAAATGACCAATGCTATGTAAACTGACCAACACTATGTGAACTGACCAATGCTATGTGCACTGACCAACGCTACGTGAACTTACCAATGCTATGTGAACTGACCAATGCTACATGAACTGACCAATTCTATGTGAACTGACCAATGCTATGTGAACTGACCAACACTATGTGAACTGACCAATTCTATGTGAACTGACCAATGCTACGTGAACTGACCAATTCTATGTGAACTGACCAATGCTATGTGAACTGACCAATGCTATGTAAACTGACCAACACTATGTGAAATGACCAATGCTATGTGAACTGACCAATGCTATGTGAACTGACCAATGCTATGTGAACTGACCAATGCTATGTGAACTGACCAATGCTATGTGAACTGACCAACGCTACGTGAACTGACCAATGCTACGTGAACTGACCAATGCTATGTGAACTGACCAATGCTATGTGAACTGACCAATGCTTTCCTCCATTGCTGCAGGTGTTTGTGGTCAACCCTGTGGACACCAAGTCCAGGAACCTGATTAAAATGGCTGAAGCTTTCTATGTGCACAAGGCACCACTCAGGTAATCCTGACGTGTCTGCTGGACAGGGGTCAAAGGTCAAGGTCTCATATCTCACATCTGGTTTCTAGAATCTCTAATGATGTATCTGTTTCAGGCTTGGTCTTGCCTTTGTCGTCAACTCTAAAGCAACAGGCTATGAGGATCCTGGTGTTGCTATGATACGAGCCTACACATACATTGCTAATATTGCCAACATGCAGGATGTTGCTAAAGGCTTGTCATTTATCACAGATGTAAGCTATACGTCTCACTGTATGGTTTTGATAATGCTTTAGGTCATATATAAATGTTTCAAAATGATTTTCTTTTAGAGCTGCCAATATTTTAGTTCTAGTTTTTTGACGGCCAATATTTTAGTTCTAGTTTTTTGACGGCCAATATTTTAGTTCTAGTTTTTTGACGGCCAATATTTTAGTTCTAGTTTTTTGACTGCCAATATTTTAGTTCTAGTTTTTTGACTGCCAATATTTTAGGATTTGTAATGTTTTGCCCACCTTGTATCCTCTATCTTCCACTGCTCTGTGTAGGTGTACGAGAAAGTGGGGAACGCGGAGCTGACGAGTGAGACTATCATTGCAGAGTTTGCCCTTCAGTACCCATCAGAAAATAAAGATGTCATATTTGGAGAGAGCGATAAATTCAACGAAGTTAGAAAGGTAATTCTTCGTGAACCAAAATGTCTTGAGTGACTTTCTAATTGTATTACTTTGGTTCAGTTAAGTGAAGAATTCATTCATCAAAATGGCTTGAGTGACTGTCTAATTGTATTACTTTGGTTCAGTTAAGTGAAGAATTCATTCATCAAAATGGCTTGAGTGACTTCCCTCAAGTTCTGGTGAATGGTGTGCCCCTGGACAAAGGTCAGCTGGAAGATTCCTTTGAAGAGGCCGTGGTCATGGAGGTTCTCAAGCAGACCCAGGTGCTCCAGGGGGCTGTTTATAAGGTAGGTCAAATACAGTTTAAAATAACAGTTTAACCATGTAACCTTGACCTTGGACCAAGAGTTTAACCATGTAGCCTTGACCTTGTACCAACAGTTTAACCATGTAGCCCAGATCTTGTACCATGTAACCTTGACCTCTTACTTTGACCTAGGGTGAGGTCAGTGACAGCACTGATGTGTTGGAGTGGTGGATGGAGCGCGACAACGTCCTGCCACGCCTCAATTCTAGAATTCTGACCCCTGCTACTCTACGCCTTGACCTTACAGGGACTGCAGGTAAATAGGTCAAGGACATTCATCAATTAAATCAACTCTGTTTTGTCTACTTATATTTGATTTATTACCAACTGCAAGTTCGGCCATCTCTACTTACAAAAGCCAATGTGTGTTTGGCCATTTTGTTAAAGCCAATGTGTGTTTGGCCGTTTTGTTAAAGCCAATGTGTGTTTGGCCATTTTGTTAAAGCCAATTTGTGTTTGGGCGTTTTGTTAAAGCCAATGTGTGTTTGGCCGTTTTGTTAAAGCCAATGTGTGTTTGGCCATTTTGTTAAAGCCAATGTGTGTTTGGCCGTTTTCAGAGAGCAGCGTGGCCAAGATTCCAGCAGTGGCAGCAGAGCTTAGCACCAGAGATCTGACGTCTGCCATCGTTAACAGTCTCAGCTATCTGACCAAGAAAGGTAAACAAAAGCCATTGTTGTCTTAGCTATCTGACCAAGAAAGGTAAACTAAAGCCATCGTTGTCTCAGCTATCTGACCAAGAAAGGTAAACTAAAGCCATTGTTGTCTCAGCTATCTGACCAAGAAAGGTAAACTAAAGCCATTGTTGTCTAAGCTATCTGACCAAGAAAGGTAAACTAAAGCCATCATTGTCTCATCTACCTGACCAAGAAAGGTAAACTAAAGCCATTGTTAACATGTTAACAGACTAACCAATAGAACTGAGACTATAGCCATCCTGTTAGAGACCCACACACATCCCACCCTCTCTACCCACACATCGCACCCTCTCTACCCACACACATCCCACCCTCTCTACCCACACATCGCACCCTCTCTACCCACACACATCACATACCACCCTCTCTACCCACACACATCCCACCCTCTCTACCCACACACATCCCACACACATCCCACCCTCTCTACCCACACACATCCCACCCTCTCTACCCACACACATCCCACCCTCTCTACCCACACACATCCCACCCTCTCTACCCACACACATCCCACCCTCACTACCAACACACATCCCACCCTCTCTACCCACACACATCCCACCCTCTCTACCCACACACATCCCACCCTCTCTACCCACACACATCCCACCCTCTCTACCCACACACATCCCACCCTCTCTACCCACACACATCCCACCCTCTCTACCCACACACATCCCACCCTCTCTACCCCCACACATTACACCCTCTCTACCCACACACATCCCACCCTCTCTACCCACACACATCCCACCCTCTCTACCCACACACATCCCACCCTCTCTACCCACACACATCCCACCCTCTCTACCCACACACATCCCACCCTCTCTACCCACACACATCCCACCCTCTCTACCCACACACATCCCACCCTCTCTACCCACACACATCCCACCCTCTCTACCCACACACATCCCACCCTCTCTACCCACACACATCCCACCCTCTCTACCCACACACATCCCACCCTCTCTACCCACACACATCCCACCCTCTCTACCCACACACATCCCACCCTCTCTACCCACACACATCCCATCCTCTCTACCCACACACATCCCACCCTCTCTACCCACACACATCACACCCTCTCTACCCACACACATCCCACCCTCTCTGCCCACACACATCACACCCTCTCTACCCACACACATCCCACCCTCTCTACCCACACACATCCCACCCTCTCTACCCACACACATCACACCCTCTCTACTCACACACATTACATCCTCTCACCCACACACATCACACCCTCTCTATCCACACACATCACACCCTCTCTACCCACACACATCACACCCTCTCTGCCCACACACATCCCACCCTCTCTACCCACACACATCACACCCTCTCTACCCACACACATCCCACCCTCTCTACCCACACACATCCCACCCTCTCTACCCACACACATCCCACCCTCTCTACCCACACACATCCCACCCTCTCTACCCACACACATCCCACCCTCTCTACCCACACACATCCCACCCTCTCTACCCACAGATGAAGAGACACTGAGACCAGTGACCATCATCGTCATTTGTGACGTTGAGACAAGTGTGGGCAGGTCTTTGCTCTACAGCGCCATCAAACATCTGGTCAGTCGCTGTTCCATCTCTTACTGCTGAAAGTTGATGTGTGATGTTGTGATTGTTCTCTGTTCCAGAAAAGTTGATGTGTGATGTTGTCATCGTTCTCTGTTCCAGAAAAGTTGATGTGTGATGTTGTGATTGTTCTCTGTTCCTGAAAAGTTGATGTGTGATGTTGTGATTGTTTCCTGTTACAGAAAAGTTGATGTGTGATGTTGTGATTGTTCTCTGTTCCTGAAAAGTTGATGTGTAATGTGATTGTTTCTCTGTTCCTGAAAAGTTGATGTGTGATGTTGTGATTGTTCTCTGTTCCTGAAAAGTTGATGTGTAATGTGATTGTTTCTCTGTTCCTGAAAAGTTGATGTGTGATGTTGTGATTGTTCTCTGTTCCTGAAAAGTTGATGTGTGATGTGATTGTTCTAAGTTCCTGAAAAGTTGATGTGTGATGTTGTGATTGTTTCTCTGTTCCTGAAAAGTTGATGTGTGATGTTGTGATTGTTCTCTGTTCCTGAAAAGTTGATGTGTAATGTGATTGTTTCTCTGTTCCTGAAAAGTTGATGTGTGATGTTGTGACTGTTCTCTGTTCCTGAAAAGTTGATGTGTGATGTGATTGTTCTAAGTTCCTGAAAAGTTGATGTGTGATGTTGTGATTGTTCTCTGTTCCAGAAAAGTTGATGTGTGATGTTGTGATTGTTCTCTGTTCCAGAAAAGTTCCAACAACCTGCGTCTGGGCATCATCTCCAACCCCCAGAATGTGAACGGAGACAACAAGGTCACCAAGGCCGTCCAGGTGGCCCTGGAGACCTTGACCCCTCCCATGGCCAAGAGCCTGATCACCAAGCTGGTCAAGGAGGAGAACATCCAGGACCTGCTCTCAGAGAGGAAAACTTTACAGGATTTTCAGGTGCATGTAAGTGGTGACACAGGTTCATGTAAGTGGTGACATCACAGGGTCATGTAGGTGGTGACATCACAGGGTCATGTAGGTGGTGACATCACAGGTTCATGTAGGTGGTGACATCACAGGGTCATGTAAGTGGTGACATCACAGGGTCATGTAAGTGGTGACACAAGATTGACAGGTGCATGTAAGTGGTGACATCACAGGGTCATGTAAGTGGTGACATCACAGGGTCATGTAAGTGGTGACATCACAGGGTCATGTAAGTGGTGGCATCACAGGGTCATGTAAGTGGTGACACAAGATTTTCAGGTTCATGTAAGTGGTGACACAACAGGGTCATGTAGGTGGTGACATCACAGGGTCATGTAGGTGGTGACATCACAGGGTCATGTAAGTGGTGACATCACAGGTTCATGTAGGTGGTGACACAAGATTGTCAGGTGCATGTAAGTGGTGACATAACCGGGTCATGTAGGTGGTGACCCAAGATTGTCAGGTGCATGTAAGTGGTGACATAAGATTGTCAGGTTCATGTAAGTGGTGACACAGGTTCATGTAAGTGGTGACACAAGTTTGTCAGGTTCATGTAAGTGGTGACACAGGTTCATGTAAGTGGTGACACAGGTTCATGTAAGTGGTCTGGATGTGTTATCCACATTGATGGTCTGGATGTTTTATCCATAGGGCATGGATATGGAAGCCTACATCAGAGCACTGAATGCTGCCACTTCAGAGAAGCTTCTAGTCCATCAAATGTTTGCCTCCAAGGTTCTATCACTGCTGCCTGGTCAACAGGGCATCGTCTCCAATGGAGGGGTAGGTTCAGTAGGTTTAATCTCTAATGGAGGGGTAGGTTCAGTAGGTTTAATCTCTAATGGAGGGGTAGGTTCAGTAGGTTCAATCTCTACTGTAGGGGTAGGTTCAGTAGGTTTAGTGTCTGTTGGAGGGGTAGGTTCAGTAGGTTCAATCTCTAATGGAGGGGTAGGTTCAGTAGGTTCAATCTCTAATGGAGGGGTAGGTTCAGTAGGTTCAATCTCTAATGGAGGGGTAGGTTCAGTAGGTTCAATCTCTAATGGAGGGGTAGGTTCAGTAGGTTCAATCTCTAATGGAGGGGTAGGTTCAGTAGGTTCAATCTCTAATGGAGGGGTAGGTTCAGTAGGTTCAATCTCTAATGGAGGGGTAGGTTCAGTAGGTTCAATCTCTAATGGAGGGGTAGGTTCAGTAGGTTCAATCTCTAATGGAGGGGTAGGTCCAGTAGGTTGAGTGTCTATTGGAGAGTAGGTTCAGATGTTGAAAGATTGGGTATGTTCATATGTTGTAAGGATGGGTAGGTTCAGATGTTGTAAGGATGGGTAGGTTCAGATGTTGAAAGGTTGGGTAGGTTCAGATGTTGAAAGATTGGGTAGGTTTACTGTCTATTGGAGGATAGGTATAGTGTCTATTGGGATGGTAGGTTCAGATGTTGAAAGTTTGGGTAGGTTCAGATGTTGAAAGATTAGGTAGGTTCAGATGTTGAAAGATTGGGTAGGTTCAGATGTTGAAAGATTGGGTAGGTTCAGATGTTGAAAGATTGAGTAGTTTCAGATGTTGAAAGGTTGGGTAGGTTCAGATGTTGAAAGATTGGGTAGGTTCAGATGTTGAAAGATTAGGTAGGTTCAGATGTTGAAAGATTGGGTAGGTTCAGATGTTGAAAGATTGGGTAGGTTCAGATGTTGAAAGATTGAGTAGTTTCAGATGTTGAAAGGTTGGGTAGGTTCAGATGTTGAAAGATTGGGTAGGTTCAGATGTTGAAAGATTGGGTAGGTTCAGATGTTGAAAGATTGGGTAGGTTCAGATGTTGAAAGATTGAGTAGTTTCAGATGTTGAAAGGTTGGGTAGGTTCAGATGTTGTATATTGATATTGTATGAATCTTCCTGTCAGTTTGTGGGCCCACTGAGTCCAGAGGAAGAGCTGACAGTGGAAGACTTTAACCTGCTAGAGAAGCTGGCCTACTCACAAGGGGGACACAAAGTTTCTCAAGTTGTCCTCAATGTGGAGAGGGACCCCCGAAGGTGAGAGACTTTTAAAATGGCACTCCCGTTATATACTTACATATATACGTACATGTAATGTGTTCTCCTTTCTCTGACTGTGCAGGGCCAGTGATTTAACCATGAAAGCTTCGAACTTACTGAGTTCAAAAACCAAGAAAGACAAAAGACAGAAGATCACATTTGCTGGGAATCAGCACAGGTAAGAGCTTAGCTTTATTTGTGATGTCATTAGGTAGGTTGGCTGAGCTTAGCTTTTTTAGTGATGTCATTAGGTAGGAGATGGCTGAGCTTAGCTTTAGTGTTGTGAGTATAAAACTATTTTTACAATTGTGAGTGTAAAACTAGTTGTATGAACTAAAACTTGTCCTGTTCTGTCCCCAATTGTGAGTGTAAAACTAGTTGTATGAACTAAAACTTGTCCTGTTCTGTCCCCAATTGTGAGTGTAAAACTAGTTGTATGAACTAAAACTTGTCCTGTTCTGTCCCCAATTGTGAGTGTAAATCTAGTTGTATGAACTAAAACTTGTCCTGTTCTGTCCCCAATTGTGAGTGTAAAACTAGTTGTATGAACTAAAACTTGTCCTGTTCTGTCCCCAATTGTGAGTGTAAATCTAGTTGTATGAACTAAAACTTGTCCTGTTCTGTCCCCAATTGTGAGTGTAAAACTAGTTGTATGAACTAAAACTTGTCCTGTTCTGTCCCCAATTGTGAGTGTAAATCTAGTTGTATGAACTAAAACTTGTCCTGTTCTGTCCCCAATTGTGAGTGTAAAACTAGTTGTATGAACTAAAACTTGTCCTGTTCTGTCCCCAATTGTGAGTGTAAATCTAGTTGTATGAACTAAAACTTGTCCTGTTCTGTCCCCAATTGTGAGTGTAAAACTAGTTGTATGAACTAAAACTTGTCCTGTTCTGTCCCCAATTGTGAGTGTAAAACTAGTTGTATGAACTAAAACTTGTCTGCTCTGTCCCCAGTGTGATCAAGCTACCAGCAGACGCCAACATCCCAGCGTTCACAGTGGAAGCCATAGTTGATCCAGTCTCCACACATGCCCAGAAGATGTCTGCCATTTTGATGGTAACCTCACCTCATCAACATCATCATATTACCCCACATCTCTCCATGATTTAAGTAGCACATCTGATAAATATAATAAACATGTAACATACACTACATATGCGTACAGGTACTGAAGCAGATAGCCAATGTTGAGATCATATAATAAACATGTAACATACACTACATCTGTGTACAGGTACTGAAGCAGATAGCCAATGTTGAGATCACAATCTTCATGAACCCCAGGGAGAAGTTATCTGAGATGCCACTTAAAAGGTTAGGTTGACCTTCACCTTGTTTCTTCAGAAATCTTTTGATTATGTAACCAAAACTCCATTTTTCTCTGAGCTTCTAATTGACCAAATTAACACTTCATTTTTCTCCCAGTTTCTAATTGACCAAATTAACACTTCATATTTCTCTGAGCTTCTAATGGAGACAAGCGAGTTGACGAGATTCCTTCCATAGTGTTGTTGTCATGGAATAAAAACGTGCTTTTTAGATTTAGACCGTAAAAAAAAAATAAAAAATAAAAACTTAAGCCTAAAATTAATTTAGAAATTTTATATTTTTAGAATAAATGCTATAAAAGGTTCAAATCCAGAGAACTAGAAAATAATTTGTTGAGTTTAAGGCTACATTTCTATTTATTTTCATCAAGCCTAAGTTATAACCGGATGTTTCACTTTCGTAAGACAAATATTGATTGGCTGTACAGTAACTTAGTGATCGATAACTATTTGTTTACAAAACTTTGCAGATCAAGTTTTTAAATAACAATGCAAATTAAAAACCCCATGACCTAGTTTTCTATTTTTAGCTTACAATGTGTACAATAAAATTTTTGTCGGCCTATCCAATAGCAGGATGCCATTGTTTATGTCGCCATTACACGTGAAAACCAAATTGTTTTTGCTTTTTTTTAAATTTTTATTTAGTTACCGAAAATATTAAAAACATCAAATACGTCCAATCTTTAGTAAAGTCCGAAAAAAACCAGACAGACAGTATTTTATAACCATATTAATTGTAACTACGCCGTGCAAGAATTTTAAATTAATTTATACACCTCTCAAATTCCTTTGAGACTTTTCTCGCTTGTGTCCATTGACCAAATTAACACTTCATATTTCTCCCAGCTTCTAATTGACCAAATTAACACTTCATATTTCTCCCAGCTTCTAATTGACCAAATTAACACTTCATTTTTCTCTGAGCTTCTAATTGACCAAATTAACACTTCATTTTTCTCCCAGCTTCTACCGCTATGTGTTGGAACCAGAAGTGACCTTTGACCCTGAAGGTGCCCTGACCCATGCTCCAGTGGCCAGATTTCTTGACATGCCACAGAAATCACTTCTAACTTTAAATATGGACACCCCAGAAAGTTGGCTGGTAGAGGCTGTCACCTCGCCTTATGATTTAGATAACATCTTATTGGAGGAGGTACCTGCCTTATGATTTATACATCAAGTTTGTTCTAGTTAGTTGTATTTTGTCAGATTTGTTCTAGTTGTATTTTGTCAGATTTGTTCTAGTTAGTTGTATTTTGTCAGATTTGTTCTTGTATTTTGTCAGAATTTTGTCAGATTTGTTCTAGTTGTATTTTGTCAGATTTGTTCTAGTTGTATTTTGTCAGATTTGTTCTAGTTGTATTTTGTCAAATTTGTTCTAGTTAGTTGTATTTTGTCAGATTTGTTCTAGTTGTATCTTGTCAGATTTGTTCTAGTTGTATTTTGTCAGATCTGTTCTAGTTAGTTGTATCTTGTAAGATTTGTTCTAGTTAGTTGTATCTTGTCAGATTTGTTCTAGTTGTATCTTGTCAGATTTGTTCTAATTGTATTTGGTAAGATTTGTTCTAGTTAGTTGTATCTTGTCAGATTTGTTCTAGTTGTATTTTGTCAGATTTGTTCTAGTTGTATTTTGTCAGATTTGTTCTAGTTGTATTTTGTCAGATTTGTTCTAGTTAGTTGTATTTTGTCAGATTTGTTCTAGTTGTATTTTGTCAGATTAGTTCTAGGTAACATTTATTCTCTACAGGTTGAGAGAAATGTGAATGCTCAGTTTGAGTTGGAATATATTCTACTAGAGGGTAGGTAGAATAAAATCTAAAATATAAGGGGGCTGATAGTGTGTCAGTCCACTATAGATTTTGGAACCATAAAAGTAAACATCGCAACATGCAGTGCTTTTCAGTGCTTCAAATTTTCTTATATATAAGTAATAGAGTATGCTTTGTTTATATAACGACTTAAATTTATTTTATAGTTCCCACTGTTTTTACTCTTTTGCATAACATAAAAAAATATTAAATACACACACATTACTAAAACATATTAAAAGGATCAATGTCAAATTTCATTTTTGTTTAGATTCCTAGAAAAAGTGGATACATTTTAATAATAATAGGGTCGAAAAAACGAATTAATTAAACTGTTTTGTAATTTTCCAAGGGAGGTAATTTAAAAATAAATTCAAGTCACGCTAATAAAAAAATGTAAATGTAAAATCTATGGACCTCCATGAGTGAATTATTTTGCAATAATATAATTAGCAAAAATATAATTAGCAAAATGTGAATGCAAATTCTGCGGACCTTCATGAGGGAATTATTGTTGCAATAATATAATTAGCAAAATGTGAATGCAAATTTTTTAGTGTTGTCTTTTGTGTTTGTGTGTTGCTTTTATGTTTTCGTTTGTGTTTACATTGTGTTTGTTTGCATTGTGTTTGTGTTTTCTTTTGTGTTGTGTTTGTGTTTTCTTTTGTGTTTGTGTTTTTATTTGTGTTGTGTTGTGTTTGTGTTGTGTCTGTATTGCATTTGTGTTGTGTTTGTGTTGTGTTAAGTTTTGTTCTGTTACCAAGTTGGTACATTTAAAAAAGATTTACCTTGGCAGAGCACGGGTATGCAGCTAGTTGATTATATTACAACTGTGTAGGTTAGGTTATTCAACAAAATAGGTCTAATGCACTATATTTTTTCTTATGACAGTTTTGTTTGGTTTCTGTAGATTGTATTAATTAAATATTTTGTATGATTAACAACATGAACTAATGAATTTTGAAATAAACTTAATCCCCCCCCCTATTTCAGGCCACTGCCATGACTCCAGCACCATGCAACCCCCCAGGGGCCTGCAGTTTGTACTGGGCACCAACAAAATACCAGCCATGGTTGACACCATCGTCATGGCCAACCTGGTAATGTTGTATGGCCGTTAATTGATCCTCTTGATATCTCTATCTAGTTTTACTGCCTTTAATTGATCCTCTTGATATCTCTGCTAGAGTTGTACTGCCTTTAATTGATCCTCTTGATATCTCTATCTAGTTTTACTGCCTTTAATTGATCCTCTTGATATCTCTATCTAGTTTTACTGCCTTTAATTGATCCTCTTGATATCTCTATCTAGTTTTACTGCCTTTAATTGATCCTCTTGATATCTCTATCTAGTTTTACTGCCTTTAATTGATCCTCTTGATATCTCTATCTAGTTTTACTGCCTTTAATTGATCCTCTTGATATCCCTGCTAGAGTTGTACTGCCTTTAATTGATCCTCTTGATATCTCTGCTAGAGTTGTACTGCCTTTAATTGATCCTCTTGATATCTCTGCTAGAGTTGTACTGCCTTTAATTGATTTTTTAAAAATATATCCTGTTGCCTCCATAAGATTTGAACTTTTCCCTACCATGTTTGTGTCCCAGGGCTACTTTCAACTGAAGGCGTACCCTGGACTTTGGAACCTGAAACTAAGAGAGGGGAGGTCTGAGGAGATTTATAAAATAGACAGGTAGGTTCCAACTTCCTTCATTTGCTAGAAATAGGTCTGTACATTTTATAGGTACTTTTTTCATTAGCCATATAGTTTTCCAAAACTGTTTAGTATATTTAGTGATAAGCTATAGTAAAAAAAATATAAATCTTTAGATATTTAAGTTTAAAACAATATTCCCCAATTTTTATTCTTTCCAAAGCTGTTGATCTTAATTTAGTTGGACCTCTTTCAAGCTAAAAGTGTTGACTTTATTTGCTTGATAATTAATTCCAAACCAACTTTATCTTCCATCACAAAAATTTGTCAACACTAGTCATCATAAACACCAATTGACCTAACTACAATCTAGTTACTTTCCCTTGTGTTCTTGTCTATTGTCTGTCATTTCATTTACTGTACTAAGGTTGACTGAGTTTGATGTATTGCTAGCTGACATTTAATATGTACTAAGATTGAGATTTGATTGTAAGTCATGATTGTACCCAATGGTATAAGTCATATCTATGACTACCCCATGTTATAAGTCATATCTATGACTACCCCATGTTATAAGTCATGATTGTACCCATGATTTCAGCCATGAGTTCACTGATTCACCTGACAACCTTACTGATGTTATTGTTATAAGTCATGATTGTACCCCATGTTATAAGTCATGATTGTACCCATGATTTCAGCCATGAGTTTACTGATTCACCTGACAACCTTACTGATGTTATTGTTATAAGTCATGATTGTACCCCATGTTATAAGTCATGATTGTACCCATGATTTCAGCCATGAGTTCACTGATTCACCTGACAACCTTACTGATGTTATTGTTATAAGTCATGATGTGTACCCATGATTTCAGCCATGAGTTCACTGATTCACCTGACAACCTTACTGATGTTATTGTTATAAGTCATGATTGTACCCCATGTTATAAGTCATGATTGTACCCATGATTTCAGCCATGAGTTCACTGATTCACCTGACAACCTTACTGATGTTATTGTTATAAGTCATGATTGTACCCCATGTTATAAGTCATGATTGTACCCATGATTTCAGCCATGAGTTCACTGATTCACCTGACAACCTTACTGATGTTATTGTTATAAGTCATGATTGTACCCCATGTTATAAGTCATGATTGTACCCATGATTTCAGCCATGAGTTCACTGATTCACCTGACAACCTTACTGATGTTATTGTTATAAGTCATGATTGTACCCAATGTTATAAGTCATGATTGTACCCATGATTTCAGCCATGAGTTCACTGATTCACCTGACAACCTTACTGATGTTATTGTGGCCATCAACAGCTTTAAGAGTAAAATCATTAGGGTCAAGGTCAGATGTACTTTTTGTATGACTTCAGTATGGTTGTTGTACGTCTGTATGATTGTTTAATTGGTGTAAGACGTAGAGTATGGTTGTTGTACATCTGTATGATTGTGTCTCTGGTCTCCACTGTAAACTAGCACCAAATTTGTGTATGATTGTGTCTCTTGTCCCCACTATAAACTAGCACCAAATTTGTGTATGATTGTGTCTCTGGTCCCCACTATAAACTAGCACCAAATTTGTGTATGATTGTGTCTCTGGTCCCCACTATAAACTAGCACCAAATTTGTGTATGATTGTGTCTCTGGTCCCCACTGTAAACTAGCACCAAATTTGTGTATGATTGTGTCTCCCTACTATAAACTAGCACCAAATTTGTGTATGATTGTGTTTCTGGTCCCCACTATAACCTAGCACCAAATTTGTGTATGATTGTGTCTCCCCACTATAAACTAGCACTAAATGTGTGTATGATTGCGTCTCTGGTCCCCACTATAACCTAGCACCAAATTTGTGTATGATTGTGTCTCTGGTCCCCACTATAAACTAGCACCAAATTTGTGTATGATTGTGTCTCTGGTCCCCACTATAACCTAGCACCAAATTTGTGTATGATTGTGTCTCTGGTCCCCACTATAAACTAGCACCAAATTTGTGTATGATTGTGTCTCTGGTCCCCACTGTAAACTAGCACCAAATTTGTGTATGATTGTGTCTCTGGTCCCCACTATAAACTAGCACCAAATTTGTGTATGATTGTGTCTCTGGTCCCCACTATAAACTAGCACCAAATTTGTGTATGATTGTGTCTCTGGTCCCCACTGTAAACTAGCACCAAATTTGTGTATGATTGTGTCTCTGGTCCCCACTATAAACTAGCACCAAATTTGTGTATGATTGTGTCTCTGGTCCCCACTATAAACTAGCACCTAATGTGTGTATGATTGTGTCTCTGGTCCCCACTATAAACTAGCACCAAATTTGTGTATGATTGTGTCTCTGGTCCCCACTGCAAACTAGCACCAAATTTGTGTATGATTGTGTCTCCCTACTATAAACTAGCACCAAATTTGTGTATGATTGTGTTTCTGGTCCCCACTATAACCTAGCACCAAATTTGTGTATGATTGTGTCTCCCCACTATAAACTAGCACTAAATGTGTGTATGATTGCGTCTCTGGTCCCCACTATAACCTAGCACCAAATTTGTGTATGATTATGTCTCTGGTCCCCACTATAAACTAGCACCAAATTTGTGTATGATTGTGTCTCTGGTCCCCACTGTAAACTAGCACCAAATTTGTGTATGATTGTGTCTGCCCACTATTAACTAGCACCAAATTTGTGTATGATTGTGTCTCTGGTCCCCACTAATAAACTAGCACCAAATTTGTGTATGATTGTGTCTCTGGTCCCCACTGTAAACTAGCACCAATTTTGTGTATGATTGTGTCTGCCCACTATTAACTAGCACCAAATTTGTGTATGATTGTGTCTCTGGTCCCCACTATAAACTAGCACCAAATTTGTGTATGATTGTGTCTCTGGTCCCCACTATAAACTAGCACCAAATTTGTGTATGATTGTGTCTCTGGTCCCCACTATAAACTAGCACCAAATTTGTGTAAGATTGTGTCTCTGGTCCCCACTATAACCTAGCACCAAATTTGTGTATGATTGCGTCTCTGGTCCCCACTATAACCTAGCACCAAATTTGTGTATGATTGTGTCTCTGGTCCCCACTATAAACTAGCACCAAATTTGTGTATGATTGTGTCTCTGGTCCCCACTATAAACTAGCACCAAATTTGTGAACGATTGTGTCTCTGGTCCCCACTATAACCTAACACCAAATTTGTGTATGATTGTGTCTCTGGTCCCCACTATAAACTAGCACCAAATTTGTGTATGATTGTGTCTCTGGTCCCCACTATAACCTAGCACCAAATTTGTGTATGATTGTGTCTCTGGTCCCCACTATAAACTAGCACCAAATTTGTGTATGATTGTGTCTCCCCACTATAAACTAGCACCAAATGTGTGTATGATTGTGTCTCTGGTCCCCACTATAAACTAGCACCAAATTTGTGTATGATTGTGTCTCTGGTCCCCACTATAAACTAGCACCAAATTTGTGTATGATTGTGTCTCTAGTCCCCACTATAAACTAGCACCAACTTTGTGTATGATTGTGTCTCTGGTCCCCACTATAAACTAGCACCTAATGTGTGTATGATTGTGTCTCTGGTCCCCACTATAAACTAGCACCAAATTTGTGTATGATTGTGTCTCCCTACTATAAACTAGCACCAAATTTGTGTATGATTGTGTTTCTGGTCCCCACTATAACCTAGCACCAAATTTGTGTATGATTGTGTCTCCCCACTATAAACTAGCACTAAATGTTTGTATGATTGTGTCTCTGGTCCCCACTATAAACTAGCACAAAATTTGTGTATGATTGTGTCTCTGGTCCCCACTATAACCTAACACCAAATTTGTGTATGATTGTGTCTCTGGTCCCCACTATAAACTAGCACCAAATTTGTGTATGACTGTGTCTCTGGTCCCCACTATAAACTAGCACCAAATGTGTGTATGATTGTGTCTCCCCACTATAAACTAGAACCAAATTGTGTATGATTGTGTCTCTGGTCCCCACTATAAACTAGCACCAAATTTGTGTATGATTGTGTCTCTGGTCCACACTATAAACTAGCACCAAATTTGTGTATGATTGTGTCTCTGGTCGCTACTATAACCTAATACCAAATTTGTGTATGATTGTGTCTCTGGTCCCCACTATAACCTAGCACCAAATTTGTTGTCAGGTGTCCAAAAAACCTGAAAAGTCTGACGTCAACCTTCTCCAAGATGATGATGATGACAGTGGTCTATGGAGCTCTATATCAAGGTAGTTTTGTTTAATCTTGTCATCTTAGTCTAGTCATGTCATCTTAGTCTAGTCATGGTCATTTTAGTCATGGTCATCTTAGTCTAGTCATGGTCATCTTAGTCTAGTCATGTCATCTTAGTCTAGTCATGGTCATCTTAGTCTAGTCATGGTCTTTTTAGTCATGGTCATCTTAGTCTAGTCATGGTCATCTTAGTCATGGTCATCTTAGTCTAGTCATGTCATCTTAGTCTAGTCATGTCATCTTAGTCTAGTCATGGTCATCTTAGTCTAGTCATGTCATCTTAGTCTAGTCATGTCATCTTAGTCTAGTCATGGTCATCTTAGTCTAGTCATGGTCATCTTAGTCATGGTCATCTTAGTCTAGTCATGTCATCTTAGTCTAGTCATGGTCATCTTAGTCTAGTCATGGTCATCTTAGTCTAGTCATGTCATCTTAGTCTAGTCATGTCATCTTAGTCTAGTCATGATCATCTTAGTCTAGTCATGGTCATCTTAGTCTAGTCATGATCATCTTAGTCTAGTCATGGTCATCTTAGTCTAGTCATGTCATCTTAGTCTAGTCATGTCATCTTAGTCTAGCCATGGTCATCTTAGTCTAGTCATGGTCATCTTAGTCTAGTCATGGTCATCTTAGTCATGGTCATCTTAGTCTAGTCATGTCATCTTAGTCTAGTCATGGTCATCTTAGTCTAGTCATGGTCATCTTAGTCTAGTCATGTCATCTTAGTCTAGTCATGTCATCTTAGTCTAGTCATGGTCATCTTAGTCTAGTCATGGTCATCTTAGTCTAGTCATGGTCATCTTAGTCATGGTCATCTTAGTCTAGTCATTTCATCTTAGTCTAGTCATGTCATCTTAGTCTAGCCATGGTCATCTTAGTCTAGTCATGGTCATCTTAGTCTAGTCATGTCATCTTAGTCTAGTCATGTCATCTTAGTTTAGTCATGGTCATCTTAGTCTAGTCATGGTCATCTTAGTCTAGTCATGTCATCTTAGTCTAGTCATGTCATCTTAGTCTAGTCATGGTCATCTTAGTCTAGTCATGGTCATCTTAGTCATGTCATCTTAGTCTAGTCATGTCATCTTAGTCTAGCCATGGTCATCTTAGTCTAGTCATGGTCATCGTAGTCTAGTCATGTCATCTTAGTCTAGTCATGTCATCTTAGTCTAGTCATGTCATCTTAGTCTAGTCATGTCATCTTAGTCTAGTCATGTCATCTTAGTCTAGTCATGGTCATCTTAGTCTAGTCATGGTCATCTTAGTCTAGTCATGTCATCTTAGTCTAGTCATGTCATCTTAGTCTAGTCATGTCATCTTAGTCTAGTCATGGTCATCTTAGTCTAGTCATGGTCATCTTAGTCTAGTCATGGTCATCTTAGTCTAGTCATGGTCATCTTAGTCTAGTCATGTCATCTTAGTCTAGTCATGTCATCTTAGTCTAGTCATGTCATCTTAGTCTAGTCATGTCATCTTAGTCTAGTCATGTCATCTTAGTCTAGTCATGTCATCTTAGTCTAGTCATGTCATCTTAGTCTAGTCATGTCATCTTAGTCTAGTCATGTCATCTTAGTCTAGTCATGTCATCTTAGTCTAGCCATGGTCATCTTAGTCTAGTCATGTCATCTTAGTCTAGTCATGTCATCTTAGTCTAGTCATGTCATCTTAGTCTAGTCATGTCATCTTAGTCTAGTCATGTCATCTTAGTCTAGTCATGCCATCTTAGTCTAGTCATGTCATCTTAGTCTAGTCATGTCATCTTAGTCTAGCCATGGTCATCTTAGTCTAGTCATGTCATCTTAGTCTAGTCATGTCATCTTAGTCTAGTCATGTCATCTTAGTCTAGTCATGTCATCTTAGTCTAGTCATGTCATCTTAGTCTAGTCATGTCATCTTAGTCTAGTCATGTCATCTTAGTCTAGCCATGGTCATCTTAGTCTAGTCATGTCATCTTAGTCTAGTCATGTCATCTTAGTCTAGCCATGGTCATCTTAGTCTAGTCATGTCATCTTAGTCTAGTCATGTCATCTTAGTCTAGCCATGGTCATCTTAGTCTAGTCATGTCATCTTAGTCTAGTCATGTCATCTTAGTCTAGCCATGGTCATCTTAGTCTAGTCATGTCATCTTAGTCTAGTCATGTCATCTTAGTCTAGCCATGGTCATCTTAGTCTAGTCATGGTCATCTTAGTCTAGTCATGGTCTTTTTAGTCATGGTCATCTTAGTCTAGTCATGGTCATCTTAGTCATGGTCATCTTAGTCTAGTCATGTCATCTTAGTCTAGTCATGTCATCTTAGTCTAGTCATGGTCATCTTAGTCTAGTCATGTCATCTTAGTCTAGTCATGTCATCTTAGTCTAGTCATGGTCATCTTAGTCTAGTCATGTCACCTTAGTCTAGTCATGTCATCTTAGACTAGCCATGTTCATCTTAGTCCAGTCTACTGTAAAGACTCCCCCATTCTGTCACCCCTACTGTAAAGACTCCCCCATTCTGTCACCCCTACTGTAAAGACTCCCCCATTCTGTCACCCCTACTGTAAAGACTCCCCCATTCTGTCACCAGCACCATCACAGGCAGCAGCAGCAAGAAAGAGGAGGAGAAGGACAGCACACTCAACATCTTCTCTGTGGCCTCAGGTCACCTGTATGAGAGATTCTTAAGGTCAGTCACCCTATAACCTTAAGGTCAGTGGCCCTACAACCTTTAGGTCAGTCACCCTACAACCTTAAGGTCAGTTGTCCTACAACCTTAAGGTCAGTGGCCCTACAACCTTAAGGTCAGTGGCCCTACAACCTTAAGGTCAGTCAGTGGCTCTACAACCTTAAGGTCAGTCACCCTACAACCTTAAGGGGATATGCTATGTTTTTTTCTATTTTTTACACTTTAAGATCTAAAGCCTTTTAAATACTTTTATCATATTTGGCATATAAAAGTAAGTATTAAACAGCAAAAAAGAGGGTCGAAAACAATTTCGGTTGTCATGGAAACCCAAAAAACCTCCGCCATTTTGAATTTTTCGGTACTTTTAAAAATACTAAGGCTTTTTTATTTATGCACCTATAGCAATCAAATTTAAACTGCTTATATTTCAGTATATATTAAAACTTTTGTCACGACAACTTTTTGAAATAATTACTACTAAGAATTTTACAAGGTTTAAAAAATCGTACCCTTTTTAGTATTCAAAAGTTTCAAAATGTGCATATTAATTACCAAATACTTTTTTTCTATGAAAGCAATCACAATTCCCTCGTGACAAAAGTTGTATTTTCGCTTCAAGAACATTTACTGAAAATATGGTTGGCATTGTTTAATAAATAAAAAAGTAGTAGGCTTTTTAGTGTTGAAAACCTGTGAACTGAGAAAAACAGCCAAAAGTAATGAAAACTAGGTCAGGAAAGTACCATATCTGTTTAAACTGCAAAGCCGATTGTAAGCTTTGGGTGTTTCCGAGATGTAGGAAATTAAGTTTATTAGATACATGAGAAGTCCAGCTTTCCAATGATGTCAAATACAATATAATGACGGATATAAAACTTTTCATAGAGAACTTGTAAGATTGGGAAAAATTGATTATTTTTTAATTAATAGGGTCATAAAAATCGTAATTTCAACACATAAAATATTTTTTTCTCTTTAAAGTTATTATTTTCTTTATACAAAAATGGACAAAGTATCCAAAAGTGCAAGAAACCCATCATGATGAAAAACAAGAAATTTTGTGATTTTTTTCTGCGCATATCCCCTTAAGGTCAGTTGTCCTACAACCTTAAGGTCAGTGGCCCTACAACCTTAAGGTCAGTGGCCCTACAACCTTAAGGTCAGTCAGTGGCTCTACAACCTTAAGGTCAGTTGACCTACAACCTTAAGGTCAGTCACCCTACAACCTTAAGGTCAGTGGCCCTACACCCTTAAGGTCAGTGGCCCTACAACCTTAAGGTCAGTGGCCCTACAACCTTAAGGTCAGTTGACCTACAACCTTAAGGTCAGTTGTCCTACAACCTTAAGGTTAGTGGCCCTACAACCTTAAGGTCAGTGGCCCTACAACCTTAAGGTCAGTGGCCCTACAACCTTAAGGTCAGTTGACCTACAACCTTAAGGTCAGTTGTCCTACAACCTTAAGGTCAGTGGCCCTACAACCTTAAGGTCAGTGGCCCTACACCCTTAAGGTCAGTGGCCCTACAACCTTAAGGTCAGTGGCCCTACAACCTTAAGGTCAGTTGACCTACAACCTTAAGGTCAGTTGTCCTACAACCTTAAGGTCAGTGGCCCTACAACCTTAAGGTCAGTGGCCCTACAACCTTAAGGTCAGTGGCCCTACAACCTTTAGGTCAGTCAGTGGCTCTACAACCTTAAGGTCAGTGGCCCTACAACCTTAAGGTCAGTGGCCCTACAACCTTAAGGTCAGTCAGTGGCTCTACAACCTTTAGGTCAGTCAGTGGCCCTACAACCTTAAGGTCAGTGGCCCTACAACCTTAAGGTCAGTCAGTGGCCCTACAACCTTAAGGTCAGTTGTCCTACAACCTTAAGGTCAGTGGCCCTACAACCTTAAGGTCAGTGGCCCTACAACCTTAAGGTCAGTCAGTGGCTCTACAACCTTAAGGTCAGTGGCCCTACAACCTTTAGGTCAGTGGCCCTACAACCTTAAGGTCAGTGGCCCTACAACCTTAAGGTCAGTGGCCCTACAACCTTTAGGTCAGTGGCCCTACAACCTTAAGGTCAGTGGCCCTACAACCTTTAGGTCAGTGGCCCTACAACCTTAAGGTCAGTGGCCCTACAACCTTTAGGTCAGTGGCCCTACAACCTTAAGGTCAGTTGACCTACAACCTTAAGGTCAGTGGCCCTACAACCTTAAGGTCAGTTGACCTACAACCTTAAGGTCATTTGTCCTACAACCTTTAGGTCAGTCAGTGGCCCTACAACCTTAAGGTCAGTCACCCTACAACCTTAAGGTCAGTGGCCCTACAACCTTAAGGTCAGTTGTCCTACAACCTTAAGGTCAGTTGACCTACAACCTTAAGGTCAGTGGCCCTACAACCTTAAGGTCAGTCACCCTACAACCTTGAGGTCAGTGGCCCTACAACCTTAAGGTCAGTTGTCCTACAACCTTAAGGTCAGTTGACCTACAACCTTAAGGTCAGTGGCCCTACAACCTTTATGTCAGTGGCCCTACAACCTTAAGGTCAGTTGACCTACAACCTTAAGGTCAGTGGCCCTACAACCTTAGGGTCAGTGGCCCTACAACCTTAAGGTCAGTCAGTGGCCCTACAACCTTAAGGTCAGTCAGTGGCCCTACAACCTTAAGGTCAGTTGACCTACAACCTTAAGGTCAGTCAGTGGCTCTACAACCTTTAGGTCAGTGGCCCTACAACCTTAAGGTAAGTTGTCCTACAACCTTAAGGTCAGTCAGTGGCCCTACAACCTTAAGGTCAGTCAGTGGCCCTACAACCTTAAGGTCAGTTGACCTACAACCTTAAGGTCAGTCAGTGGCTCTACAACCTTTAGGTCAGTGGCCCTACAACCTTAAGGTAAGTTGTCCTACAACCTTAAGGTCAGTCAGTGGCTCTACAACCTTTAGGTCAGTCAGTGGCCCTACAACCTTAATGTCAGTGGCCCTACAATCTTAAGGTCAGTGGCCCTACAACCTTAAGGTCAGTCAGTGGCTCTACAACCTTTAGGTCAGTGGCCCTACAACCTTAAGGTCAGTGGCCCTACAACCTTAAGGTCAGTTGTCCTACAACCTTTAGGTCAGTTGACCTACAACCTTAAGGTCAGTTGACCTACAACCTTTATGTCAGTGGCCCTACAACCTTAAGGTCAGTCAGTGGCCCTACAACCTTAAGGTCAGTGGCCCTACAACCTTAAGGTCAGTTGACCTACAACCTTAAGGTCAATCAGTGGCCCTACAACCTTTAGGTCAGTTGACCTACAACCTTAAGGTCATTTGTCCTACAACCTTAAGGACAGTGGCCCTACAACCTTAACAGTTTACATTTAAATAATAAATGCCAAGGAGACTAAATAAATAGAATAATAGGATAATAAAATGATTTCAATTGTTGAAAAAAAATTTCAATTGTAGAATATCAAAATAACATTTACATTGTAGAATAATAAAATGATATTTACATTGTAGAATAATAAAATAATATTTACATTGTAGAATAATAAAATAATATTTACATTGTAGAATAATAAAATAATATTTACATTGTAGAATAATAAAATAATATTTACATTGTAGAATAATAAAATAATATTTACATTGTAGAATAATAAAATAATATTTACATTGTAGAATAATAAAATAATATTTACATTGTAGAATAATAAAATAATATTTACATTGTAGAATAATAAAATAATATTTACATTGTAGAATAATAAAATAATATTTACATTGTAGAATAATAAAATAATATTTACATTGTAGAATAATAAAATAATATTTACATTGTAGAATAATAAAATAATATTTACATTGTAGAATAATAAAATAATATTTACATTTTAGAATAATAAAATAATATTTACATTGTAGAATAATAAAATAATATTTACATTGTAGAATAATAAAATAATATTTACTTTGTAGAATAATAAAATAATATTTACGTTGTAGAATAATGATGCTGAGTGTCCTAAAGAACACCAAGTCTAAAGTCAAGTTTTGGTTTCTCAAGAATTATCTCTCCCCAACCTTCAAGGTAAGACAACTCTCATATACATGTATCAAGTCACTGGATGTTCTTTTTTTATTACTTAGTAGTTTTATTTATTTAGTTTATACAGTAGTTGGAGGTTTATTTTTTGGGTTCCCAGAGTTAGATTTTCCATTGTTGTGATCATGTGTGTATGTTTGCAGGACTTTATCCCAATATTGTGATCATGTGTGTATGTTTGCAGGACTTTATCCCAATGTTGTGATCATGTGTGTATGTTTGCAGGACTTTATCCCAATGTTGTGATCATGTGTGTATGTTTGCAGGACTTTATCCCAATGTTGTGATCATGTGTGTATGTTTGCAGGACTTTATCCCAATGTTGTGATCATGCGTGTATGTTTGCAGGACTTTATCCCAATGTTGTGATCATGTGTGTATGTTTGCAGGACTTTATCCCAATGTTGTGATCATGCGTGTATGTTTGCAGGACTTTATCCCAATGTTGTGATCATGTGTGTATGTTTGCAGGACTTTATCCCAATGTTGTGATCATGCATGTATGTTTGCAGGACTTTATCCCATACATGGCCCAGGAGTACGGCTTTGAGTACGAGCTGGTCCAGTACAAGTGGCCAAGATGGCTCAACCAACAGAAGGAAAAACAGAGAATCATCTGGGGGTAAGTGGCGGTCAAATTTTTTCTTGGTGGTCAAATATTTTCTGGGGGTAAGTGGTGGTCAAATATGTTCTGGGGGTAAGTTTGGTGGTCAAATATTTTCTGTGGTAAGTTTGGTGGTCAAATATTTTCTTGGTGGTCAAATATTTTCTGGGGGTAAGTGGTGGTCAAATATTTTCTGGGGTAAGTTGGGTGGTCAAATATTTTTTGGGAGTAAGTGGCAGTCAAATATTTTCTGGGGGTAAGTGGCGGTCAAATATTTTCTGGGAGTAAGTGGCGGTCAAATATTTTCTGGGGGTAAGTGGTGGTCAAATATTTTCTGTGGTAAGTTTGGTGGTCAAATATTTTCTTTGGTAAGTTTGGCGGTCACATATTTTCTGGGGGTAAGTGGCGGTCAAATATTTTCTGGGGGTAAGTGGCGGTCAAATATTTTCTGGGAGTAAGTGGCGGTCAAATATTTATTTTCTGCGGGTAAGTTTGGTGGTCTAATATTTTCTGGGGGTAAGTGGCGGTCAAATATTTTCTGGGGGTAAGTTTGGTGGTCTAATATTTTCTGGGGGTAAGTGGCGGTCAAATATTTTCTGGGGGTAAGTGGCGGTCAAATATTTTCTGGGGGTAAAATACGGTCAAATATTTTCTGGGAGTAAGTGGCGGTCAAATATTTATTTTCTGGGGGTAAGTTTGGTGGTCTAATATTTTCTGGGGGTAAGTGGCGGTCAAATATTTTCTGGGGGTAAGTTTGGTGGTCTAATATTTTCTGGGGGTAAGTGGTGGTCAAATATTGTCTGTGGTAAGTTTGGTTGTCTAATATTTTCTGGGGGTAAGCTAATGGCCAAAATCATTAAGGATAGATTGTAAGTGTGTTGAGTAGTTAATTCTTAAAGTCTTCCTGCATTCAATGTTAGTTACTTTTCTCTTGTACAATCAACAAACTCCTCCAGTATTTTTGCATGCTGTATTTGCTGTGTAACCACTACGATGCATTCCCTCTTTGTCTTTCACCAATTTACTAGTTGAACAGTTCTAAACTATTTATTTTCTTGCCTTATGAGTGATGTGTAGCTTTTGTGATTACTTTATTTCAGCTACAAAATTCTCTTCTTGGATGTTCTCTTCCCTCTCGACGTGAAGAAAATTATTTTTGTTGATGCTGATCAAGTAAGATTTCTTTTTTTATCCACTAGATACAGGAAACAATTCAAGTTTCTTGGAATAAGGCTATCAAACTTAGCTAAAAGCATTTTTAAAACAAAGTTTTTTAATAAAATTCTGCATTTGTTATCAGATTGTCAGGTCTGACCTTCAGGAGCTGTATGACCTTGACCTTGGTGGGGCTCCATATGGTTACACACCCTTTTGTGACAGCAGGAAAGAAATGGATGGTTTTAGGTGGGTTGCTGGGCTTTTGTTGTGTGTGGGTTGGTTGGCGTGGTAGAGGGTTGATTGCTTTTAGTGTCTGGCAGGTTGGTGTGGTCGGTAGGTTGACTGGTGTTTAATCTTGTGCTGGTGTGGTTGGCAGGTTGACTGGTGTTTAATCTTGTGATTGGTGTGCCACAGGTTCTGGAACTCTGGTTACTGGAGCAGCCATCTTGCAGGCAGGAAGTACCACATCAGTGCCTTGTACGTTGTGGACCTGAAGAAGTTCCGGCGCATCGCTGCAGGTGACCGGCTGCGTGGTCAGTACCAGGGTCTGAGCCAGGACCCCAACAGTCTGGCCAACTTGGACCAGGACCTGCCCAACAACATGATCCACCAGGTGGCCATCAAATCCCTGCCCCAGGAGTGGCTCTACTGCGAGACCTGGTGCAGTGAGACGGAGAAACCCAGGGCCAAGACTATAGACCTGGTTAGTCATGGGCGTGTGGGGGGGGGGGGGGTGAGGGGTGACCCCAGGGCCAAAACTATAGACCTGGTTAGTCATGGGTGTGTGGAGGGGTGGGGGGGGGGGGGGTGACCCCAGGGCCAAAACTATAGACCTGGTTAGTCATGGGCGTGTGTAGAGAGGGGTGGGGGAGGGGTGGGGGAGGGGTGGGGGTGACCCCAGGGCCAAAACTATAGATCTGGGTGTGTGGAGGGAGAGGGGTGGGGTTTGACAAACTATACACCTGGTTAGTCATGGGCTTGTGGAGGGGTGGGGGAGGGGGTGTCGCCAGGACCAAATCTTCCCTAGTGTAACAACCCCTTGACCAAATCTTCCCCAGTGTAACAACCCCTTGACCAAATCTTCCCTAGTGTAACAACCCATTGACCAAATCTTCCCTAGTGTAACAACCCCTTGACCAAATCTTCCCTGGTGTAACAACCCCTTGACCAAATCTTCCCCAGTGTAACAACCCCTTGACCAAATCTTCCCTAGTGTAACAACCCCTTGACCAAATCTTCCCTAGTGTAACAACCCCTTGACCAAATCTTCCCTAGTGTAACAACCCATTGACCAAATCTTCCCTAGTGTAACAACCCCTTGACCAAATCTTCCCTAGTGTAACAACCCCTTGACCAAATCTTCCCTGGTGTAACAACCCCTTGACCAAATCTTCCCTAGTGTAACAACCCCTTGACCAAAGAGCCCAAGCTTCAGGCTGCCATGCGCATCGTGCCAGAATGGAAAGACTACGACTATGAGATCAAAGTCCTGTGGGATGAGATCTACCAGACCAACACCAAGTCTCAGGTGGAGTACGACCCTCCCCAACTGGCCAGCAGGAAAGGTCAGTCCAACATCTGTCAAATGATAAATAAACTAACAAAAGGGGAGATAAGTGCATCAAACTCTAGCCAACACTCAGTCACTTCCTGGTCAGATGGTAATGGATGGTAGGTCTAGATTGTACAATACTGGTCCTAGTCAGGTGCCAATGGATGGTAGGTCTAGATTGTACAATACCGGTTGGCTTTTAAAGGAAATAGATTTTAATCATATTACTGTACCATTAGAGCAGGGGTCTCCAAACTTTTCAGCCCGAGGGCTGCATTAACTATCAAATATCAGTTCGGGGGCCAGTTTCTTCCAGGCATCTTTTTGGGGGTGGCGGAGCAATTAATTTTGTTTATTGTTTCAGCATTTTTAAAATTTCTGTTTAGCTATCAAATGTTGTACCACTGTCATATGTTATACCACTGTCATATGTTGTTGTCATATGTTGTACCACTGTCATATGTTGTACCACTGTCATATGTTGTACCCTGTCATATGTTGTTGTCATATGTTGTACCACTGTCATATGTTGTACCACTGTCATATGTTGTACCCTTTCATATGTTGTTGTCATATGTTGTACCATTGTCATATGTTATACCACTGTCATATGTTGTACCACTGTCATATGTTGTACCACTGTCATATGTTGTTGTCATATGTTGTACCACTGTCATATGTTGTACCACTGTCATATGTTGTACCACTGTCATATGTTGTACCCTGTCATGTTGTACCACTGTCATATGTTGTACCCTGTCATGTTGTACCACTGTCATATGTTGTACCACTGTCATATGTTGTTGTCATATGTTGTACCACTGTCATATGTTGTACCCTGTCATATGTTGTACCACTGTCATATGTTGTTGTCATATGTTGTACCACTGTCATATGTTGTTGTCATATGTTGTACCACTGTCATATGTTGTACCCTGTCATGTTGTACCCTGTCATGTTGTACCACTGTCATATGTTGTACCACCATCATCTCAGACATCCATCAAATAATTTTTTTTACCTTGTCATTTTTTGTTCTATGACAGAGAAAAAGCCAGACAAGATAGAGCTTTGATGTAGCTGTTGTTAGATGTTGGTCTGCCAGATGGAGTGTGGTATGGAACCAAGTATTTATTTTTCTTGTGTTTACATTTTACCTTCATTGTTGTGTAAACACCATTTATGAATTGTCTTCATATTGTTTGAATTGTACTCATTCTTAAAATGTACTGTACCATTCTTGAATTGTACATCCTTCATAAACCTTGCAAATGTTAGATATGTGTGAGATTGTGTGTTTGGCACACATGATGAAAGACATTTTGATGAGAGAAGTTTGGAATTTTGTTGATCATGTGAGTAGATTGATTTGGTGTGGTTGGTTTGATGTGGTTGGTTTGATGTGGTTGGTTTGATGAGAGTAGGGATACACATTTTGTGTGTGGGTTTTTATTATTCATTCCAAGGTAAGAGAGGTTGTACATCAGTACGATGTGATTTTGTTACCATGAATTACATCAATATGATGTAATTTTGTTACCATGAATTCCGTTTCTATTTACAATGTGTCAAGCCAAAAAACTGAAATCTCTGGACAAACAAGTGTGACAGCTGACAGGAGCTTGATACATGGCAAAAATATTGTCTTGTGTGTCACATAGACAGTGTCAATGCACCATGTTTAGACATGCAGGGTTGGTGGTGTCTTTGTGCCTTTCATGTCTGACAACCACCTGACAGACAACCACCTGACAGACAACCACCTAATCCTTCACAGGGCTGTCACACCAAGACTAGAATTTTGGTCAATTGGTTTCTTTTTTTTTTTAAATTTTAACTTTGAACTCTGTCAATAATGGTTCCAATTTTTTTTTTTTTCTTGACATTCAAATCTTTTGAAATTATTTCTTTCTTTCCCTTTTGGTTTGATTGTCTTTGTTTGTCTGACTAGCTGTCAACTGAATACTCTTGAACTAATTTATGTTTTCATTGTTTTAGTTAATACATAACAAAACTCAGTTGAAGCAATATGTTTGACCTTTGATACCTTTGACTAGTACCCCCACACTTATGGTGTCAAACCTGACGTTGTACAGACAAAAAACTGACAATCTTTTATGAAGCAAAGTTGATTTGTTTTGTTGACTCTCATGGCTGTGGTACATGTGGACTACAGGACATGTAACCTGCCATACTGTATGATACTTATAGGACATGTGGACTACAGGACATGTAGCCTGCCATACTGTATGATACTTATAGGACATAGGACATGTGGACTACAGGACATGTAGCCTGCCATACTGTATGATACTTATAGCCCATAGGACAAAAGAAAGCCTACAGGACATGTAGGTCCTACCCCACAGGACTTCTAGCCCACATTATATATAGCCACAGGACTTTAGACCACAGACTTTATAAAATGATTTTATCTAACGTACTTTATATTCTCTACTCTCTCCCCCCCCCCCCCCCCCCAAACATCTGAGCATAATGCAGATAGTATAGGGGGCTGTAGACAGGTTTACATTATCTAATGGAGACTGTCTGTGATGATCTGTGGATTCACTTTTACTGCCGTTGTTTGTTATCCAAAGTTATTGCACATTTTTTCTGGCTAATAAAAAATAAATTATTCGTAATGTTGTTCCAAAATATGTTTAAAATAGATTTACTTGCTAACACATGACTGTCAAATTATTTTTAAACATCATCACATTTTTTTTTCTGCTTCAAAAAATAGCTTGATAACTTTTGTCTATGTTTCAAAAAGATTTGGTTAAATAATTTTATGATTTTTTTTCTTTTTGGAAATTTTGATCCAAACATTAAACATGCATTTAAGGGAAACAATTTCTTGTTCAAATACTGTTAGCAAAATAAAAAAGTAAAATATTTTCTTTCTCTTTCTTTTTTTTACTTTCTCATATATACGAAGTATAGAGAAAGTATTGTAATCGTGCAAAAAAAAAAATCGAGATTTTTACAAATCTCGACGTTTTACACCTTACTGATACGGAAAAACATAATTTTGCAATCTTGTCCGTATGTCTGTGTGTCTGTGTGTGTGTCTGTCTGTCTGTCTGTCCGTGTGTAAACACGATTACTTGAGAACCGTTACAGCTAGGTTGATGAAATTTCATATATAAGTATTTTATCAAAATCGTAGATCCGTATCAACTTTTGAGCGATTTCCGATAACCGGAAGTGGTACTTTTCCTACTTTGAATTTTTCAAAAGCCTATAACTTGAGTACTATTTCAGATAGATAAATGAAATTTCACATGTAAGTAAAAGATCTAATTCTCTACCTTCTGTTAAATTTTGAGTAATTTCCGTTGACCGGAAGTAGTAATTTACGCTACTTCCGATTTCTCAAAAAACTAATGTACATTTTTAAAGTACTAATAATATTGCGCACTATTATGCGCTTTTTTATTTGGCGTTCACTTGGTGTGCAATTAATTTGTCTACGAGATTTTATTCTATTTTTAAAACTTTAAGAATTTAAAATGGATTAAAAATCATGTCTATAGCCCGAGTTCCCATCCCCCGTTATTTTATATAAGAATATTCGAGAAAGTTTAGGGGAGATCACTCCCGGTTTATTTGCCACCTGAATTTGGTTTTATTTTGTTGTACACAGTCCCTCCACAAAACATAACATGACATCTAATGCCATCTAAATAAAATATTTCCATTCCTGTTGACATCATTTGCTACGTGTTCATCAAAAATTAAATGTGTAGGCAGAGAGAGAGTGGTGTGCTAGTGAGAGGAAGTGTGTGTTGACATCATCTGACATGTCCTTAATGTCCTGTGATGTTGACATCATCTGACATGTCCTTAATGCCCTGTGATGTCCTGTCATGTTGACATCTGACATGTGCTATGTTGGCCAAGCTGGAGCTTATGTCTCTAAGGGCTGGGTGCCCCACCTTATTTTGTTGTTTTGGGTGTCCGATATCAAATTTCAGTTTTGACTTTATTAAATACATTTATTTTCAGATATAAAATCAAATTACCTATTGTTAGAAAATGTTTACTTTTCTTCAAAGTATTTTTCTTGCTATGTGTCACTATGTATGTTTTGATTGTCTCTTCTGGGATTTACTCAAAATGATAACAATTTCTCTTCAAATTGCTACTCCTCAGTTATTTAGATGTATCTTAATGAAACTTTATGCTTCAGATGTATGCACATAAATTCTATGCTTGCTTTTTATGAAAGTAAGAAACTTTAATTTTGCAGCCTGAAATTTGTAATTTTGAGCAAATTTTAGCATTTTCTAACTTCCTGAATGAAAAAGAATTGTAAAAACTTGTTAGCATTACATTTCCTGAAATGTGCAACCTAGAAAGTTTTAGGCAACTATAGCCCCATAAAATGCTTCCAATTTTGTCTGTTCAGCACTTGTGTTCTAGGGCCTAGCATTTTGAAAATGATAAACTAAAATCCAAGATGGCGGTGGTTACCATGTTTTAGAAAGGCCTTTTGGTATATGTTATAGTTATAAGAGTCAAGTTTCAATGAATTTAAATAGTAACAAAAAGTGCATCACCCAGTATATCACCCAGTCTTAACATATTGGATCAATTCAAGACTGCAAGCATTTGTTGAGCCTTATCCATCTAATATCTAAGGGTCACAGATGGGAACAAGCAAAACGACATCCATCAAATATCTTAAGGGAACAGGGAGGCATGTTGTCACAAATATTGACTCAAAGTTTTTGAATTAGAAAAGAAAAAACATTTTATTTTTACACCTCATCCTTCTTGTGGTTACACACACTGACCCTTTTGGTCAAATCTTTTCCATCATAATACTTGGTGATGGAGTCTTTGATCAGGTACTCCCTGGGCTTGTACTCATGCCACTTGTTCATCAGAAGGTTGATGACTGACTCGTCGTAACGATGGCAGCGGGCGTAACGTTTGGTTGTGTCTGGTGCTATGTCGCAGCTGGGCTTGGACCCTGGCGGTGAGATGCAGTACTCCTCCATCACGCAGCTGATCAGGTACCTTATAAAGGAATTGATCACCTTGCCGGAATTGTGAATGACAATCAGGTTGAAGTCAAAATGTGGAACTTTCTGGAGTTTCTTCTCATTGATCTGTCAGGACACGAATGTTAGCAGTTAAAGATCTGATGGTTTCTGTTGGTGATTTCAAATGGCACACAATGAACTGAAATTTCTGTGTTTCTCTCAGGCATATTTCCAGGGGAGAACGACACACAAAAAAAAAAAAAAAAAATTAAACATATATTTTAACCACTGTCGTCTCCCCCCCCCCCCCCCCCCCACCGTCTTGAGAAATATCTGAAAGAAACCCTGTGTAGGTTCCCAGCTAACCTGCAGTACCAGCTAACCTGTGATGAAGACAGTTGATGGAGTGACACTGAGGTTTGTTGAGCTACTGTAGAGATCCACCACAATCAACTCATAACTTAATTAGATCTGTCATTAATTAATTAGTGACCGCAGACTGACAGGGAGATAACTCAAATTATGATACACTTGGTATAAAAATTACAACTCCAACTTTTAAGGTCTTTCAAACCTAACCCAAGGTATCCAACAAACAGGGAGAGGTGTAGTTAGGGTAGGGCAGCAGCCCGGGCACCAACCTGGGGGGATGGGAGGGGGTGTGTTGAACGGAGTAGGAATAAATAATTTTTAAGACTCATTTTGAGCTGCATTACTTACTTAAACACAGCTGAAGATAACAGACTGTTACTTGGCTTTACTGTTTACTATTTCACTGTTTACACCAACATAAAAATCGTTAAGGGACAGTGACTGGTAAAAATATCCCCCACGTTACCTAATTGATAGGTGGTGGGAGGGTTTGCCAATAAGAATAATTTTATTCATGTGGGTAGGGGGCAAAGTTGAAATTTCACCCCAGGAGCCGGAATGGGTCGCTACGCCTCTACAAACAGGTAACATCACACAGGTGTAAATATATAGGTAAGTATGAGGGGGTGGTCTTACTTACAGGTATAAAAGTGTGTGTTACTGGTATATAAGTGTAGGTGTGTGGGTTTGTCCTACTTACAGGTATGAATGTAAAGGTGTGTGGGTTTGTCCTACTTACAGGTATGAATGTAAAGGTGTGTGGGTTTGTCCTACTTACAGGTATGAATGTAAAGGTGTGTGGGTTTGTCCTACTTACAGGTATGAATGTAAAGGTGTGTGGGTTTGTCCTACTTACAGGTATGAATGTAAAGGTGTGTGGGTTTGTCCTACTTACAGGTATGAATGTAAAGGTGTGTGGGTTTGTCCTACTTACAGGTATGAATGTAAAGGTGTGTGGGTTTGTCCTACTTACAGGTATGAATGTAAAGGTGTGTGGGTTTGTCCTACTTACAGGTATGAATGTAAAGGTGTGTGGGTTTGTCCTACTTACAGGTATGAATGTAAAGGTGTGTGGGTTTGTCCTACTTACAGGTATGAATGTAAAGGTGTGTGGGTTTGTCCTACTTACAGGTATGAATGTAAAGGTGTGTGGGTTTGTCCTACTTACAGGTATGAATGTAAAGGTGTGTGGGTTTGTCCTACTTACAGGTATGAAAGTAAAGGTGTGTGGGTTTGTCCTACTTACAGGTATGAATGTAAAGGTGTGTGGGTTTGTCCTACTTACAGGTATGAATGTAAAGGTGTGTGGGTTTGTCCTACTTACAGGTATGAATGTAAAGGTGTGTGGGTTTGTCCTACTTACAGGTATGAATGTAAAGGTGTGTGGGTTTGTCCTACTTACAGGTATGAATGTAAAGGTGTGTGGGTTTGTCCTACTTACAGGTATGAATGTAAAGGTGTGTGGGTTTGTCCTACTTACAGGTATGAATGTAAAGGTGTGTGGGTTTGTCCTACTTACAGGTATGAATGTAAAGGTGTGTGGGTTTGTCCTACTTACAGGTATGAATGTAAAGGTGTGTGGGTTTGTCCTACTTACAGGTATGAATGTAAAGGTGTGTGGGTTTGTCCTACTTACAGGTATGAATGTAAAGGTGTGTGGGTTTGTCCTACTTACAGGTATGAATGTAAAGGTGTGTGGGTTTGTCCTACTTACAGGTATGAATGTAAAGGTGTGTGGGTTTGTCCTACTTACAGGTATGAATGTAAAGGTGTGTGGGTTTGTCCTACTTACAGGTATGAATGTAAAGGTGTGTGGGTTTGTCCTACTTACAGGTATGAATGTAAAGGTGTGTGGGTTTGTCCTACTTACAGGTATGAATGTAAAGGTGTGTGGGTTTGTCCTACTTACAGGTATGAATGTAAAGGTGTGTGGGTTTGTCCTACTTACAGGTATGAATGTAAAGGTGTGTGGGTTTGTCCTACTTACAGGTATGAATGTAAAGGTGTGTGGGTTTGTCCTACTTACAGGTATGAATGTAAAGGTGTGTGGGTTTGTCCTACTTACAGGTATGAATGTAAAGGTGTGTGGGTTTGTCCTACTTACAGGTATGAATGTAAAGGTGTGTGGGTTTGTCCTACTTACAGGTATGAATGTAAAGGTGTGTGGGTTTGTCCTACTTACAGGTATGAATGTAAAGGTGTGTGGGTTGGTCACCACATAGGTGCTGTATTTTAACTGAGTTCCACCAAAGACCAGCCCATGAACACGACTTTGATGAATGAAATCTTTGATGCCTTGTTTAAAGACGTATCGTCCAGGCTCAACATACACCAAGTGACCATACTTGGCCAAAGCAAACTGGATGGTTAGAGAAAACAAATGAGTTGTGTCATGACAGTAGTGCTAATGTAACTGTACATTTATCACAAAAGTCTCTGGTGAGCCCAACCCCCCCACACACACACACACGAGCAGCCCAATACCTGCAGCAACATGGGCCTCCACACCCGATGTCTGTTCTTGTACAGCGACTCTGGCCACAGTTGTAGCCACAAACTGACCACCTCCGTGTTGCACAGTGAGCTGATCTGGTATGGAAGAGAATTGTTACAGTGAGCTGATCTGGTATGGAAGAGAATTGTTACAGTACTCGGGTTTTAAAAAAAGGCTGTTTTAAACTTGAAAATGTTTTGCATTCTAGAAATTGTTTATCAAGACTCCACAGTATTTTACAGCTAATGACCTTTTCCACCGTTGTGCATACGTAGACGGTGCAATATCATCAACTGTGTTAATGTAGAATAAATCAAAATTATTACGCAACTACTTCATTGTCTTAGCTGACACTTGGTTAACAGAGAATCAGATTGGCATAAAATTTAAAGTTTGAATGAATGTAACTTTCCCGCTTTTTTTAAATTTTTTGGCAGTATAAAAAAAAACTTTTTCCCAAATTTTTTCATATTTTTCTCTTGACCAACTTTTTAGAGGGGTAGGGGGGATGAGTAGGGTGGTAGTCTGGCTATTAATGACATTATGGGTAGGGGTTAACATTTGCATTATTCATGTGATGCCTTTAATGAACTACTACTAGGATGTTCAATAAAATTAACTACCATTACTTTTAGTTTCATGATTGGTAAAATTTGGGTATTGGTTTTCAGGATTCACAAAAAAAAATTAGTGGCAGTAGCATAATTAGGTGTGGTGGACACCACACCTTGTGGTGTGGCGTCCACAAGGTGTGACATGACTATAACTCACAAAGAGTTTCTCATCTGATGTCAGTCCGATGTCATAGATAGCTATGGGACTCTCAGGGTAGAAGTACTGCACGGAGTAGATGAACTGGATGGTGGCCGGATAGGTGGAGTGGGATCCAGCGGTCACAAAGGCAAAATTGTCGTGGCTCTCATGGGCACCCTGTGGGAGAAAGGTTGAAATCATGTACACAAACAAGGCTCTCATGGGCACCCTGGGGGAGAAAGGTTGAAATCATGTACACAAACAAGGCTCTCATGGGCACCCTGGGGGAGAAAGGTTGAAATCATGTACACAAACAAGGCTCTCATGGGCACCCTGGGGGAGAAAGGTTGAAATCATGTACACAAACAAGGCTCTCATGGGCACCCTGGGGGAGAAAGGTTGAAATCATGTACACAAACAAGGCTGTCATGGGCACCCTGGGAGAGAAAAGTTGAAATCATGTACACAAACAACTCTCATGGGCACCCTGGGAGAGAAAAGTTGAAATCATGTACACAAACAAGGCTGTCATGGGCACCCTGAGGGAGAAAGGTTGAAATCATGTACACAAACAAGGCTCTCATGGGCACCCTGGGGGAGAAAGGTTGAAATCATGTACACAAACAACTCTCATTGGCACCCTGGGGGAGAAAGGTTGGAATCATGTACACAAACAAGGCTCTCATGGGCACCCTGGGGGAGAAAGGTTGAAATCATGTACACAAACAAGGCTCTCATGGGCACCCTGGGGGAGAAAGGTTGAAATCATGTACACAAACAAGGCTCTAATGGGCACCCTGGGAGAGAAAAGTTGAAATCATGTACACAAACAAGGCTGTCATGGGCACCCTGAAGGAGAAAGGTTGAAATCATGTACACAAACAACTCTCATGGGCACCCTGGGGGAGAAAGGTTGAAATCATGTACACAAACAACTCTCATTGGCACCCTGGGGGAGAAAGGTTGGAATCATGTACACAAACAAGGCTCTCATGGGCACCCTGGGGGAGAAAGGTTGAAATCATGTACACAAACAAGGCTCTAATGGGCACCCTGGGGGAGAAAGGTTGAAATCATGTACACAAACAAGGCTGTCATGGGCACCCTGGAGTAGAAAGGTTGAAATCATGTACACAAACAAGGCTCTCATGGGCACCCTGGGGGAGAAAGGTTGAAATCATGTACACAAACAAGGCTGTCATGGGCACCCTGGGAGAGAAAAGTTGAAATCATGTACACAAACAAGGCTCTCATGGGCACCCTGGGGGAGAAAGGTTGAAATCATGTACACAAACAAGGCTCTCATGGGCACCCTGGGGGAGAAAGGTTGAAATCATGTACACAAACAAGGCTCTCATGGGCACCCTGGGGGAGAAAGGTTGAAATCATGTACACAAACAAGGCTCTCATGGGCACCCTGGGGGAGAAAGGTTGAAATCATGTACACAAACAAGGCTCTCATGGGCACCCTGGGGGAGAAAGGTTGAAATCATGTACACAAACAACTCTCATTGGCACCCTGGGGGAGAAAGGTTGGAATCATGTACACAAACAAGGCTCTCATGGGCACCCTGGGGGAGAAAGGTTGAAATCATGTACACAAACAAGGCTCTAATGGGCACCCTGGGAGAGAAAAGTTGAAATCATGTACACAAACAAGGCTGTCATGGGCACCCTGAGGGAGAAAGGTTGAAATCATGTACACAAACAACTCTCATGGGCACCCTGGGGGAGAAAGGTTGAAATCATGTACACAAACAAGGCTCTCATGGGCACCCTGGGGGAGAAAGGTTGAAATCATGTACACAAACAAGGCTCTAATGGGCACCCTGGGGGAGAAAGGTTGAAATCATGTACACAAACAAGGCTCTCATGGGCACCCTGGGGGAGAAAGGTTGAAATCATGTACACAAACAAGGCTGTCATGGGCACCCTGGAGTAGAAAGGTTGAAATCATGTACACAAACAAGGCTCTAATGGGCACCCTGGGGGAGAAAGGTTGAAATCATGTACACAAACAACTCTCATGGGCACCCTGGGGGAGAAAGGTTGAAATCATGTACACAAACAAGGCTGTCATGGGCACCCTGGAGTAGAAAGGTTGAAATCATGTACACAAACAAGGCACTATAAGGCACCCGGAGGAGAAATAATGTACACAATCTTGTGACTGTCTCTTAGACAAAAAAGTGTTAATAGTTATATTTATATAGCTAGACCAGGTAAACACTACTCACACAGGTAGACCAGGTAAACACTACTCACACAGGTAAACACTACTCACACAGCTAGACCATGTAAACACCACTGACACAGGTAAACACCACTCACACAGCTAGACCAGGTAAACACCACTCACACAGCTAGACCAGGTAAACACCACTCACACAGCTAGACCAGTTAAACACCCGAGCACTCACCAGCATCTCATTTTCCGTGACCTGTACCTCCCTGTCTGCAACCTCTTTAAAGAACGACGCCCTCCTCTTGGTCATCTCCTCCTCCAGCTGCCAGTCGACCCCGTCCTCCCCAAAAACTTTTTTCTCGACCGGCTGCTTACTCCTTTTCTCAAACTGGTCTTTCACAGCTTTCTTAGCAAGAAATTAAAAAGCCATTCACTAAATAAAATTATCAACTTAAACTACTACATATAAATTTATATGAGAATTTTTGCTTTGAGAAATGTTGATAATAAAACTATTGTCATTAGATAATTAAAGTCATTTCACTTATGAAAAGTGAATTTTAAAGTTAATTACGTTCTACTGAGTCTACTGAAACAGCTTACACTGTATTTATTTGAATAATAATTTTAAACACCATTTTATGTAACTGCGAAAAACCATTTTAATTTGTCAATTGAGAATTTTATTTAATCATCATGTCAAAAACCTTTTCTTTCTGATTTTTCAAGTCATCTAAAGTGTCATCATCAAGGTCTTTAGGGATGTCGCCAACATCAATGTTAGGTTTTCCAGCCTCTTTCTGAAAATAAAATTTAGTTATGCCACTAACTGACTGTAAGACAAACTTGGGCCATTTATATCTTGTAAAACCTACTTGGGCCATTTATGTCTTGTAAAACCTACTTGGGCTATTTATGTCTTGTTTTTCTTTCAATGAGACGTGACAACATCAAGGCTACTGTCTAATCATTTACACTTTTTTGTCAGGGTCAGGCTATATTATCTAGTAGCCTAAGCCATACTACTGGGTGAAGGTCAGACCATATTATCTTGACCTGGGTCATCTTTAACCAGAGACCAAAACTTACTTGACCTGGGTCATCTTTAGCCAGAGACCAAAACTTACTTGACCTGGGTCATCTTTAGCCAGAGACCAAAACTTAATGGATCTGGGTCATCTTTAGCCAGAGACCAAAACTTACCTGATCTGGGTCAACTTTAGCCATAGAGACCAAAACTTACCTGATCTGGGTCAACTTTAGCCATAGAGACCAAAACTTACCTGATCTGGGTCAACTTTAGCCATAGAGACCAAAACTTACCTGATCTGGGTCAACTTTAGCCATAGAGACCAAAACTTACCTGATCTGGGTCATCTTTAGCTACATCCTGGTCTCTTGACTCATAAATCACAGCGTCATCTAGTGGGCGGGGCTTCACGTTCTTTGGGTGCTCCACCCTCGTGTCACGGAAAGGGTTGGCACTTTTCTAGAAGACATCATTGTCATAGACTTCATAGACATCATTGTCATAGACATTATAGACATCATTGTCATAGACATTACAGCACATACATATCTCATAGACATTACAGCACATCATTGTCATAGACGTTACAGCACATACATATCTCATAGACATTACAGCACATCATTGTCATAGACATTACAGCACATACATATCTCATAGACATTACAGCACATCATTGTCATAGACATTACAGCACATCATTGTCATAGACATTACAGCACATCATTGTCATAGACATTACAGCACATCATTGTCATAGACATTACAGCACATACATATCTCATAGACATTACAGCACATCATTGTCATAGACGTTACAGCACATCATTGTCATAGACATTACAGCACATACATATCTCATAGACGTTACAGCACATACATCATTGTCATAGACATTACAGCACATACATATCTCATAGACATTACAGCACATCATTGTCATAGACGTTACAGCACATACATATCTCATAGACATTACAGCACATCATTGTCATAGACATTACAGCACATACATATCTCATAGACATTACAGCACATCATTGTCATAGACATTACAGCACATCATTGTCATAGACATTACAGCACATAAATGTCAATTCACAGTCAATAAAAGTAAAGTTCCCCTTTTGAACCTGACAAATCACAGGGGAAGTAGAGTCCTGTTTCTGTGACCTTGGCAATGGCATTTGAAAGGATAGTGTGGTCAGCACTATACCCAGTTGCCTGTACTTTCCCTAATATGAGTTAGGTACCCATCAGAGATGGGTGGACTAAGGGATATTCTACTGACTTGAACCAAGCCAGATTCAAACTCGAGACTTTTAGGTTAGCAGTCTATCGCTCTACCGCTAGGCCAAGCCATCCCTTAATAGACAAAAGAGCACAATGATGTCATATGGTAGTTCATATTGTAGGCTACAAACTTGTGAATAAACAATACCATCCCACACACACAACATCAAACATACACATCACACAACATCCCAGATACACAACATCATACAGACACATCCCACACATTACTGTGAGTGTGACACCTATCTGATCCCTGTTCTAAAGTTAATGGAAACAAAGCACAAGATGTGTACACAGCACATAACAAGGACCTATCAGACACAGCACATAACAAGGACCTATCAGACACAGCACATAGCAAGGACCTATCAGACACTGACACACAGCACATAACAAGGACCTATCAGCCACAGCACATAACAAGGACCTATCAGACACAGCACATAACAAGGACCTATCAGCCACAGCACATAACAAGGACCTATCAGCCACAGCACATAACAAGGACCTATCAGACACAGCACATAACAAAGACCTATCAGCCACTAACACAGCACATAACAAGGACCTATCAGCCACTGACACACAGCACATAACAAGGACCTATCAGCCACAGCACATAACAAGGACCTATCAGACACTGACACACAGCACATAACAAGGACCTATCAGACACACACACATAACAAGGACCTATCAGCCACAGCACATAACAAGGACCTATCAGCCACTGAAACACAGCACATAACAAGGACCTATCAGCCACAGCACATAACAAGGACCTATCAGACACTGACATCACATAACAAGGACCTATCAACGACTGACCTTTGCTGGACCTCCAAACAAAACTTTGTATCCGATGACGACAACGACAGCAACCACGACATAGTTGAGGACACTTTTGTTGCTCCACGCCCTGCCCATAGCTCTCTGTCAGATGGTTAGGTGACAGTCAGACACGTTACAATGGTCAGATGACAGACGATGGTCAGTTGATGCACAGAATAGATCTAGCAATATTTTATTTTCCAAACAAACTCCGCACAAGTCTCCACATGACATAGAAGTCTAGATCTCTAGATTCTAGCTCTAGATTTAGATATTGTTTCCTTTTCTCTTCTTAGCTTGACAACTAGAATCTAGACTACAACTATCAACTAGATCTAGAGTAAAGTTCCACGCGCGGTTAAAACACCGGTGCGATCATCGCCTGTTTATCGCTTCGTACAATATTTGTTTTGATGTTTTATACGAAACTACCGATATCTGCTGTAAACCTGTCCATTTCTAAATATATCCAGGTCAAATTCTTTTGTTTTTCTCCTTCTGGAAGTCGAGTTTTTAAATTTTAAAGTTTCGAGGTATGACGTCGTAGGCGGTTCTAGTTCCCCCTATGAAAAACACTAGGTCCCGGACGAGATGAATAAAACCAACCAATCAAAGCTTTTTATAACTAGGTTAACTATAAATAGCTTCTACAATATATGCGGGACACTTTACATACGATAGATAAGGCTAATAAAGCAACCTGATAGGTAAATAGGGGTGGCCGCAGCTTGGGTGTCGATTACGGTGGTTTCACATCGCTGCGTAACCAACGACTTGAGCTAGACTAGCCTAGTTCTAGATGCTCTATATTTCAAACTAAGCCTAGAATCTTTATACTTTCTATTTTTTTCTGCAGTTTTAAATTATTTCGATCATCTACTTCTTCTAAATCTAGTTTGTGTCTCTACATACAAGCATATCTAAGCAAATGTTACGTTATGTCTTTTAGTGGTTGTTACGTCCCTTTGTTATGATTATTATAGTTGCGTCCCTTGAGTCATCACTGGGTCAACTTTTAATGTCTTTAATTAATTTAATTAACATGTTTTTAATTATTATTTTTGCAATCTATTAATTAATAATACAATCAACAACACGTTTAAGTGTGTAAAATATTTATTTCAATTATTAAAATTGGATCAAAACGTATACAATACGCTCGTTGGCAAGCAGGTTCTTGCGTACGCAGGCAAAAAAAAAAGGGAAAAAAAATATCGCAAGGAGGGACGTCACTAAAACATGAATATCTTAAATACTATGCGTAGGAATACAAAATGACTCATACATATTACAGTAGAATGGCAGCGGAGTAATACAGTGCTTTCGGTTTGTTTCTGTGTGAAACGGTTATAAAATAGCGCCCGATTAAAATCGGGAATTTGGAATTTTCCGCTATGTGTGACCGCGCGTGGAACTTTACTCTAGTAATTACTAGATCTAGATCTAGATCTCCTATAGAATCAAGATCTACAATCCACTTTTCCTTTTTTGATTTTTTTTCATTGATCTTTAAAACATTTAGATATACCTTTTAAATTAAAAAACGAAATATTCCCAGAATAAAAACTTGGAGAAAACAACACTCAATTTAATTTGTTTAATTTTAAAAGTCAGTCGCCATGACGTGTACTGAGGTGTGTGTAAAGCCAACACGCCTCAAGTACGTGGTTCATTGGTTTAACATTCGGTCTCGAGATTATCGCGCGTGCTGGCAATATCTTTACTCTCAAGCCACCAGATCGAAGCATGCAACATCTGCTGCTGTTTCTAATCGACTCATGTTTGCACCTTCAGAATAACACCTAGATCTAGGTTTTAAATTTTACCTTCAGAATAACAGTTAAGTTTTAAATTTTACCATCAGGATAGCAGCTAGATATCAAATGTTACGATTCGAATTTAAAATAAAAGCTAAGTTTTAAAATTTTACCTGTGAATCGGTTTGACTGGGGGAGGGGGCAAAACTTTCAGGGGGGGGGGGGGGGGGGACACGGGTAAGGGCACGAAACGAAGGTAAGGGCCTGCAAGAAACACTGATTTTGCTCAAGGAGAACGATTTTCCATTTAAAAACTAATCAACCTTCAGATTTAGTGTGATTAAAGACTAATTAGCCTATATAGTTAATGTAATTAAAGACTAATTAGCCTACTGATTTAGTGTAATTAAAGTCTAATTAGCCTACAGGTCCAGTGTTTAAATTAAAGACTTTTTTGACTACTTATTTAGTGTAATTAAAGACTAATTAGCCTTCAGATGTAATGTAATTAACGACCAATTAGCCTTCAGGTGCAATGCAATTAAATACTAATTAATTAGCCTACAGATTTAGTGTAAAGTTAGGAATAAACGCCGACACACCCCTAGGGGACAGGGGCGTCGCAATCCATTCCGGTGCCCGTGTCGAACTATCAACTTTGCGCCCCCCTCTCCTTTTAAATTATTTGTATTTTTCTACCCCGTTCGGAGCACCCCTAAGGTTGGCGCCGTTGCGGCCGCCCAACCCACCCTCCTCTAGCCCAACCCACCCTCCTCTAGCCCAACCCACCCTCCTCTAGCCCAACCCACCCTCCTCTAGCCCAACCCACCCTCCTCTAGCCCAACCCACCCTCCTCTAGCCCAACCCACCCTCCTCTAGCCCAACCCACCCTCCTCTAGCCCAACCCACCCTCCTCTAGCCCAACCCACCCTCCTCTAGCCCAACCCACCCTCCTCTAGCCCAACCCACCCTCCTCTAGCCCAACCCACCCTCCTCTAGCCCAACCCACCCTCCTCTATCTACGCTTCTGCTATTAGGGATTCTAACTTTTGAGGCAATTTGGGGGAGGGGGGGGGGTGGCTAAGAAATTGTGACGACACAAACATTTTAAAAACTGATGTTAGAAATTTTACTCAAGCCCTTTTTAGCGTTATTAAAAGACTGAAAATTGCAATAGAAATTGATTTATAAAGGCCTGCTCAATGTAGATCAAGCTCAGATATTTTTTTTCGTTGGATGGTCTGGTAGGATGGTCTAGTAGGATGGTAGGATGGTCTGGTAGGATGGTCTGGTAGGATGGTAGGATGGTCTGGTAGGATGGTCTGGTAGGATGGTCTGGTAGGATGGTCTGGTAGGATGGTAGGATGGTCTGGTAGGATGGTAGGATGGTCTGGTAGGATGGTCTGGTAGGATGGTCTGGTAGGATGGTCTGGTAGGATGGTCTGGTAGGATGGTCTGGTAGGATGGTCTGGTAGGATGGTCTGGTAGGATGGTCTGGTAGGATGGTCTGGTAGGATGGTAGGATGGTCTGGTAGGATGGTCTGGTAGGATGGTCTGGTAGGATGGTCTGGTAGGATGGTCTGGTAGGATGGTAGGATGGTCTGGTAGGATGGTCTGGTAGGATGGTCTGGTAGGATGGTCTGGTAGGATGGTCTGGTAGGATGGTCTGGTAGGATGGTCTGGTAGGATGGTCTGGTAGGATGGTCTGGTAGGATGGTCTGGTAGGATGGTCTGGTAGGATGGTAGGATGGTCTGGTAGGATGGTCTGGTAGGATGGTCTGGTAGGATGGTCTGGTAGGATGGTCTGGTAGGATGGTCTGGTAGGATGGTCTGGTAGGATGGTCTGGTAGGATGGTCTGGTAGGATGGTCTGGTAGGATGGTCTGGTAGGATGGTCTGGTAGGATGGTCTGGTAGGATGGTCTGGTAGGATGGTCTGGTAGGATGGTCTGGTAGGATGGTCTGGTAGGATGGTAGGATGGTCTGGTAGGATGGTCTGGTAGGATGGTCTGGTAGGATGGTAGGATGGTCTGGTAGGATGGTAGGATGGTCTGGTAGGATGGTCTGGTAGGATGGTCTGGTAGGATGGTCTGGTAGGATGGTCTGGTAGGATGGTAGGATGGTCTGGTAGGATGGTCTGGTAGGATGGTCTGGTAGGATGGTAGGATGGTCTGGTAGGATGGTAGGATGGTCTGGTAGGATGGTCTGGTAGGATGGTCTGGTAGGATGGTCTGGTAGGATGGTAGGATGGTCTGGTAGGATGGTCTGGTAGGATGGTCTGGTAGGATGGTCTGGTAGGATGGTCTGGTAGGATGGTAGGATGGTCTGGTAGGATGGTCTGGTAGGATGGTCTGGTAGGATGGTCTGGTAGGATGGTCTGGTAGGATGGTCTGGTAGGATGGTAGGATGGTCTGGTAGGATGGTCTGGTAGGATGGTCTGGTAGGATGGTAGGATGGTCTGGTAGGATGGTCTAGTGGAATCACTGTTGGATGGTAGGATGGTCTGGTAGGATGGTCTGGTAGGATGGTAGGATGGTCTGGTAGGATGGTAGGATGGTCTGGTAGGATGGTCTGGTAGGATGGTAGGATGGTCTGGTAGGATGGTCTGGTAGGATGGTCTGGTAGGATGGTCTGGTAGGATGGTCTGGTAGGATGGTCTGGTAGGATGGTATGGTAGGATGGTCTGGTAGGATGGTCTGGTAGGATGGTAGGATGGTCTGGCTATTTGTGAAGATGTGCCACGATGGAAAAGGGGAGGCAACTATCATTTTTAAAAAGTCACAAAAGTTAAGTATGGCCCCCTTTTTTTTTAGATTTTAACATTATTGATGGATCAGTAAATCTAAAATTCTTTTTATTATTTATTTTATTTTATTATTTTTTTTTAACTGGCAAAATCAACCCAGAATCTAGATCTCGCTTGCAAACATTAGTTGGTATGTTAAATTTCTTAACAAAGGGAAACGACTCAATTAATAAATACGGCTAAATACTCTGCCTTGGTTTTATCCCCTTATGAAATAAAATATTAAAACTTTTATAATCTATATCTATATATATAATTCTCTTCTGGGATCAGTTAGAAAACAAGTTGCAAGTGCCTCCTTGCAGTTCCCTCTCTTTCTCTCTATCACTATCACTACCACCCCCACCCCACCCCAAAATTGTCTGGTGAGCGGTGTTCACTCTAAATTTTTACAAAGCTAAATGTATACAAATCGTAGAGCCGTACAGCCGGGTTTCTATTAGGGGCAGATAATTTAGTTCGATTTTAAACTTACAGGAGGTAACTAAGAAATAACTAAGAGGAGGCTGCTTTCACGGGGGGGGGGGGGGTGTAGGGTCGGGGTTAGGGTTTTAAAGCAAATATTTTCAGTGGCAGCATTGGTACTGTCGAATTAACAAATTATGAATTACTGAAAAGTAGAAAATAAAACAACTAAATAGCGGCGTATGATACGCTGCGGGTCGGCTCGTATAATAATATAATATGTGGACTATAGGAGTAGGCTTGTTTTTTATGAAGCTTTTATTCAATCTAGATTGGATTATGCTTCTGTAGTGTGGAGCGTCAGCTTTATAACAAAACAGCGTACTCTTCTTTCTTTACAAAAAAAGGCTATAAAACTGGTTACTGGCTTGTCTAGTAGTCTGGATTCTTTTATTACAACTAATATACTCCCATTAAATAAAAAGATAACATATACTAAAGCAATTTTTTATATAAAATATTCCACGAAACAGCCCCCTCTTACTTATCAGACCTATTTTCTTTTAACATAAAATTAAATCGTCGCCTTAATTTACCGATCCCACATACAACTTTTTTCCAAAATCGAATCATAGCTTCGCCTACTCTGGTTCTAATTTGTGGAACAATCTTCCTAATAAAATAAAACTATTTAGATCTGAACATATATTCAAAACTAAACTTAAACAACAATTATTCAATGACCTCTTTAATTGACATTTCTCATTCATCTATTATATTCTTATTTTATCACATTTTGTATTATAACTATGTAATATTATTTCTTTATTCCACTTTTTTAATGCTATTTTACTGCTATGTATGTACTACGCATTTGCTTTTTTTAAATGCTGTTATTAAATTGTTGTTTTATTTGTTTATTTTAAAACGGCAAACGTGAAAAAAAGGCCCCAGTGCCTGCTATTGTTACCGTCATTGAATAAATAAATAAATGAAAATATCCTGCCTTAGTCTCTAGTCGATCCTCAGGCTAACAAAATCACCCAACCGTGACAAAACAGTTCACCGTCTACGGTCAGCTGATTGAGTGACAGCTGGGTTTTTTTTTTTTTGACTCACTTAATGCCTAAATAGATAAATAAATGGTCACAGAAGACGAAGTTTAAAAGAAATCGCTTCATTAGAACTAGGTCAAAGTTGAGTTACAATATTTTCCACAAACACACAAACAAACACACAGACAGACGCCGTAAACTAAATAAAAACTCCAGACTAGCAGACATCAACATTCTTGTAGTTTTTTAATTATTTTTTTGTGTGGATGTTTCGAGTTGACGTGATGTTGACCGGATGTTGACTTAATGTTGACCGCATATTGCCCTGATGTAGACCGGATGTAGACCGGATGTTGACCGGATGTTCACGACTTTGACCACCTGAGTGTGTTCGAATTGTTGTTCTCTTCTTCATCAGGGAAATCATTCACTGGTGATCCCGCATAAGGCGTGGCTTCAGCTGGTGACACAAAGTGGTGGTGACACAAGGTGGTGACACAAAGAAGTGGTGACACAAGGTGGTGACACAAGGTGGTGACACAAGGTGGTGGTGACACAAGGTGGTGGTGACACAAGGAGTAGGAGGTCAGTTGGAGGTCAGTATCGGGTTTTAAGTTATGTAAGCAAACTTTATGTAAATGTGTGGTCTGTAAGTGTTTGGTATGTAAGTGTAAGTGCGTGGTATGTGTGTGGTGTGTAATTGTGTGGTGTGTAAGTGCGTGGTGTGTACGTGTGTGGTATGTACGTGTTAGTGTGTGGTATGTAAGTGTGTGGTAAGTGTAAGTGTGTGGTGTTGTGTGGTATGTAAGTGTGTGGTATGTAAGTGTAAGTGTGTGGTGTTGTGTGGTATGTAAGTGTGTGGTATGTAAGTGTAAGTGTGTGGTGTTGTGTGATATGTAAGAGTGTGGTATGTAAGTGTAAGTTTGTGGTATGTAAGTGTAAGTTTGTGGTATGTATGTGCTATGTAAGTGTGTGGTATGTAAGTTTGTACGTGTGTGGTGTGTAAGTGTGTGGTATATAAATGTGTGGTTATGTAAGTGTAAGTGTGTGGTATGTGTGTGGTATGTATGTGGTATGTAAGTGTGTGGTGTATAAGTGTGTGGTGTGTAAGTGTGTGGTGTGTAAGTGTATGTTATGTACGTGTGTGGTAAGTGTGTGGTATGTAAGTGTGTGATATGTAAGTGTGTGGTATTTAAGTGTGTGGTATATGTGTAGTATGTAAGTGTGTGGTATGTGTGTGGTGTGTAAGTGTGTGATATGTAAGTGTGTGATATGTAAGTGTGTGGTATTTAAGTGTGTGGTATGTGTGTAGTATGTAAGTGTGTGGTATGTGTGTGATGTGTAAGTGTGTGTGCTAGGTAAGCGAGAATTATGTGCCGACCTATGTGAATGGATGGCGTCATGTAATTCAAGCGCGGACGGTTGTCGTCAAAGTCCTCTAGAAAATTCTCACTAAACTCCATGGTATTCTCGGGCAGTTCCTCTGGGAGGGTTTCTTTCATCATTTCTTTAGTCTGCATGGATAACCTGAGCACAGATAAGCAGCAAGGTTAACATCAACACAATCAGCAAGGTTAACCTCAACACAATCAGCAAGGTTAACCTCAACACAATCACCAAGGTTAACCTCAATACAGTCAGCAAGGTTAACCTCAACACGATCAGCAAGGTTAACCTCAACACAATCAGCAAGGTTAACCTCAACACAATCAGGTTAACCTCAACACAGTCAGCAAGGTTAACCTCAACACAATCAGCTATGTTAACCTCAACACAGTCAGCAAGGTTAACCTCAACACAATCAGGTTAACCTCAAAACAATCAGGTTAACCTCAACACAATCAGGTTAACCTCAACACAATCATCAAGGTTAACCTCAACACAATCAGATTTACCTCAACACAATCAGCAAGGTTAACCTCAACACACTCAGCAAGGTTAACCTCAACACAATCAGCAAGGTTAACCTCAACACAATCAGCAAGGTTAACCTCAACACAATCAGCAAGGTTAACCTCAACACAATCAGGTTAACCTCAACACAATCAGCAAGGTTAACCTCAACACAATCAGCAAGGTTAACCTCAACACAATCAGGTTAACATCAACACAATCAGCAAGGTTAACCTCAACACAATCAGCAAGGTTAACCTCAACACAATCAGATTTACCTCAACACAATCAGCAAGGTTAACCTCAACACAATCAGGTTAACCTCAACACAATCAGCAAGGTTAACCTCAACACAATCAGATTTACCTCAACACAATCAGCAAGGTAAACCTCAACACAATCAGCAAGGTTAACCTCAACACAATCAGCAAGGTTAACCTCAACACAATCAGCAAGGTTAACCTCAACACAATCAGCAATGTTAACCTCAACACAATCAGGTTAACCTCAACACAATCAGCAATGTTAACCTCAACACAATCAGGTTAACCTCAACACAATCAGCAAGGTTAACCTCAACACAATCAGCAATGTTAACCTCAACACAATCAGGTTAACCTCAACACAATCAGCAATGTTAACCTCAACACAATCAGCAAGGTTAACCTCAACACAATCAGCAAGGTTAACCTCAACACAATCAGCAAGGTTAACCTCAACACAATCAGATTTACCTCAACACAATCAGCAAGGTTAACCTCAACACAATCAGCAAGGTTAACCTCAACACAATCAGCAAGGTTAACCTCAACACAATCAGCAAGGTTAACCTCAACACAATCAGGTTAACCTCAACACAATCAGCAAGGTTAACCTCAACACAATCAGGTTAACCTCAACACAATCAGCAAGGTTAACCTCAACACAATCAGATTTACCTCAACACAATCAGCAAGGTTAACCTCAACACGATCAGGTTAACCTCAACACAATCAGCAAGGTTAACCTCAACACAATCAGATTTACCTCAACACAATCAGCAAGGTTAACCTCAACACAATCAGATTTACCTCAACACAATCAGCAAGGTTAACCTCAACACACTCAGCAAGGTTAACCTCAACACAATCAGCAAGGTTAACCTCAACACAATCAGCAAGGTTAACCTCAACACAATCAGATTTACCTCAACACAATCAGCAAGGTTAACCTCAACACAATCAGCAAGGTTAACCTCAACACAATCAGCAAGGTTAACCTCAACACAATCAGCAAGGTTAACCTCAACACAATCAGCAAGGTTAACCTCAACACAATCAGCAAGGTTAACCTCAACACAATCAGCAAGGTTAACCTCAACACAATCAGCAAGGTTAACCTCAACACAGTCAGCAAGGTTAACCTCAACACAATCAGGTTAACCTCAACACAATCAGATTTACCTCAACACAATCAGCAAGGTTAACCTCAACACAATCAGGTTAACCTCAACACAATCAGCAATGTTAACCTCAACACAATCAGCAAGGTTAACCTCAACACAATCAGCAAGGTTAACCTCAACACAATCAGCAATGTTAACCTCAACACAATCAGCAATGTTAACCTCAACACAATCAGCAAGGTTAACCTCAACACAATCAGCAAGGTTAACCTCAACACAATCAGCAAGGTTAACCTCAACACAATCAGCAAGGTTAACCTCAACACAATCAGCAAGGTTAACCTCAACACAATCAGCAAGGTTAACCTCAACACAATCAGGTTAACCTCAACACAGTCAGCAAGGTTAACCTCAACACAATCAGCAATGTTAACCTCAACACAATCAGCAAGGTTAACCTCAACACAATCAGGTTAACCTCAACACAGTCAGCAAGGTTAACCTCAACACAATCAGCAATGTTAACCTCAACACAATCAGCAAGGTTAACCTCAACACAATCAGCAATGTTAACCTCAACACAATCAGCAAGGTTAACCTCAACACAATCAGCAAGGTTAACCTCAACACAATCAGATTAACCTCAACACAATCAGCAAGGTTAACCTCAACACAATCAGCAAGGTTAACCTCAACACGATCAGGTTAACCTCAACACAGTCAGCAAGGTTAACCTCAACACGATCAGGTTAACCTCAACACAATCAGCAAGGTTAACCTCAACACAATCAGGTTAACCTCAACACAATCAGCAAGGTTAACCTCAACACAATCAGGTTAACCTCAACACAATCAGGTTAACCTCAACACAATCAGCAAGGTTAACCTCAACACAATCAGCAAGGTTAACCTCAACACGATCAGGTTAACCTCAACACAGTCAGCAAGGTTAACCTCAACACGATCAGGTTAACCTCAACACAATCAGCAAGGTTAACCTCAACACAATCAGGTTAACCTCAACACAATCAGCAAGGTTAACCTCAACACAATCAGGTTAACCTCAACACAATCAGGTTAACCTCAACACAATCAGCAAGGTTAACCTCAACACGATCAGCAAGGTAAGCCTTTACTATTAGACAAAAAAACTTACTTGGACGGGAGACCGCTGTTGTCAATGGTGGTTGCCTGACAAAATAAAGGGGCGTGGTCAAACACTTTCTTGTAACACACACCACACACAACGCAACATTTAACACAACACACAACACACACAACTCAACATTTAACACAACACACAACACACACAACTCAACATTTAACACAACACACAACACACACAACTCAACATTTAACACAACACACACAACTCAACATTTAACACAACACACACAACTCAACATTTAACATAACACACACAACTCAACATTTAACACACTCCCCGACCCCCAATAATAAAACGTCCCCGCCCCTCACTCGGTCAATCCTGACCATTCACTATTCAGGCAGACACCAACAAAACAATCACCCCCATTCCCTCCCCTTCCCAATTAGCGCTAGCCTTATTTTAGTTCAGCTCATTATGTCATTAGCCTAGTTCTTGATTTTGTCTCGTTCTAGATGTCCCTTAGTTTCAGAGAGCCTCGGTCTAGTCTTAGCCTATATCCCACGCCACCCTGGCGCAAGTCTAGTGAGTAGAATGGTAGTCATAAAGTGAAGTTTTCATTCGTTGACTGCACTAACACGTACAGACACCTTTGACACACCACTACTGTAGATACAGTAGACACACGGCACAGCTGAGACACGACACATCTGACACACGACACAGTAGACACACCACTACAGTAGACACATCTGACACACGACACATCTGACACACGACACATCTGACACACGACACATCTGACACACGACACAGTAGACACACCACTAGACACATCTGACACACGACACATCTGACATACGACACAGCTGACACACGACGCATCTGACACACGACACATCTGACGTACGACACAGCTGACACACGACACATCTGACATACGACACATCTGACACACGACACATCTGACACACGACACATCTGACATACGACACATCTGACACACGACACATCTGACACACGACACAGTTGACACACGACACAGTTGACACACGACACATCTGACACACACCAGAGTGAAGAAATCTTACCGTGGTCAACGTTGTTGAAATGCTCGAACTTTTTTTCTTGCTAGCCAACACCCCAGCAGCAACAGAGGAAGATTTCTTCATCTAAATGGTGGAGGCGAGAGTTGAGTTTTGGAGACATTCATTCAGCTAAGTTTTAAGTAACTAATGTCATCTCATGTCAGCTCACCTTTAGTGACCCCTGTCTCACCTAAGTGACCCCTGTCTCATCTTAAGTGACCCCTGTCTCACCTTAGTGGCCCCCGTTTCTCACCTTAAGTGACCCTGTCTCACCTTGTGTCCCCTGTCTCACCTTAAGTGACCCCTGTCTCACCTTAAGTGACTTCGTGTCTCACCGTAGTGACCCCCGTTTCTCACCTTAAGTGACCCTATATCCGCTCTATACACCCTCCCGTCGCTTCCTTTGATAAATTTTGTATCACTGGAAGAAATAAAAATGTAACATAGATGTGTAATTTGTAGGCACCATGAGATTTTATAGAGGTGTAATTTGTAGGCACCATGAGATTTTATAGAGGTGTAATTTGTAGGCACCATGAGATTTTATAGAGGTGTAATTTGTAGGCACCATGAGATTTTATAGAGGAGTAATTTGTAGGCACCATGAGATTTTATAGAGGTGTAATTTGTAGGCACCATGAGATTTTATAGAGGTGTAATTTGTAGGCACCATGAGATTTCATTCAAATGTTTAATTAACACACATCTAATTAGTCTGTAATTTGTAGGCACCATGAGATTTCATTCAAATGTTTAATTAACACACATCTAATTAGTCTGTAATTTGTAGGCACCATGAGATTTCATTCAAATGTTTAATTAACACACATCTAATTAGTCTGTAATTTGTAGGCACCATGAGATTTCATTCAAATGTTTAATTAACACACATCTAATTAGTCTGTAATTTGTAGGCACCATGAGATTTCATTCAAATGTTTAATTAACACACATCTAATTAGTCTGTAATTTGTAGGCACCATGAGATTTCATTCAAATGTTTAATTAACACACATCTAATTAGTCTTGATGTTAATAAAATTATGAATGAACTTACGTCGCTAGTCCAGTAAAGGCTGGTGGGGCGATCTCCACTGTCTTTTTCCTGGGGGTAAATAACCGCAAGATGACCGTTAAATTACCGTCAAATAATCGCAAGATGACCGTTAAATTACCGCAAGATGACCGTCAAATTACCGTCAAATGACCGCAAGATGACCATTAAATTACCGCTAGATGAGCCTTAAATTACCGTCAAATGACCGCTAGATGACCGTCCATGATCGTGAAATGACCAAAAAATGAAAGAGCCAAACATATATTGTCACACTTTGTCTATAAACCTGTCTGGCATTGTGACGTCATAATGTAGACGGAAATGACGCGGCCACTTACGGTTGGCCGTGGAAGCTGACCATCTTGGGCCAGTATTGGACGTAGCTGCCACCCACGGGCCGTGGGATGTTGTAGATCTCGGCCACCTCGTTATTCAGGTCAATGCTGGGGAGATAAACATGAGATATAACATGAGACATAACTTGAGACATGAGATATAACATGAGATATAACATGAGACAAGAGATATAACATGAGATATAACTTGAGACATGAGATATAACATGAGATATAACATGAGACAAGAGATATAACATGAGATATAACTTGAGACATGAGATATAACATGAGACATATAACATGAGATATAACATGAGATATAACATGAGACATGAGATATAACATGAGATATGAGATATAACATGAGATATGAGATATAACATGAGACATGAGATATAACATGAGATATAGCATGAGATATAACATGAGATATAGCATGAGCTATAACATGAGACATGAGATATAACATGAGATATAACATGAGACATGAGATATAACATGAAATATAGCATGAGATATAACATGAGACATGAGATATAACATGATATATGAGATATAGCATGAGATATAACATGAGACATGAGATATAGCATGCGATATAACATGAGACATGAGATATAACATGAGATATGAGATATAACATGAGATATAGCATGAGATATGAGATATAACATGAGATATGAGATATAACATGAGACATGAGATATAACATGAGATATAGCATGAGATATAACATGAGACATGAGATATAACATGAGATATGAGATATAACATGAGATATGAGATATAACATGAGACATGAGATATAACATGAGATATGAGATATAACATGAGATATGAGATATAACATGAGATATAGCATGAGATATAACATGAGACATGAGATATAACATGAGATATAACATGAGACATGAGATATAACATGAGATATGAGATATAACATGAGACATGAGATATAACATGAGATATAACATGAGATATGAGATATAACATGAGATATGAGATATAACATGAGATATAGCATGAGATATAACATGAGACATGAGATATAACATGAGATATAACTTGAGACATGAGATATAACATGAGACATATAACATGAGATATAACATGAGATATAACATGAGACATGAGATATAACATGAGATATGAGATATAACATGAGATATGAGATATAACATGAGACATGAGATATAACATGAGATATGAGATATAACATGAGATATGCGATATAACATGAGATATAGCATGAGATATAACATGAGACATGAGATATAACATGAGATATAACATGAGACATGAGATATAACATGTGATATGAGATATAACATGAAATATAGCATGAGATATAACATGAGACATGAGATATAACATGATATATGAGATATAGCATGAGATATAACATGAGACATGAGATATAGCATGCGATATAACATGAGACATGAGATATAACATGAGATATGAGATATAACATGAGATATAGCATGAGATATGAGATATAACATGAGATATGAGATATAACATGAGACATGAGATATAACATGAGATATAGCATGAGATATAACATGAGACATGAGATATAACATGAGATATAGCATGAGATATAACATGAGACATGAGATATAGCATGAGATATAACATGAGACATGAGATATAGCATGCGATATAACATGAGACATGAGATATAACATGAGATATGAGATATAACATGAGATATAGCATGAGATATAACATGAGACATGAGATATAACATGAGATATGAGATATAACATGAGACATGAGATATAACATGAGATATAGCATGAGATATAACATGAGACATGAGATATAACATGAGATATAGCATGAGATATAACATGAGACAAGAGATATAACATGAGACATGAGATATAACATGAGATATGAGATATAACATGAGACATGAGATATAACATGAGATATGAGATATAACATGAGATATGAGATATAACATGAGATATAGCATGAGATATAACATTAGACATGAGATGTAACATGAGATATAGCATGAGATATGAGATATAACATGAAATATAGCATGAGATATAACATGAGACATGAGATATAACATGATATATGAGATATAACATGAGATATAGCATGCGATATAACATGAGACATGAGATATAACATGAGATATGAGATATAACATGAGACATGAGATATAACATGAGATATAGCATGAGATATAACATGAGACATGAGATATAACATGAGATATAGCATGAGATATAACATGAGACATGAGATATAACATGAGATTTGAGATATAACATGAGACATGAGATATAACATGAGATATAGCATGAGATATAACATGAGATATAGCATGATATATAACATGAGACATGAGATATAACTTATGAGATATGAGATATAACATGAGATATGAGATATAACATGAGACATGAGATATAACATGAGATATAGCATGAGATATAACATGAGACATGGGATATAACTTATGAGATATGAGATATAACATGAGATATGAGATATAACATGAGACATGAGATATAACATGAGATATAGCATGAGATATAACATGAGACATGAGATATAACTTATGAGATATAACATGAGATATGAGATATAACATGAGATATGAGATATAACTTGAGACATGAGATATAACTTATGAGATATAACATGAGACGTGATATATAACATGAGACATGAGATATAACATGAGACATGAGATATAACATGAGATATAACTTGAGATATGAGATATAACATGAGATATAACATGAGACATGAGATATAGCATGAGATATAACATGAGATATAACATGAGATATGAGATATAACATGAGATATAACATGAGACATGAGATATAACATGATATAGAACATGAGATATAACATGAGATATAACATGAGACATGAGATATAACATGATATAGAACAAGAGATATAACATGAGATATAACATGAGATATAAAATGAGCTATGAGATAGAACATGAGGTATAACTTGAGACATGAGATATAACATGATATATAACATGAGATATAACATGAGATATAACATGAGACATGAGATATAACATGATATATAACATGAGATATAACATGATATATAACATGAGATATAACATGATATATAACATGAGATATAACATGAGATATAACATGAGATATAACATGAGATATAATATGAGACATGAGATACAACATGAGGTACAACATGAGATAGAACATGAGACATGAGATATAACATGAGATATAACTTGATATCCACGGTTGAGCAGGTCCCCCCCCCCACCTACTTGTATCCACGGTTGAGCAGGTAGCGCAGTCTGGGCGGGCTCTTGTTGACCTGCTGGTCGCGGGGTGACATGGACGGGTTGAAGTAGCAGGTGTCGGGGAGGGATTTCTCCACTCTGTTGGTCAAACACGGCGTTTAGTTGTCTGCTTCAGCATGTCACGTTTGTCATATGTCGTCTGTCATCTGTCGTCTGTCACCTGTTTGTTTCCGTCTGTCAACAGTTTGTTGCCGTCTGTCAACAGCTTGTTGCCGTCTGTCAACTGTTTGTTGCAGTCTGTCAACTGTTTGTTGCCGTCTGTCAACTGTTTGTTGCCGTCTGTCAAAAGTTTGTGTACATACATCTTGATGACGTCAGACTCTCGGTCACATGACAGGCATGCTGTTTCACCAATCGGACCCTTCAACTTCCTGTTGAATACAAAAACTGGGTCATGGATGTAGGTCAAGGTGAGAAAGAAGTGGGTTAGGTAAAAAAATATTGTGATAAAGTGGGGTATGTATAGAAGCTTGTTTTATCACATGGTTTGACTGTAAAGGTGCGTTCAACATTTTTAAACTGCCACGTCCAAATCTAATGTTATTCAAGAAAATAGCAATCGAATTGTGTCGTTGTTTTACCCATTCCATGTTTTTGGTTATTAATATTTTCGGTCACTAAATAAAACAAACATTAAAATAAAACATCTGGAACATTCCAGACCGACCGAGACGACAAGACTCACGTTTTGGATGTGGCAGCATTCGGACGTTTCTCCATGTACTGCTCCTGTTGTCAGGGGAAATAAGACGTTCGTTAATTAACGCACTTAATCAGCTCACGCACTTAATCAACTCATGCACTTAATCAACTCATGCACTTAATCAACTACCGCACTTAATCAACTACCGCGCTTAATCAACTAACGCACTTAATCAACTCATGCACTTAATCAACTCATGCACTTAATCAACGCACTTAACTAACGCACAACCGCACTGAATCATCAACCAGAGGTAACCAGTCCCCCCCCCCCCCTTACAATCTTGGCCAAACGTTTGTTGATGACGCCGATTGTTGCCGACAACGACTTGATCTGGTAGTCCGACTTGGACTTGGACATCTGGACAGAGGAGCTGGGGTTGATGTCTGTGTTCTGCTGGAAGACAGGGTGACACGTGACTAAACAGGTGACACGTGACTAAACGTGACAACACGTTACTAAACGTGACAACAGGTGACAACAGGTGACAACAGGTGACAACAGGTGACTAAACGTGACAACACGTGACAACTTGTGACAACTTGTGACTAAACGTGACTAAACGTGACAACAGGTGACAATACGTGATGACATGATCCAGGTAGAGCGACTTTGACCTACCTGAGACATGTAGAGCGACCTTGTCCTACCTGTGACAGATAGAACGACCTTGACTTACCTGAGGCACCACCTTCTTGTCAAACGATGAAAGTTGAGTGTGGACCTAGAGGGGGGAAGGGAGGGGACGACATTAGCTGGTGACGTATCTCAACCAAATGGTGTTGTGATGCCTAGGGAATGCGATGGTGTAGTGTGTATTGATGGGGATGTGGTGATGGAATATTCGATGGTGTAAGATGTTTGTGGGTGACGATATACCTTGGTGGATGTGGATATACCTTGGTGAATGTGGATATACCTTGGTGGATGGGGATATACCTTGGTGGGTGACGATATACCTTGGTGGATGGGGATAAACCTTGGTGGATGGGGATAAACCTTGGTGGATGGGGATATACCTTGGTGGATGGGGATATACCTTGGTGGATGGGGATAAACCTTGGTGGATGGGGATAAACCTTGGTGGATGGGGATAAACCTTGGTGGATGGGGACAAACCTTGGTGGATGGGGACATACCTTGGTGGATGGGGAAATACCTTGGTGGGTGGGGACATACCTTGGTGGATGGGGACATACCTTGGTGGATGGGGATAAACCTTGGTGGATGGGGATAAACCTTGGTGGATGGGGATAAACCTTGGTGGATGGGGACAAACCTTGGTGGATGGGGACATACCTTGGTGGATGGGGAAATACCTTGGTGGGTGGGGACATACCTTGGTGGATGGGGACATACCTTGGTGGATGGTGGACATACCTTGGTGGATGGGGACATACCTTGGTGGACTGCGATTCCTCCATTAAACGTTTGACAGTTTTCACATCAACAGCTTTTTCTTTGACTTGTCGAATACTGGCTTGAAGATCCTAGTAGGATATAGCTAGGTTAGGACATTAGAGGACTTTACAGATACTATAGGACATTATTGGAAACTAGAGGACACTAGGACAATAGAGGACAGTACAGGACATACGAGGGTACTATAGGACAATAGATGACATACGAGGACAGTATAGGACATACGAGGACACTATAGGACATACGAGGACACTATAGGACATACGAGGGCAATAGAGGACATACGAGGACACTATAGGACATACGAGGACACTATAGGACATACGAGGACAATAGAGGACATACGAGGACACTATAGGGCATACGAGGACACTATAGGACATACGAGGACACTATAGGACATACGAGGACACTATAGGACATAGGAGGACACTATAGGACATACGAGGACACTATAGGACATACGAGGACAATAGAGGACATATGAAGACACTATAGGGCATACGAGGACACTATAGGACATACGAGGACACTATAGGACATACGAGGACAATAGCGGACATACGAGGACAATAGAGGACATACGAGGACACTATAGGGCATACGAGGACACTATAGGGCACACGAGGACACTAAAGGGCATACGAGGACACTATAGGACATACGAGGACACTATAGGACATACGAGGACAATAGAGGACATACGAGGACAATAGAGGACATACGAGGACACTATAGGACATACGAGGACACTATAGGACATACGAGGACACTATAGGACATACGAGGACACTATAGGACATACGAGGACACTATAGGACATACGAGGACACTATAGGACATACGAGGACACTAGGACATAGAAGGAGGACAGGAGTACCTCCAAGAGGCGAGTGTTACTGCTGAGATCGGAAGCCCCAACAACTCTCTGAAGTTCCCCCAGCTCCATCTCCAGCCGGTACATCGTCTGCATGATGGAGTCTGTGATGGCCCACTGGGACTCCTGGGGGGGGGGGGGGGGGGGGGGATGTACCAATGGGTCATGGTTAGGTGAGCAACACAAGCATATGTGTGTGTGGGGGGTGTACAAGGGGGTCTAAAGGGACAGAACCTGAGTCTAAAGGGACAGAACTTGAGTCTAAAGGGACATAACTTGAGTCTAAAGGGACAGAACTTGCGTCTAAAGGGACAGAACTTGCGTCTAAAGGGACAGAACTTACGTCTAAAGGGACAGAACTTGCGTCTAAAGGGACAGAACTTGAGTCTAAAGAGACAAAACTTAGTCTAAAGGGACAAAACTTTCGTCTAAAGGGACAGAACTTTCGTCTAAAGGGACAGAACTTTCGTCTAAAGGGACAAAACTTAGTCTAAAGGGACAAAACTCACCATCTCCGATGTGACCTGGAACATCTCCTTCTTTGGGTAGTCGACCTTGGACGGGTCACGGGTCGTTGAGTTGCTTATGACTAGACCGTCCTCGTGGTTGACCTCTGGGGAGAAGGGAAGGGGGGGGGGGGGCGTCACAGATTTTTTTTTACAATAATGTCCCACATTTTGACGTCACTATTTAAAGCGCTGACCTCCTTTAGCCATAGCTCTAGCAAAGCCACTGGACGCAAGCAGCTGGTCTAGTCGAACGACCTTGAACCCAAGGTCAATGCTTGGGCTAACCTTGACCGAGTCACGCATTTGGTTCATTGACGTCTGCAGGCCTTGGAGCAAAAGCTTCATCTCCAATATCCGCTTCCGTGCTTGAAAGTCCTGGCAACATGATTGACGTGTGATCACATCATTGTGTGATGTGTGGTGATTGCACCCGAACATCCCACTCAACATCCGAACATCCCACTTAACATCCGAACATCCCACTTAACATCCGAACATCCCACTTAACCGAACATCCCACTTAACATCCGAACATCCCACTCAACATCCGAACATCCCACTTAACCGAACATCCCACTTAACCGAACATCCCACTTAACCGAACATCCCACTTAACCGAACATCCCACTTAACCGAACATCCCACTTAACCGAACATCCCACTTAACCGAACATCCCACTTAACCGAACATCCCACTTAACCGAACATCCCACTTAACCGAACATCCCACTTAACCGAACATCCCACTTAACCGAACATCCCACTTAACCGAACATCCCACTTAACCGAACATCCCACTTAACCGAACATCCCACTTAACCCAACATCCCACTTAACCGAACATCCCACTTAACCGAACATCCCACTTAACCGAACATCCCACTTAACCGAACATCCCACTTAACCGAACATCCCACTTAACCGAACATCCCACTTAACCGAACATCCCACTTAACCGAACATCCCACTTAACCGAACATCCCACTTAACCGAACATCCCACTTAACCGAACATCCCATCCGAACATGGCAGCTAAGATCTCACCACTACGTCCCCGCCGTAAGCCTCCCCGTAGTTGAACGGGTCGTAGTTGATGGGTTTGGGCGTGTCGCCCGCGATCTTCTGAACCTCGACCTTCTGCTGGGCGATCTTCTCGCTCAGGCTGTTGTTGATCTGGTCCATGCACTTGTACAGGTCTTTGACGTTCTCGCTTTCCTGTGGGATACAAACTCTTAGCTCAGCTATGTGGCTCAGTTGTGTGGCTCAATTGTGTGGCCCAATTGTGTGGCTCAATAGTTGGCCCAACTGTGTGGCTCAATAGTTGGCCCAACTGTGTGGCTCAATTGTGTGGCTCAATTGTGTGGCTCAATAGTTGGCCCAACTGTGTGGCTCAATTGTGTGGCCTAATTGTGTGGCTGAACTGTGTGGTTCAATTGTGTGGCTCAACTGTGTGGCCCAATTGTGTGGCTCAATAGTTGGCTCAATTGTGTGGCTCAGCTGTGTGGCTCAATTGTGTGGCTCAATTGTGTGGCTAAACTGTGTGGCTCAGTTGTGTGGCTCAATAGTTGGCTCAACTGTGTGGCTCTAGAGGTGACATGCCTAAACTCGCCAGTCAGGCGTCTAGCAAACTTTAAGTAGTGTTCTTCTGTCAGCAGGCTGTGATTATGTAACATTCACAAAGTGTGTGTTCATATGAGCTTGTTTTAACCTTGGATTTACTTGACCTTGACATTACCTTTTTTTTGTTCCCCGTGACCTTGACTCAACCTCATGTACACGTGACCTTCTGTTGTCCGTGACCTTGATTGTGCCTTGTTGGCGTGACCTTGACCTTAAGTTCACAATGACCCTGACCTTACCTTTTCTTCCATCTCGTCAACCCGCTCCGTGCCCTTCTTGATGCTGACAGCCGCCTCGGTCAACTTGTTCTAGACCAAAACAATATCAGTCAGGTGGCGAACTACACATATATCACGTCACGACACATACATGCACACCACGGCAAGACACCACAGTGAGACATCAACACACACCACAACACACCAAGACACCAACACACACCACAACACACCAAACACGACCCCTACCTCTTGTGTTACCACTTAGTGACCCCTACCTCTTGTGTTACCAAAGTGACCCTTACCTCTTGTGTTACCACTTAGTGACCCCTACCTCTTGTGTTACCAAAGTGACCCTTACCTCTTGTGTTACCACTTCCAGTGACCCCTACCTCTTGTGTTACCACTTAGTGACCCCTACCTCTTGTGTTACCATTTCAAGTGACCCCTACCTCTTGTGATACCACATAAAGTGACCCCTACCTCTTGTGTTACCAGTGACCCCTACCTCTTGTGTTACCACTTCAAGTGACCCCTACCTCTTGTGTTACCAAAGTGACCCCTACCTCTTGTGTTACCAAAGTGACCCTTACCTCTTGTGTTACCACTTAGTGACCCCTACCTCTTGTGTTACCACTTCCAGTGACCCCTACCTCTTGTGTTACCACTTCGAGTGACCCCTACCTCTTGTGTTACCAGTGACCCCTACCTCTTGTGTTACCACTAAAAGTGACCCCTACCTCTTGTGTTACCAGTGACCCCTACCTCTTGTGTTACCACCTACCTCCAGGTCCTTTATCTTCTGCTGCAGGGCGTTGATTTGTAACGTCATTTTCTTAAACTCCTGGAGCTGGTCAGCGGTCATTCCGCCAGGAGGCGCAGCTTTTGTCCCCATGGTCCCCGTCACGGTGGGCTGGGTCACTGGACGACAGGGGTCACCTTCAGTGTCTGGTTGTCTGGTCTGGTTGTTTGGTCTGGTTGTCTGGTCTGGTTGTCTGGTCTGGTTGTCTGTTCTGGTTGTCTGGTTGTCTGGTCTGGTTGTTTGGTCTGGTTGTCTGGTCTGGTTGTCTGGTCTGGTTGTCTGTTCTGGTTGTTTGGTCTGGTTGTCTGGTCTGGTTGTCTGGTCTGGTTGTCTGGTCTGGTTGTCTGGTCTGGTTGTCTGGTCTGGTTGTTTGGTCTGGTTGTCTGGTCTGGTTGTCTGGTCTGGTTGTCTGGTCTGGTTGTCTGGTCTGGTTGTCTGGTCTGGTTGTCTGGTCTGGTTGTCTGGTCTGGTTGTCTGGTCTGGTTGTCTGGTCTGGTTGTCTGGTCGTCTGGTCTGTTTGTCTGGTCTGGTTGTCTGGTTGTCTGGTCTGGTTGTCTGGTCTGGTTGTCTGGTCTGGTTGTCTGGTCTGGTTGTCTGGTTGTCTGGTCTGGTTGTCTGGTCTGGTTGTCTGGTCTGGTTGTCTGGTCTGGTTGTCTAGTCTGGTTGTCTGGTCTGGTTGTCTGGTCTGGTTGTCTGGTCTGTTTGTCTGGTCTGGTTGTCTGGTCTGGTTGTCTGGTCTGGTTGTCTGGTCTGGTTGTCTGGTCTGGTTGTCTGGTCTGGTTGTCTGGTCTGGTTGTCTGGTCTGGTTGTCTGGTTGTCTGGTTGTCTGGTCTGGTTGTCTGGTCTGTTTGTCTGGTCTGGTTGTCTGGTCTGTTTGTCTGGTCTGGTTGTCTGGTCTGGTTGTCTGGTCTGGTTGTCTGGTCTGGTTGTCTGGTCTGTTTGTCTGGTCTGGTTGTCTGGTCTGTTTGTCTGGTCTGGTTGTCTGGTCTGGTTGTCTGGTCTGGTTGTCTGGTCTGGTTGTCTAGTCTGGTTGTCTGGTCTGGTTGTCTGGTCTGGTTGTCTGGTCTGGTTGTCTGGTCTGGTTGTCTGGTCGTCTGGTCTGTTTGTCTGGTCTGGTTGTCTGGTTGTCTGGTCTGGTTGTCTGGTCTGGTTGTCTGGTCTGGTTGTCTGGTTGTCTGGTCTGGTTGTCTGGTCTGGTTGTCTGGTCTGGTTGTCTGGTCTGGTTGTCTGGTCTGGTTGTCTAGTCTGGTTGTCTGGTCTGGTTGTCTGGTCTGGTTGTCTGGTCTGTTTGTCTGGTCTGGTTGTCTGGTCTGGTTGTCTGGTCTGGTTGTCTGGTCTGGTTGTCTGGTCTGGTTGTCTGGTCTGGTTGTCTGGTCTGGTTGTCTGGTTGTCTGGTTGTCTGGTCTGGTTGTCTGGTCTGTTTGTCTGGTCTGGTTGTCTGGTCTGTTTGTCTGGTCTGGTTGTCTGGTCTGGTTGTCTGGTCTGGTTGTCTGGTCTGTTTGTCTGGTCTGGTTGTCTGGTCTGTTTGTCTGGTCTGGTTGTCTGGTCTGGTTGTCTGGTCTGGTTGTCTGGTCTGGTTGTCTAGTCTGGTTGTCTGGTCTGGTTGTCTGGTCTGGTTGTCTGGTCTGGTTGTCTGGTCTGTTTGTCTGGTCTGGTTGTCTGGTCTGGTTGTCTGGTCTGGTTGTCTGGTCTGGTTGTCTGGTCTGGTTGTCTAGTCTGGTTGTCTAGTCTGGTTGTCTGGTCTGGTTGTCTGGTTGTCTGGTCTGGTTGTCCTGTCTACAGACACCTACTTGAGGCAACCCGAGTGGCAGTGTCTGTGTGACCTGGGTGGGGCGAGTGGAAGGCGCTGGGCGGGTCCACTGTGACGGTCGGGGGGAGTTTGTGCAGGTTGGGATCCTGTGGGGAAAACATGGGACAGGTCACGTGATCATCAGGTCACGACCCCAGCACCAGGTGAAGTCGTGACCCTGACCTGTTTTCCGACCGTCTCCTTCAACTGCTTGAGTTCCTCCCTGAGCATGTGCAGCAGGTCCTTGACCTTGTCCTCCACCCCTAGCTGGTCAATCTCCTCCATGATGGCGCTGGTGGGTGAGGGGATCTGATGGGCACAAGGGTCAAAGGTCAGCTGGTGGGTGAGGGGATCTGATGGGCACAAGGGTCAAAGGTCAGCTGGTGGGTGAGGGGATCTGATGGGCACAAGGGTCAAAGGTCAGCTGGTGGGTGAGGGGATCTGATGGGCACAAGGGTCAAAGGTCAGCTGGTGGGTGAGGGGATCTGATGGGCACAAGGGTCAAAGGTCAGCTGGTGGGTGAGGGGATCTGATGGGCACAAGGGTCAAAGGTCAGCTGGTGGGTGAGGGGATCTGATGGGCACAAGGGTCAAAATTCAGTCAGCGGCTTACGTGGAAGGACAATACGTTGTTTACAGTCGGCTATGTGATGACGTGGTGACACTATGTCATGTGATCTTACTGACATGGTGACACTATGCCATGTGATCTTACTGACATGGTGACACTATGCCATGTGATCTTACTGACATGGTGACACTATGCCATGTGATCTTACTGACATGGTGACACTATGCCATGTGATCTTACTGACATGGTGACACTATGCCATGTGATCTTACTGACATGGTGACACTATGCCATGTGATCTTACTGACATGGTGACACTATGCCATGTGATCTTACTGACATGGTGACACTATGTCATGTGATCTTACTGACATGGTGACACTATGTCATGTGATCTTACTGACATGGTGACACTATGTCATGTGATCTTACTGACATGGTGACACTATGTCATATGATCTTACTGACATGGTGACACTATGTCATGTGATCTTACTGACATGGTGACACTATGCCATGTGATCTTACTGACATGGTGACACTATGTCATGTGATCTTACTGACATGGTGACACTATGCCATGTGATCTTACTGACATGGTGACACTATGCCATGTGATCTTACTGACATGGTGACACTATGTCATGTGATCTTACTGACATGGTGACACTATGTCATGTGATCTTACTGACATGGTGACACTATGTCATGTGATCTTACTGACATGGTGACACTATGTCATGTGATCTTACTGACATGGTGACACTATGTCATGTGATCTTACTGACATGGTGACACTATGTCATATGATCTTACTGACATGGTGACACTATGTCATATGATCTTACTGACATGGTGACACTATGTCATGTGATCTTACTGACATGGTGACACTATGCCATGTGATCTTACTGACATGGTGACACTATGTCATATGATCTTACTGACATGGTGACACTATGTCATGTCATCTTACTGACATGGTGACACTATGTCATATGATCTTACTGACATGGTGACACTATGCCATGTGATCTTACTGACATGGTGACACTATGCCATGTGATCTTACTGACATGGTGACACTATGTCATATGATCTTACTGACATGGTGACACTATGTCATATGATCTTACTGACATGGTGACACTATGTCATGTGATCTTACTGACATGGTGACACTATGTCATGTGATCTTACTGACATGACATGATGACACAAGGCCAAGTTGTCTGTAGTTTAGAAGCGAACAGATCGTGTGAAACAATGGACAAAACAGTTTGAGTGTAAACAGGGAAGGGTGAGGTGACTACTTACATACTGGGGGTCGGGGGTCGGGACGCGGGGAGACACGTATGGTACCAGGGTGACGTCATTGTGGCTGGTTTGAATTATTTCAGGTGGGTCAGGCGCCAACCCGTCATATAGCTGCAGGACATAGGACATAGAGGAGGTCACGTGGGACATAGACAGAGGCGTAGCGAGGGGGAGGGGCAGGGGGTGCGGACCACACCGGGTGACACCATTTAGGGGGGGGGGGTGACACCAAGGCAAAAAATAGCAAAATATATAGAGAAAATTTTGAGGGGTGGGGGATGCAAATTGAAAGTTTGATGGGGGGGGGGGGTGCAAATCGAAAATTAAAAGTTTGTCCCCGGGAAGGGTCACTATGCCTCTGGGGAGTGACACCATTAAGTGCTGCACCGGGTGACACCCGACCTCGCTACGCCACTGGACAAAGAGAAGGTAATGTAGGACCTAAAGGTCATGTAGGACATAGGTCATGTACGACATAGAGGTGGTCATGTAGGACATAGGTCGTGTAGGACATAGGTCATGTACGACATAGAGGTGGTCATGTAGGACATAGGTCGTGTAGGACATAGGTCATGTAGGACATAGGTCATGTAGGACATAGGTCATGTAGGACATAGAGGTCATGTACGACATAGAGTAGGTCATGTAGGACATAGAACAGGCCAGATCGTGTAGGACATACAGCAGGTCAGATCATGACTTACAAGAATATTTTCATTGGAGGAAACCTGCATGTTTAGATCTGTTGTGTTAGAAGCTTGTGGTCATGTTGAAATGTGAAAGTTGGGTGGAAATATCCCAAGGTTGGTACAGGCAAGTGGAGCGTCTAGTTGGTGGGTCTGCTGAAGGCAATATACAGTGGAGCAAGATCTAGTTGCTGGGTCTGCTGAAGGCAATATACAGTGGAGCGTGATCTAGATGGTGGGTCTGCTGAAGGCATCGGGTCACGTAGGTCAACGGGGGCGGGGCCTGGGAGACGTTCAAATGTTACATCCGGTCTCCTGAAACACAGGAAAGTAACATTTGAACCCAGGGAGAAGGTGTACAGCTGGTTGGGTGGTGTACAGCTGGTTGGGAGAAGGTGTACAGCTGGTTGGGAGGTGTACAGCTGGTTGGGAGAAGGTGTACAGCTGGTTGGGAGGTGTACAGCGGGTTGGGAGGTGTACAGCTGATTGGGAGAAGGTGTACAGCTGGTTGGGAGAAAGTGTACGGCTGGTTGGGAGAAGGTGTACAGCTGGTTGGGAGAAAGTGTACGGCTGGTTGGGAGAAGGTGTACAGCTGGTTGGGAGAAGGTGTACATCTGGTTGGGAGAAGGTGTACAGCTGGTTTGGAGAAGGTGTACAGCTGGTTTGGAGAAGGTGTACAGCTGGTTGGGAGAAGGTGTACAGCTGGTTGGGAGGTGTACAGCTGGTTGGGAGAAGGTGTACAGCTGGTTGGGAGAAGGTGTACAGCTGGTTTGGAGAAGGTGTACAGCTGGTTGGGAGGTGTACAGCTGGTTGGGAGGTGTACAGCTGGTTGGGAGAAGGTGTACAGCTGGTTGGGAGAAGGTGTACAGCTGGTTGGGAGAAGGTGTACAGCTGATTGGGAGAATGTGTACAGCTGGTTGGGAGAAGGTATACAGCTGGTTGGGAGAAGGTGTACAGCTGGTTGGGAGAAGGTGTACAGCTGATTGGGAGAATGTGTACAGCTGGTTGGGAGAAGGTGTACAGCTGGTTGGGAGAAGGTGTACAGCTGGTTGGGAGGTGTACAGCTGGTTGGGAGAAGGTGTACAGCTGGTTGGGAGAAGGTGTACAGCTGGTTGGGAGAAGGTGTACAGCTGGTTGGGAGAAGGTGTACAGCTGATTGGGAGAATGTGTACAGCTGGTTGGGAGAAGGTATACAGCTGATTGGGAGAATGTGTACAGCTGGTTGGGAGAAGGTATACAGCTGGTTGGGAGAAGGTGTACAAAGTGTTTATGAAACATTTTTTGTAGTTTGTTGGAGCTAAAAAGTTATTGAAGACATTAGCTGAAGTCTGATGGTACCATACGTGCTCATGAGACGGGGAATGGTTGATTACTGAATGGGTGGGGGGGGGGGATTAATTAAGCTCTGTAAATATTTAACGATAATAGAGATGAAACTACGCGAAATTTGTAGTAAATGATAAAAACAACAACACACATCACGAACACATCAACAACAAACCTCTCGTCGCATCTTGACATCCTTTAACTCAAGTTGCAAGTCAGCCTGAAGATATTTTACGCAGCTTCAATACCATATATATATATATATATATATATATATATATATATATATATATATATATATATATATATATATCCCTATATATATATAATTTAGTTGCATTGGAAATAAATACGTCTGACGTCATCTTCAACTAATATGACGTCACAGTTACCTATTGACCTCCCTCCCCCATCTTCTCTGACTTAAATGACGTCACTCACCACCTGCTGGGCCAGCTCCGTCACCTGTTTCTCCAGGTCACTCATCTGAAAACAGAGACCAGCTTTCAATAAGTGCAGCTCCAAGTCTAGCCTACGTCTCATAAGTCTAGTCTACGTCTCATAAGTCTAGTCTACGTCTCATAAGTCTAGCCTACGTCTCATAAGTCTAGCCTACGTCTCATAAGTCTAGCCTACGTCTCATAAGTCTAGCCTACGTCTGATATTGCTAGCGCTCACACAAACGCTGCTTCTAAAGCCTTTCATGTATTAGATATATCAAAGTAATTTAGTAATTCCTTTCTTTTTCTCCTTTACAACTTTTTGTTGTGCCTAAAGATCTAATGCACGTGTAAGCCGTTTCATAAATAAAGAAAATAAACTTTTATTTTTACTTTCTCGTATATACGAAGTATAGAGAAAGTCTTGTAATCGTGCAAAAAAAAAAGGCGAGATTTTTACAAATCTCAACGTTTTACGCCTCCCTGATACGGAAAAACATAGTTTTGCAATCATGTCCGTATGTCTGTGTGTGTGTGTGTGTCTGTAAACACGATAACTTGAGTACCGTTACAGCTAAGTTAATGAAATTTCATATACAACTTTTGAGCAATTTCCGATAACCGGAACTTTTTCTACTTTCAATTTTTCAAAAGCCTATAACTTGAGTACTATTTCAGATAGATAAATGAAATTTCACATGTCAGTAAAATATATAATTATCTGCCTTCTGTTAAATTTTGAGTAATTTCCGTTGACCTGAAGTAGTAATTTTCGCTATTTCCGATTTCTCAAAAAACGCATGTGAATTTATAAAGTACTAATAATATTCCGCACTAGTATGCACCTTTTATTTGGCGTTCACTTTGTGTGCAATTCTTTTTTATACGAGATTCTATTCTATTTTTAAAAGTTTAAGTATTTAAAATGGATTAAAATGGATTTAAAATCATGTCTATATCCCGAGTTGCCATCCTCTATTGTTTCACTCCCGGTTTATTGTTCGTTTATTTCTTTAAACATAGTTTATTGCAATCAAGGCTTGCTAGTGTAGGCCTACCTGCAACTGTGTGCAACACATTCGGCTTACCTTCGCGTCTGATCAGCTGTACCGTAACGATGAACGAGAACGGTGTTCAAGAGAAGTTCATTCACGGTCTTCAGTGAATTTTAGGCTATTCAAAAGTTTGAAACCTGGACCCATGGAACAGTCTACATTGTCAGCGAAAGATGAGTTAAAAATTATGAGCGGATATTTCGTTTCCGGTCCCATGACGTCATACATGCCTCAACTTTCTCAATGTAAATAGGTAGGAAAAGTCTATGTAATCATACTAAATTTAAAAAAAAATATTTTCAAAAATATGGCAAGCGATAAAATTATAGTTATATTCGTAAAAATTGAAGCCGTTTGGGAACCATCGATTACACTAATTTTTATATTTTTGTATCGAATATAAGCCATTGAAAAGCTGTTTAGAATTATTTTATCAATTCAAATATTTTCAAAAACTGCCCTCAACCTTTCCTTGAAGTCAACTGGAATGGCCAGGGAGAGTAAAACAATAAAAGTCAGAACAATTGTTTTCCATGATAAAAATACACAATAGTGATCTATGATGTATAGCTTAGTATTGTATTTACATTAAATAATATAACATCCCCAATCACCACAACAACCTGACTCTACTAATCCAAATTAAAAATAAAAGTGTTTGCAAAATTACTATTATTTTACTAGTAATTATTTCTTTGACTATTCTAGCCTTAATGAAACCGGAAGTAATTTTGTACTTATTACAAAAGTGTTATTCAATTTTGGTTGAAGAATTTGCTTTCTGGCAACAAATATTTGGAGCCAGCTTTTCATGACTTACTAAAGGGGGTGGGGGAGGTGGGGATTGGTGTGTGTATGGAAGTGATTTCTTATTGTTTTTATTTTCGTGTATATACGAAGTATAGAGAAAGTATTGTAATCATGAAAAAAAAATCGAGATTTGTACAAATCTCGACGTTTTACACACAACCCCCTGAGTCGGAAAAACATAGTTAAGCAATCTTGTCTGTGTGTGTGTGTTTGTAAACACGATAACTTGAGTACTGTTACAGCTAGGCTGATATCAAATTGTAATTCTGTATCAACTTTTCAGCGATTTCCGGTTACCGAAAGTGGAACTTATTCTACTTTTATTTTTTCAAAAGCCTATAACTTGAATGCTGTTTCTGATAGAAATGAAATTTCACATGTAAGTAAAAGATCTCTGCCTTCTGTCAAATTTTGAGTAATTTCCATTTACAGAAAGTAGTAATTTACGTTAATTCCGACGTCTCAAAAATCGCATGTGAATTTATAAAGTTCTAAATAATATTCCGCACTATTATACACATATTGTTTGGCGTTCACTTGGTGTGCAATTCTTTTTTCTACGAGATTCTATTCTATTTTGAAAAAAAGTTTAAGTAGTTAAAAATGAATAAAAAATCATGTCTATATCCCGAGTTGCCATCCCCGGTAGTGTTATAAAAGAATATTCGAGAAAGTTTAGGGGAGATCACTCCTTTTTTTTTGTTCAATAGAACAACACACTTATTTTACTGACAAATGCTACGACACCTTGTTAGCGTGTTGATGTAGGTAGCTGGCCATAGCGTGTTGATGTAGGTAGATGGCCATAGCGTGTTGATGTAGGTAGCTGGCCATAGCGTGTTGATGTAGGTAGCTGGCCATTGGCCATAGCGTGTTGATGTAGGTAGCTGGCCACTGGCCATAGCGTGTTGATGTAGGTAGCTGGCCACTTGCCATAGCGTGTTGTTGTAGGTAGCTGGCCATAGCGTGTTGATGTAGGTAGCTGGCCATTGGCCATAGCGTGTTGATGTAGGTAGCTGGCCACTGGCCATAGCGTGATGATGTAGGTAGCTGGCCACTGGCCATAGCGTGTTGATGTAGGTAGCTGGCCACTGGCCATAGCGTGATGATGTAGGTAGCTGGCCACTGGCCATAGCGTGTTGATGTAGGTAGATGGCCATAGCGTGTTGATGTAGGTAGCTGGCTACTGGCCATAGCGTGATGATGTAGGTAGCTGGCCACTGGCCATAGCGTGTTGATGTAGGTAGCTGGCCACTGGCCATAGCGTGATGATGTAGGTAGCTGGCCACTGGCCATAGCGTGTTGATGTAGGTAGCTGGCCACTGGCCATAGCGTGATGATGTAGGTAGCTGGCCACTGGCCATAGCGTGTTGATGTAGGTAGATGGCCATAGCGTGTTGATGTAGGTAGCTGGCTACTGGCCATAGCGTGTTGATGTAGGTAGCTGGCCACTGGCCATAGCGTGTTGATGTAGGTAGCTGGCCATAGCGTGTTGATGTAGGTAGATGGCCATAGCGTGTTGATGTAGGTAGATGGCCATAGCGTGTTGATGTAGGTAGCTGGCTACTGGCCATAGCGTGTTGATGTAGGTAGCTGGCCATAGCGTGTTGATGTAGGTAGCTGGCCATAGCGTGTTGATGTAGGTAGATGGCCATAGCGTGTTGATGTAGGTAGCTGGCTACTGGCCATAGCGTGTTGATGTAGGTAGCTGGCCATAGCGTGTTGATGTAGGTAGCTGGCCATAGCGTGTTGATGTAGGTAGATGGCCATAGCGTGTTGATGTAGGTAGCTGGCTACTGGCCATAGCGTGTTGATGTAGGTAGCTGGCCACTGGCCATAGCGTGTTGATGTAGGTAGCTGGCCATAGCGTGTTGATGTAGGTAGCTGGCCATAGCGTGTTGATGTAGGTAGCTGGCCATAGCGTGTTGATGTAGGTAGCTGGCTACTGGCCATAGCGTGTTGATGTAGGTAGCTGGCCACTGGCCATAGCGTGTTGATGTAGGTAGCTGGCCATAGCGTGTTGATGTAGGTAGCTGGCCATAGCGTGTTGATGTAGGTAGCTGGCCATAGCGTGTTGATGTAGGTAGCTGGCCACTGGCCATAGCGTGTTGATGTAGGTAGCTGACCATATTGCTTATAAACACTAATAATTAAGGTACGTGAATTAAAAGAAAAGCGAAATGTATTTTCTCCACTGCACCATGTGTTACATAAACAAATATAGCTGCACTAGGTCATATTGACATTCATGGGGATAAATTATAGGGAATTCTCGAGAATGGGCTTGCAATATTGGTTTTTATTTTTTGTTCTACTTGTATTGAAAAAGTGCGACGCTTAAACAAAAATATGTTTGCAAATGCCACGGAACAAAGTATTTACGGAATAGACGGTGAAAGGTCTGCTTTATATATCTGGTCGGGTGTGTTTATAGAAATATGTATAGCGATTGAAATAAAAACAATTTCAAGTTCTTGGCATTTGTAAACTGTATCACATTGATTATCAAAGTATTAAATATCTTTATTTTGTTGAGCTTTTGTTTAGAACATTTAAAATATATGACGTGTCAACAAAAATAAATGCAACCCTGACAGAACAACGCCATCATTGGACAACCCACGCCCCGCAGCCGACCAAAAACTTAGTAAGTGAGAAGCTTAGCAAGTAGTCTCTAAACAAATGGCCCCAGTTGAAAACTTGTGTACACGTCACATGTAAACTACACCACTATCTTGTGACGTACGAGTGAAAGTTCAAAAATTGAGAATTTTGCTTTCAATGATTTTAAATTTGGCAAAAAAATTATAAAGATAAAATAAAATCAATTGTCAACACGCCAAGATGTGCCGGCCCTACCTACTGCAGCGTACAAACCCTTTGTTTTGTTTTCAAACGTAAGACGTTTCACATGTTTGGCTTTAATATAGAGTCCAGAAATCTCTTGTTTTCTAGATTTTAATTTTTAGATCTAGATTTTTCTAGATCTAGACTCTAGTTTAAGGTTTAGATCTAGATAGATCTAAGTCTAGGTCTATATCTAAGCTTCAGGTTTCTTAACTATAGTTCTAGAGTCAAGACTTCTCACATGTTCTCTAGTCCTAGTCTAGATCTAGATCTAGAATAATCTTAATGTAAAAGTTTGACATGTTTTCTTAAGGTACGTTTCACTTTCATTACTTTTTTAATTGTAGAAATCGTCCGTTTTTAATCTAAATATTATCTAGCATTGTTTGGGTGCCAATAGCATTGGGCGCAAAAAGAAAAACACATAACTAAAACAATGCTCACCATAAAAACACATAACTAAAACAATGCTCACCATAAAAACACATAACTAAAACAATGCTCACCATAAAAAACACATAACTAAAACAATGCTCACCATAAAAAACACATAACTAAAACAATGCTCACCATAAAAAAACACATAACAAAAACAATGCTCACCATAAAAAAACACATAACAAAAACAATGCTCACCATAAAAAACACATAACTAAAACAATGCTCACCATAAAAAAACACATAACTAAAACAATGCTCACCATAAAAAAACACATAACTAAAACAATGCTCGCCATAAAAAACACATAACTAAAACAATGCTCACCATAAAAAACACATAACTAAAACAAGGCTCACCATAAAAAACACATAACTAAAACAATGCTCACCATAAAAAAACACATAACTAAAACAATGCTCACCATAAAAAAACACATAACTAAAACAATGCTCGCCATAAAAAACACATAACTAAAACAATGCTCACCATAAAAAACACATAACTAAAACAAGGCTCACCATAAAAAACACATAACTAAAACAATGCTCACCATAAAAAACACATAACTAAAACAATGCTCACGATAAAAAAACACATAACTAAAACAATGCTCACCATAAAAAAAACACATTCTCAAAAAAATGCTATCAATTAATGCTAGTTACTAAAGAACGTACATCATTATCACACTAGATCTATATAAATTATGATACTGTTCCTACGGAAACGTGTTGCTGACGATGCATTTTCAATGATGTATCTTCTGCGGGTGGTGATTTTAAAGATTGATGGTCAAGACATATTTAGAAATACAAAACACATTTTACAACAATTTATCTTTAAAAAAACATCTTTACAAAACAAATTTTACAAAGCATATATTTACAAAACATCTTATAAAACATATATTTTCAAAACTCATTTTTACAAAACGTATCTTTACAAAACATATGTTTACAAATTACATGTTTACAAAACACATTTTTACTAGCCCTCTTGTGCGTGTAACATTAGAAATCACACATGTACTGACACATGACTCCACATGTACTGACACATGACTCCACATGTACTGACACATGTCTCCACATGTACTGACTGACACATGTCTCCACATTTACTGACACATGACTCCACATGTACTGACACATGACTCCACATGTACTGACACATGACTCCACATGTACTGACACATGACTCCACATGTACTGACTGACACATGACTCCATGTGTACTGACTGACACATGACTCCACATGTACTGACACATTATTCCACATGTACTGACACATGACTCCATGTGTACTGACTGACACATGACTCCACATGTACTGATTGACACATGACTCCACATGTACTGACACATGACTCCACATGTACTGACACATGACTCCACATGTACTGACACATGACTCCACATGTACTGACTGACACATGACTCCACATGTACTGACTGACACATGACTCCACATGTACTGACTGACACATGACTCCATGTGTACTGACTGACACATGACTCCACATGTACTGACACATTATTCCACATGTACTGACACATGACTCCATGTGTACTGACTGACACACGACTCCACATGTACTGATTGACACATGACTCCACATGTACTGACACATGACTCCACATGTACTGACACATGACTCCACATGTACTGACACATGACTCCACATGTACTGACACATGTCTCCACATTTACTGACTGACACATGACTTCACATGTACTGACACATGACTCCACGTGTACTGACTGACACATGACTCCACTTGTACTTACTGACACATGACTCCACATGTACTGACACATGACTTCACATGTACGGACACATGACTCCACATGTACTGACTGACACATGACTCCACATGTACTGACACATGTCTCCACATTTACTGACTGACACATGACTTCACATGTACTGACACATGACTTCACTTGTACTTACTGACACATGACTCCACATGTACTGACACATGTCTCCACATTTACTGACTGACACATGACTTCACATGTACTGACACATGACTCCACGTGTACTGACTGACGCATGACTCCACTTGTACTTACTGACACATGACTCCACATGTACTGACACATGACTTCACATGTACGGACACATGACTCCACATGTACTGACTGACACATGACTCCAAGTGTACTGACTGACACATGACTCCACTTGTACTTACTGACACATGACTCCACATGTACTGACACATGTCTCCACATTTACTGACTGACACATGACTTCACATGTACTGACACATGACTCCACGTGTACTGACTGACACATGACTCCACTTGTACTTACTGACACATGACTCCACATGTACTGACACATGTCTCCACATTTACTGACTGACACATGACTTCACATGTACTGACTGACACATGTCTCCACATGTACTGACACATGTCTCCACATGTACTGACTGACACATGACTCCACGTGTACTGACTGACACATGTCTCCACATGTACTGACACATGTCTCCACATGTACTGACACATGACTCCACATGTACTGACACATGACTCCACATGTACTGACACATGACTCCACATGTACTGACACATGACTCCAAATGTACTGACTGACACATGACTCCACGTGTACTGACTGACACATGACTCCACTTGTACTGACTGACACATGTCTCCACATGTACTGACACATGACTCCACATGTACTGACACATGTCTCCACATGTACTGACACATGACTCCACATGTACTAACACATGTCTCCACATGTACTGACACATGACTCCACATGTACTGACACATGTCTCCACATGTACTGACACATGACTCCACATGTACTGACACATGACTCCACATGTACTGACACATGACTCCACATGTACTGACACATGACTCCAAATGTACTGACTGACACATGACTCCACGTGTACTGACTGACACATGACTCCACTTGTACTGACTGACACATGTCTCCACATGTACTGACACATGACTCCACATGTACTGACACATGTCTCCACATGTGCTGACACATGACTCCACATGTACTGACACATGTCTCCACATGTACTGACACATGTCTCCACATGTACTGACACATGACTCCACATGTACTGACACATGACTCCACATGTACTGACTGACACATGACTCCACATGTACTGACACATGACTCCACATGTACTGACACATGACTCCACATGTACTGACTGACACATGTCTCCACATGTACTGACACATGACTCCACATGTACTGACTGACACATGTCTCCACATGTACTGACACATGACTCCACATGTACTGACTGACACATGACTCCATGTGTACTGACTGACACATGACTCCACATGTACTGACACATGACTCCACATGTACTGACTGACACATGACTCCACATGTACTGACACATGACTCCACATGTACTGACTGACACATGACTCCACATGTACTGACACATGACTCCACATGTACTGACTGACACATGACTCCATGTGTACTGACTGACACATAACTCCACATGTACTGACACATGACTCCACATGTACTGACACATGACTCCACATGTACTGACTGACACATGACTCCACATGTACTGACTGACACATGACTCCACATGTACTGACACATGACTCCACATGTACTGACTGACACATGACTCCACTTGTACTGACTGACACATGACTCCACTTGTACTGACACATGACTCCACATGTACTGACACATGACTCCACATGTACTGACTGACACATGACTCCACTTGTACTGACTGACACTTGACTCCACTTGTACTGACTGACACATGACTCCACATGTACTGACTGACACATGACTCCACATGTACAGACACATGACTCCACATGTACTGACTGACACATGACTCCACATGTACTGACACATGACTCCACATGTACAGACTTGACTCCACATGTACTGACTGACACATGACTCCACATGTACTGACACATGACTCTACATGTACTGACTGACACATGACTCCACATGTACTGACTGACACATGACTCCACATGTACTGACACATGACTCCACATGTACTGACACATGACTCCACATGTACTGACTGACACATGACTCCACATGTACTGACTGACACATGACTCCACATGTACTGACACATGACTCCACATGTACTGACTGACACATGACTCCACATGTACTGACTGACACATGTCTCCACATGTACTGACACATGACTCCACTTGTACTGACTGACGCATGACTCCACGTGTACTGACACATGACTCCACGTGTACTGACACATGACTCCACATGTACTGACACATGACTCCACATGTACTGACTGACACATGACTCCACATGTACTGACACATGACTCCACATGTACTGACACATGACTCCACATGTACTGACACATGACTCCACGTGTACTGACACATGACTCCACATGTACTGACACATGACTCCACGTGTACTGACACATGACTCCACATGTACTGACACATGACTCCACATGTACTGACACATGACTCCACATGTACTGACTGACACATGACTCCACTTGTACTGACTGACACATGACTCCACATGTACTGACACATGACTCCACATGTACTGACACATGTCTCCACATGTACTGACTGACACATGACTCCACTTGTACTGACACATGACTCCACATGTACTGACACATGACTCCACATGTACTGACTGACACATGACTCCACTTGTACTTACTGACACATGACTCCACTTGTACTTACTGACACATGACTCCACATGTACTGACACATGACTCCACATGTACTGACTGACACATGTCTCCACATGCACTGACTCCTCATGTACTGATACAGGAGCAGCCAGCATGAGTCATGACTCAGCCTAACAAAGACCGGAAGAGAAAGATGGATGCCCTGATCAGTGGCGACAACTCTAAAGCACACACAAGTCAGGACAGCTGCTGCTCCTCGGCCAAGACACCATGTATGGCCCAGGGGTCGGCGTCTGGGGACTCGCAGGTCAGCCCCCACCCCCACCCCACATAGTTCTCTGTTTTTTTCTGTTCCCCACCTCTCCGATTGCATTTGTCGTCTGCGTGGTTTTATTAGGCTCTTGACGTCACCTCATTAAGTTTTGACGTTTATCGTTTATATCGAACAAGTGTCATTTGTCTGATATCTGACATTAACCACGTGACATCCCCACCCCCAGGGGAACATGTGTCACGAGTTCGTGACTGTGCTGCGAGACCTGGAGAACGAGGGGTCCCCTGCCGTGATCCACACCCACGCCTGTGAGCTGGAGGACGTCTGGTCCCACAAGTACCCCCTCCCCCTCAGCAAGTACCCGCCCAAAGCCATCAAGACAGGTCAGTCAATCACTCACGCACCATCACACATCTACCATCACACATCTACCATCACACATCTACCATCACTCATCCACCATCACACATCCACCATCACTCAACCACCATCACTCATCAACCATTACACATCCACCATCACACATCAACCCACACATCCACCATCACAAATCCACCATCACTCAACCACCATCACTCATCAACCATTACACATCCACCATCACACATCAACCATCACTCATCCACCATCACACATCTACCATCACACATCCACCATCACACATCTACCATCACACATCTACCATCACTCATCCACCATCACACATCTACCATCACACATCTACCATCACACATCCACCATCACTCACTCTAAACACTTTTATTTATTATTTATTTATCTCACCAACAAATCAGACTTAAAAACATTTGAGTAATTTTGATCAAATAGCCATAGACTACATCGTTTATCCATCTTTTTATACAACTTTTCAGGAAACAAACACTATGACGTCATCATACCCGAACTACCTCAAATTGGTTATAAACCCCTTCAGGTAAACCCAGAGCAAATGTGTTTTTAAAACACATGTTTTTAAAACAGATGTGTTTTTAAAACAGATGTGTTTTTAAAACAGATGTGTTTTTAAAACAGATGTGTTTTTAAAACTGTTCAAACTTTATCAGGACGCTCTCCTTTTGGTAGTGAAGCTTCCATAAACCTAGCTTAAACCCTAGCCTTAACCTAAAACATAACCCCATAACCTTATCCTGACCAAAGCCAACGCTAGCGACGATAATTGCAGCAAATAAATATAATACAAATTTGTTTCAATTATTCAAACAAGTTAGTCAAATAAAAGCAGCCCTTAACTTTTTGTCTAATTCTATTTGACCTGCGCCACTGCGGCACCCAGGTGATAGCCAAGGGTCGGTCGGGTACTGTGATACTGGCCCAGGATCTGAGAGAAGGCATTGAGGTGAGGGAGAGCGAATGCCAACCAGTGGCCATCAAACTCCAGAGTGGCAAGAAAAGGAAACAGCCAACACCAGCGTGAGTAACTGGCGTGTTGTTGTTGTGTGTGGGTGGTTGTTGTTGCCGCGCAGGTGGTTGTTGTTGTGTGTGGGTGGTGGTTGTTGTGTGTGGGTGGTTGTTGTTGCCGTGTGGGTGGTTGATGTTGCCGTGTGGGTGGTTGATGTTGCCGTGTGGGTGGTTGTGGTTGCCGTGTGGGTGGCTGATGTTGCCGTGTGGGTGATTGTTGCCGTGTGGGTGGTTGATGTTGCCGTGTGGGTGGTTGATTGGTTGTGGTTGCCGTGTGGGTGGTTGATGTTGCCGTGTGGGTGGCTGATGTTGCCGTGTGGGTGATTGTTGCCGTGTGGGTGGTTGATGTTGCCGTGTGGTTGGTTGATGTTGCCGTGTGGGTGATTGTTGTTGCCGTGTGGTTGCTTGTTGTTGCCGTCACTTTTCGTGTGGGTGGTTGATGTTGCCGTGTGGGTGGTTGTTGTTGCCGTCACTTTTCGTGTGGGTGGTTGTTGTTGCCGTGTGGGTGGTTGTTGTTGCGTGTGGGTGGTTGTTGTTGCCGTGTGGGTGGTTGTTGTTGCCGCGTAGGTGGTTGTTGTTGCCGCGTAGGTGGTTGTTGTTGCGTGTGGGTGGTTGTTGTTGCGTGTGGTTGGTTTGTTGTTGCGTGTGGGTGGTTGATGTTGCCGCGTAGGTGGTTGTTGTTGCCGCGTAGGTGGTTGTTGTTGCGTGTGGGTGGTTGATGTTGCCGTGTGGGTGGTTGATGTTGCCGTGTGGGTGGTTGTGGTTGCCGTGTGGGTGGCTGATGTTGCCGTGTGGGTGATTGTTGCCGTGTGGGTGGTTGATGTTGCCGTGTGGGTGGTTGATTGGTTGTGGTTGCCGTGTGGGTGGTTGATGTTGCCGTGTGGGTGGCTGATGTTGCCGTGTGGGTGATTGTTGCCGTGTGGGTGGTTGATGTTGCCGTGTGGTTGGTTGATGTTGCCGTGTGGGTGATTGTTGTTGCCGTGTGGTTGCTTGTTGTTGCCGTCACTTTTCGTGTGGGTGGTTGATGTTGCCGTGTGGGTGGTTGTTGTTGCCGTCACTTTTCGTGTGGGTGGTTGTTGTTGCCGTGTGGGTGGTTGTTGTTGCGTGTGGGTGGTTGTTGTTGCCGTGTGGGTGGTTGTTGTTGCCGCGTAGGTGGTTGTTGTTGCCGCGTAGGTGGTTGTTGTTGCGTGTGGTTGGTTGTTGTTGCGTGTGGGTGGTTGATGTTGCCGTGTGGGTGGTTGTTGTTGCGTGTGGGTGGTTGATGTTGCCGTGTGGGTGGTTGTTATTGCCGCGTAGGTGGTTGTTGTTGCGTGTGGGTGGTTGTTGTTGCCGTGTGGTTGCTTGTTGTTGCCGTCACTTTTCGTGTGGGTGGTTGATGTTGCCGTGTGGGTGGTTGATGTTGCCGTCACTTTTCGTGTGGGTGGTTGTTGTTGCGTGTGGTTGGTTGTTGTTGCGTGTGGGTGGTTGATGTTGCCGTGTGGGTGGTTGTTATTGCCGCGTAGGTGGTTGTTGTTGCGTGTGGGTGGTTGTTGTTGCCGTGTGGTTGCTTGTTGTTGCCGTCACTTTTCGTGTGGGTGGTTGATGTTGCCGTGTGGGTGGTTGATGTTGCCGTCACTTTTCGTGTGGGTGGTTGTTGTTGCGTGTGGTTGGTTGTTGTTGCGTGTGGGTGGTTGATGTTGCCGTGTGGGTGGTTGTTATTGCCGCGTAGGTGGTTGTTGTTGCGTGTGGGTGGTTGTTGTTGCCGTGTGGTTGCTTGTTGTTGCCGTCACTTTTCGTGTGGGTGGTTGATGTTGCCGTGTTGTTGGTTGTTGTTGCCGTCACTTTTCGTGTGGGTGGTTGTTGTTGCCGTATGGGTGGTTGTTGTTGAACCTGGAGTGGTTGTTATTGCACACCCCGCCAACCATGTATGACTACGTCTGACAACCCGCTGTGTCTTGACCAGCTCGGAGGAGCAGAAAAAAGACAGCCCATCAGATGAGATCCTACTGCACAAACGTCTTCAGCACCAGCACATTGTGGCTCTGATCAACACCATCTTCTATCAAGGTACGTCTTATCTCACCTCTATCAAGGTACGTCTTATCTCACCTCTACCAAGGTACGTCCTGTTCTTATCTCACCTCTACCAAGGTACGTCTTATCTCACCTCTACCAAGGTACGTCTTATCTCACCTCTACCAAGGTACGTCCTGTTATCTCACCTCTACCAAGGTACGTTTTATCTCACCTCTACCAAGGTACGTCCTGTTCTTATCTCACCTCTACCAAGGTACGTCCTGTTTTTATCTCACCTCTACCAAAGTACGTCCTGTTCTTATCTCACCTCTACCAAGGTACGTCCTGTTCTTATCTCACCTCTACCAAGGTACGTCCTGTTCTTATCTCACCTCTACCAAGGTACGTCCTGTTCTTATCTCACCTCTACCAAGGTACGTCCTGTTCTTATCTCACCTCTACCAAGGTACGTCCTGTTTTTATCTCACCTCTACCAAGGTACGTCCTGTTCTTATCTCACCTCTACCAAGGTACGTCCTGTTCTTATCTCACCTCTACCAAGGTACGTCTTATCTCACCTCTACCAAGGTACGTCCTGTTTTTATCTCACCTCTACCAAAGTACGTCCTGTTCTTATCTCACCTCTACCAAGGTACGTCCTGTTCTTATCTCACCTCTACCAAGGTACGTCCTGTTCTTATCTCACCTCTACCAAGGTACGTCCTGTTCTTATCTCACCTCTACCAAGGTACGTCTTATTTCACCTATACCAAGGTACGTCTTATCTCACCTCTACCAAGGTACGTCTTATCTCACCTCTACCAAGGTACGTCCTGTTCTTATCTCACCTCTACCAAGGTACGTCCTGTTCTTATCTCACCTCTACCAAGGTACGTCCTGTTCTTATCTCACCTCTACCAAGGTACACACACACACACACACACACACACGCACACTGATATATCTTCCACCCAGGAAGGACCGGCCTTGTGTTGGAGTTCTGTGAGAGCGGAAATCTGGAGACTTTACTCAGAGTACACGATGCCAGATTTGTCAGTGAGTCTATTGCCAGGAAATACCTCAGACAGCTGCACAGGTAAGACAATATCTCAGAGACCGTGGACTTTGTTTGACTGCATGCAACTGTTCACATTCACAAAGTTAGGCCTATATATAGCCTTCTGGTACATTAAAATAACTGGACCAAACTAAATCAAGACAAACGTCACCACGACAATACCCAACAAGGGGAGTGAACTGGGACAACAGAACAAGTTACCAAGTACAACAACACACAGTCATGTATGTAGTTAACTCGAGTACATATTTCCTTGTTTCAGTGCTGTAGAGTACATGCATCTGTCGGGCGTGGCCCACAGGGACCTCTGTCTGCAGAATATTCTGGTAACCAATGACAACATGGTCAAGATCGCAGACTTCAGCCATGCCGTGCTCTACTCACCCGGTGACCCGCTGTGTCGCGAGTTGGCTGGAACTCCGGGATACCAGGCAGGTGAAGACACACGTCTTTTTTTACCTGGGGGTGGGGCAGGTGAAGACACACGTCTTTTTTTACCTGGGGGTGGGGCAGGTGAAGACACACGTCTTTTTTTACCTGGGGGTGGGGCAGGTGAAGACACACGTCTTTTTTTTTTTACCTGGGGGTGGGGCAGGTGAAGACACACGTCTTTTTTTTTTTACCTGGGGGTGGGGCAGGTGAAGACACACGTCTTTTTTTTTTTACCTGGGGGTGGGGCAGGTGAAGACACACGTCTTTTTTTTTTTACCTGGGGGTGGGGCAGGTGAAGACACACGTCTTTTTTTTTTTACCTGGGGGTGAGGCAGGTGAAGACACACGTCTTTTTTTTTTTACCTGGGGGTGGGGCAGGTGAAGACACACGTCTTTTTTTTTTTTACCTGGGGGTGGGGCAGGTGAAGACACACGTCTTTTTTTTTTTACCTGGGGGTGGGGCAGGTGAAGACACACGTCTTTTTTTTTTTTACACCTGGGGGTGGGGCAGGTGAAGACACACGTCTTTTTTTTTTACCTGGGGGTGGGGCAGGTGAAGACACACGTCTTTTTTTTTACCTGGGGGTGGGGTGGTGCAGGTGAAGACACACGTCTTTTTTTTTACCTGGGGGTGGGGTGGTGCAGGTGAAGACACACGTCTTTTTTTTTACCTGGGGGTGGGGTGGTGCAGGTGAAGACACACGTCTTTTTTTTTTACCTGGGGGTGGGGCAGGTGAAGACACACGTCTTTTTTTTTTTACCTGGGGGTGGGGCAGGTGAAGACACACGTCTTTTTTTTTTACACCTGGGGTGGGGTGAAGACACACGTCTTTTGTTTTACCTGGGGGTGGCGTGGGACTGAGGCAGGTGAAGACACACGTCTTTTTTTTATTGGGGCTGGGGTGGGGTTGGGTGGGCTGGGGTGGGGTTGGGTGGGCTGGGGTGGGGTTGGGTGGGCTGGGGTTGGGGTGGGACTGAGGCAGGTGAAGACACGTCTTTTTCTTTCACCTGGGGCTAGGTAGAGGCCGGGTGGGTGGGATTGAGATGTCTCTCTTCTGGTGACCCACGGGATAACACTCAACTCATGAGTCACGGGCGTCACACACACATCGGATGACCCACGGGGAAATTACTCATACATCAACTAATGTAGGCCACCAAGAGTTGACCGCAAAAGTTGGCTTCTAACGGACCTTTATTTTGAAGCCAATCATCGGAGAACTACATTTGGTTTTCTCTAGAAAAACGATCAGATATTCTTGACTTCTTTTGTCACTTCCTATAAATAGCAACTCTTTGAAAACAGATATGAACTCTAATCAAACACACCCAGGCCTAAATGTTCAACTTTTAAATTCACAAGCCAGCAACTGTAGTGACCTTGACCTCTTTTCACCGGCAGGCCCCTGAGATGTTGATGAAACACATGTATGACCCCCGCCAGGCCGACATGTGGTCCCTAGGGGCGGTGCTGTTCACCATGGTGGTGGGCCGACTGCCCTACGGTCGCGTCAAGACAGAGGAGGAGGCCCGAGCCCTCAAGCCCTTGGTGTTCCCTCCCCCCTCGGTCATGGTCCTGTCCCCACAGGTATTTGATTGGATACTTTTAAAAAAAAAAAATTGAGTCCTGACATTTCCAGTCCGCTGGTTAGGGGTCATCCATAAATGACGTCACGCTTTTTTTGACGATTTTTACCTCCCCCCCTCCCCTCCGTCACATTTCGTCACAAAAAGCCAGACCCCCCCTAAAATGACGTCACACCTCAACCTACAACCCCCCTCAAAATTGCAGTTGAATTTTTTTTAAACATTGATATTTTTCCAAAATCTTGTCTAAACTATTACAATTTATTAAAACAGTTATCTAAAAAGCGAAATTACGTCTAAAATTCGTTTTCTAACATTGCTTTTTTATAATGCAAAAATGTGACGTCCCAACATCAGTGTTTCTTCCAGACTTTTTTCTCCGGGGGGGCACTTGAAATCTTCGGGGGGGCGGTAAACTTTCTTCGGGGGGGCGGACACTGTTAAAAGTATATATTTTCTATATAAATTATATAAATTTCATTTCGTTCGGGGGGGCGGTAAAAATTTTTCGGGGGGGCTTCGCCCCCCCGAAGAGATGCCTGGAAGAAACTCTGCCCAACATCTAACCCCCCCCCTCCCCCTCATCACACATCGTCACAAAATTACGGACCCCCCTCCCCCCTACGAGTGTGACGTCATTTATGGATGACCCCTTACAGGATAATAAAAAGTCGAACACTCGATTATGCTCACATTGTTTACGTTCATTTAGTGTTCAATTCGGAAATAGCATAAAGTAATAATTCAGTTAACTTGTAATCACTCAAAAATTGAAAGAGTCCAGAGAATTAGATCATATATCTGTGTTTACAATTTCGTCCACCAAACTGAAACAGTATTTAAGTTGTCGGTATTTTATAAACCAGAATTATATTATATAAGAACCACTTCCGGTTAAGACAATTCACTAAAAATTGTAAGTAATCCAGGTTTAAGATCTTATACTAATATACTTTCCTCGTCCAGCTCATTGAAACAGTACTCAAGTTATGGTGTTCACTTGGAATTTAAAGTGCCACTTCCAGTTTATAAAAATTATTCAAAATTCTAAACATGCGTATACAATTACTACAATCTTATAAAATGGAATTCGCTATCTTAACTTTGCTCAAGTTATTGCCTTTGTGAAACCGAAAGTAGAGTCGGTACCACTTCCGGTTGTACTAGTTCAAAAGCAGATATTGAACTACAAATTTGATAAAATACTTTTAGATCTAGATCTATATGAACTCTTACTCAGGGATTTTTCGCAAGATTACAATACTTCCTCTATAATTCGTATACGAAAAAGGAAAAATGAATTTAAAAAAAAAAAATTCTTTTGCACGTTTGCAATGAAAGTAACATCCCCCTTACGGTTACATAATGTAATACATATGAATATACGAGAAAATCTAGGGGTTATCACTCTTTATTAATAACCAAGTTTAATACAAAGAATTCATGTGTTACTAGTGTTAGAATTGTTGCCCACTCCAAAAGTTTGGTAGATCTAGCTAGTAAAAGCATGCATAGGCCCTATAAATGTTTTTATAAGATCAAAATTGTCTATAATTAATTAAGCGTACCCTAGCACGCATTCCTTATGAGATAAAACTGACACCCAATGTATGTTGTGAAACAATCTAGCAATAATATTAATATTTGTGAAGGTCCCCAACGTTTTTTTTAACTTTACCCCTCAGATAAAAGAGCTTCTTATCGGAATGCTGTCCTATGTCCCAAGTTCCAGATACACACTCAATCGTGTTAAAAATAGTGAGTGGTTCAATATGGCCTCGGACAAAGTGCAAATTGGCAGCTTTTATTTGGTTCGGCAACCTCAAAAAGTCTGTGATGGCGAAAGGGAACGAGAGGTGAAAGCAGAGTATGAAATATGAAACTTGAACAAAATAAATGCAAGCACTCCAAAATACAGCAATCTTTACTCAAGAACATTGGTCTCACTGCAACTTTAGTTGTTGCTTTCTCAATTTAAAAAAAATTGTCGCCAGTATTGCTAACTTTTTATCAGGCCACTCTTTGAGTTAGGTCTTGAGTCTCGATAAATAAAACTGAAATTTAAAGAAACTTTTCAACCGTTCAACTGATTTCAGCATAGAATTGATTTACTTGGTAGTTTTTTGATCCAAGTAATCTTATGTGGCGCTTCTAAAAAAACTTGATCTCATTGCAACACAATTGAATTGGAATCCAGGCGTCTAGATCTTGTATCATTTTTTTAAAGAACTATAATTGGACCTACAATAGTGCAATGTATGGACCTAGCCCTAGCACATCTTGATCAAATTTCTGCTGTGCACATTTGTATAAATGTTTTGATTTGAGATTGGTAGCACACTTTTTTTGATGACTTTTAACACAGTATAATAGCATTGATTTTTGTGAGAAAGGTATGAATTGTCGAAATCATTTAGTGAGAGTTGAACTGGTAGTATCTAGATCTAGATCAAGTTATACAACACATTCTCTTGGCAACATTTAAAGATGTTTTCTTTTATCCATTGGTTTCATGAATGAATGCAATTGACAGTTGAAAGTGGTATGACAAGAACTAGATTTTTAATGAACATGTTTGCCTATATTTCAAGTCTTTCAAATAATACTTTTTTATTATCTACCAAAGTTATAAAAATCTCAACAATTAGTTGTTTGAAATATATATTTTAGAAAAACTTTATTTTCTTTTTAACATGTGAATTTTTCAAGACTCATTGTATGCCATTTGCCAAAATGTCCACAAACCAGAGTTATTTTTATATTTGAGCTCATACAGTGTATCTAGTTTTAATTTTAAAAGACCTCACACTTGTAGTTTCAAAGACAGCACATAAAAGTTCCCTCAAAAATATTGCAAAGACTTTTTATAAGAAAGTTTAAATTCTTTTCAGAGAATAATGTGAAACATTTTAACCAAATTGTAAACAAGCAGTTTTTGAGTTAAACATTGTGCTATATTTAGAATTATATTGCTAATACTTCAGATACTCAATTTAAAAATATTTAACAGATAGTTTGTGGTGGGAAACACCCAGAGCATTAATTACAACCTCAGTGTTTTGATTTGAATACATCTACATTAATTTGTTCTTATCATTTCATTTTAAAACCCAAACACATCTTCTCCTGCTGGTGTACTTTTGTCTGACATTTATTCATTAATTATAATATTGTAATTGAATGAAAATTCAGCTTCAATGTATTTATTTCTATTATTATTTTAGATGACCCTAAGCATATCTGTCTAGTCCAAAAATTAAAAGTTGAAAAAGACAAAAAAAAACAACTTATTTTATTTTAAGTGAAGAACATTTTAAACTGCTTACATTACAATTCTTTCAGCTAAAGCAGTTTTTATTCAAAGTACTTTTCTTGTTTTACCATGTCTCAGTGCCTGATGGTTTTATAGTTTTAATAGTAAAAAGTATTAAATCATGAAAAAAATAAAATTTATGAAAATTTACTCATAAAAATTTCAACCTAATAACTTTAAGCTATTTATTATTGTTTGTTATGTGATTAAAAAGTGCATTTTCATGTTTGGCCTTGGTCTTTTATTTAATAAATGTGATAATAGAAATCAGCACGATAGAAGTGACTAAAGTAGAGCCAATGTAAGGCAACATCAGAACACTCTGGTGACTAGTCCATGGCCACAGAATCTATTTTATGAAGTCCAACTTTTGAAAGTTTGACGAAACAAATATGGAATGTCATAAACCAATGTAGGCAGGGTTTAACCATTTTTTGTGTGTACAAATTTTTGTTCAGACACCCAGTAAAAACACCAGACCACATTTGAGCTGTAGGATGATACAAATGTTGACATGGCTTCTCCCACCCCCCAGCCTATTGCATGCTATCACTAGGATAGAGTACATTTACTGTGCCTCAGTGTATGCAAGTCCTTGAAGGAAACAGAAAAAACAAACTTTGACTTCATACTAATTTTACCTTTATTAAACAAAGGTATTTACAACTTACATTCCTCTTACATAGATATTTGCTTTTTTTTTCAACATAACAAACCATCCAAAATGAACAGATAATGTATCTATGTAAGTAGATAATATAAATATATTCATCTACTTTACTACATAAGGAAGCATTAACAGATAGGTTATAAAGCAGTAGTCTAAAAAAAATATTTAAATCATCAAAAAGTTAATTCAAAAAAGGTACTTTTACAGCTGACTAAAAGACAAATGTTGACAAAAATAGATTTATAAAAATGTGCTATTTAACTACAAATATGTACAGTTTTTACTGTCAATTAAATTAAAGATGAAGTTGAGTAAAAATAAAAGTTTTGAAACGTGCTATCTATTACAATAAAAGTAGCAAAACTCCTAATAAAAATGTCAGATGATGAAACAACACCAATGGAAGAACACATTTATGACATTCTCTCAACATTTACACAAGAATAGATCTGTACAGGTGAAAACACTATTTACAGTTTTAAGCTGGAATGAAATGATGCAAATTATACGGTAGACAAATATTTTTATAAATGACTCTAGCTTTAGTATAAAACATTTGTATATATTTACATAACAGTAAAAAGAACAAACAACTGTACAAACACTAATTAGTGTTTTTACAACATTGCTCTAGCAGTTTAAAAAATAGGTTTTAGTATAAAGTAGTATTTCCTAAACTTTCCATTCTACAACCCCTTTAAAAAAAATTCACCCAATACCCCCTAACAAAATCTTTTATTTTAAATATTTCTTGTTTGGGATATTTTAGTCAAGAAATAATATAGTTAGCGACTGCACTAAATCTGCTATGTATGAAATACACTGAAAGCAGCAAAAGTGAATCTCCTAACCAAGAATCAACTTCTATCAGCCATTGAGCTGAATGTGGCCATCTTTGAATTTAAACTCCTATATGTGGCAACCTCTCAGTTTTTCTTGTAGTTTTGGGGAATGTTCTAAAAAAATACTCAACATGGCGTATTCATTTTTAAAAATATCTTTAAGTCACTGACTGAAGTCAAATTGGAGATCACCTAACTTATGTAATAATGTTGGCCAGTAATTACTTTAAATAATTAAAGCATCATCTTTGTTTACAACAAATTCAAGTTCTAAAGTGATCCACTCTTGCAACTACTGAAAGCAAGGACACATACAAGTTTAGACGCCATATAAGCAAATATATTTGGAATACTCACAATGTAGATCAATATTTAATTTGCATTGAATTAACAACGCTGTGTGTAGCACTGTATTAAGTACAGCAGACAAATTTCTTGTTTGACTTAGACTGGTATAAAAATTAGAAAATCTGCATTTCAGTACTGCTCACTTTGGGGACTACTGGTGTAAAGCATCTAGAGAAAAACTTGGGTTTGAGAGTACACCAATCATGATTTACAAACTGTATAAATGGACCCACGTGAGAATAGTCTCAAAGGTATTTGAGAGGCCTATTAAATATTTTAAAAAATCATGCGCTGGGTAAATAAAATTAATATGGTTATAAAATCCTGACTTTTTTTTTCTGACTTTAAAAAAAGAGTGGATGTATTTGATGTTTTAGTATTTTCGGTAATTAAAAAGTTTAAAAAAAAAGGCAAAAGCAATTTGGTTTTAACATGGTAATGGCAACATTAACAATGACATCCTGCTATTCAATAGGCTAGCATAAATTTTATTTTACAAAATGTAATTTAAATGACAGAACTAGGTCATGTGGTTTAAAATAGCATTATGTTATTTAAAAACTTTATCTGCAAAGTTTGTAAAAAAATAACCATCGATCATGGAATTCCTGTACAGCCAATCAATGTTTGTTTTAGGAAAGTGAAACATCCAGTTATAACTTAGGCTTGATGAAAATAAATAGAAATGTAGTCTTAATTAAACTCAAAACATTATTTTCAAGTTCTGTAATCACCATCAAACTTTCAATGTCTGTAATCACATCCATGTAATTTGAATATAATTACATTTCATCAGCTTCTCTCTCTACAATAATCCTCAAACGTATGACTCCAGACCTACAAAGTAAGAAATAGATTTATGCATGTAGAAAGACAATAAAAAAGATTCATCAATATAGAGCTGTGGATATTTCAAATGTGGGCTGCGGCTGTTGGTTATTTCAAATATGGACAACAGCTGTTGGTTATTTTAAACGTGGACTGCAGCTGTTGGTTATTTTAAACGTGGACTGCAGCTGTTGGTTATTGAATAAAAAACAAACAACTGTGATGCTTACCTTTGTATAAGTATCCACAGGACAGCACAGATGAGCTCTTTCAGAATGACAACAGACAGGAAAATGACAATCATCTGACTTGTGTAGAAAATAATGTGACGCAGATTATCCAGCACAGACTCAGTCTGTTTCTCCGATATTGGTGGCGTGTTTTGTACTTTCCTAAAGTAGATATATGATATTGGTGGCGTGTTTTGTACTTTCCTAAAGTAGATATATGATATTGGTGGCGTGTTTTGTACTTTCCTAAAGTAGATATATGATATTGGTGGCGTGTTTTGTACTTTCCTAAAGTAGATATATGATATTGGTGGCGTGTTTTGTACTTTCCTAAAGTAGATATATGATATTGGTGGCGTGTTTTGTACTTTCCTAAAGTAGATATATGATATTGGTGGCGTGTTTTGTACTTTCCTAAAGTAGATATATGATATTGGTGGCGCGTTTTGTACTTTCCTAAACTAGATATATGATATAGGTGGTGCGTTTTGTACTTTCCTAAAGTAGATATATGATATTGGTGGCGTGTTTTGTACTTTCCTAAAGTAGATATATGATATTGGTGGCGTGTTTTGTACTTTCCTAAAGTAGATATATGATATTGGTGGCATGTTTTGTACTTTCCTAAAGTAGATATATGATATTGGTGGCATGTTTTGTACTTTCCTAAAGTAGATATATGATATTGGTGGCATGTTTTGTACTTTCCTAAAGTAGATATATGATATTGGTGGCGTGTTTTGTACTTTCCTAAAGTAGATATATGATATTGGTGGCGTGTTTTGTACTTTCCTAAAGTAGATATATGATATTGGTGGCGTGTTTTGTACTTTCCTAAAGTAGATATATGATATTGGTGGCGTGTTTTGTACTTTCCTAAAGTAGATATATGATATTGGTGGCGTGTTTTGTACTTTCCTAAAGTAGATATATGATATTGGTGGCGTGTTTTGTACTTTCCTAAAGAAGATATATGATATTGGTGGCATGTTTTGTACTTTCCTAAAGTAGATATATGATATTGGTGGCGTGTTTTGTACTTTCCTAAAGTAGATATATGATATTGGTGGCATGTTTTGTACTTTCCTAAAGTAGATATATGATATTGGTGGCGTGTTTTGTACTTTCCTAAAGTAGATATATGATATTGGTGGTGTGTTATGTACTTTCTTAAAGTAGATATATGATATTGGTTTTCTTCATTTTTACTTTCCTAAAGTAGATATTTTACTACTTCCTTTTGTATGGAGGTCTTAAAATAAGGATTTAAGAGTACAAGTAAAACAGTTGACCAAGTGCTACTACCTGACCTAAGTGCTACTACCTGAACAAGTGCTACTACCTGACCAAGTGTTACTACCTGAACAAGTGCTACTACCTGACCTAAGTGCTACTACCTGAACAAGTGCTACTACCTGACCAAGTGCTACTACCTGACCTAAGTGCTACTACCTGAACAAGTGCTACTACCTGACCTGACCAAGTGCTACTACCTGACCTAAGTGCTACTACCTGACCAAGTGTTACTACCTAACCAAGTGCTACTACCTGACCTGACCAAGTGCTACTACCTGACCAAGTGCTACTACCTGACCTGACCAAGTGCTACTACCTGACCAAGTGCTACTACCTGACCAAGTGCTACTACCTGACCTGACCAAGTGCTACTACCTGACCTGACCAAGTGCTACTACCTGACCTGACCAAGTACTACTACCTGACCTGACCAAGTGCTACTACCTGACCAAGTGCTACTACCTGAACAAGTGCTACTACCTGACCTGACCAAGTGCTACTACCTGACCAAGTGCTACTACCTGACCTAAGTGCTACTACCTGACCAAGTGCTACTACCTGACCTGACCAAGTGCTACTACCTGACCAAGTGCTACTACCTGACCTAAGTGCTACTACCTGACCTGACCAAGTGCTACTACCTGACCTAACCAAGTGCTACTACCTGACCAAGTGCTACTACCTGACCTAAGTGCTACTACCTGACCAAGTGCTACTACCTAACCAAGTGCTACTACCTGACCAAGTGCTACTACCTGACCTGACCAAGTGCTACTACCTGACCTGACCAAGTGCTACTACCTGACCAAGTGCTACTACCTGACCAAGTGCTACTACCTGACAAAAAGCTCTGGCACCACTGGCTGGAAGCTGCAGCTGTAAACCTCCTGCAGACTGTCCTGGTCCTGAGATGGGTCCTGACACTCACCTGAAGCACCAATGGCCTTCAGGTGTTCACAGTACTCCTGACTCAGTTTCTGTTGACACATTGGTTTAACTTTAGCGCAACATTGGTTTAACTTTAGCGCAACATTGGTTTAACTTTAGCGCAACATTGGTTTAACTTTAGCGCAACATTGGTTTAACTTTAGCGCAACATTGGTTTAACTTTAGCGCAACATTGGTTTAACTTTAGCGCAACATTGGTTTAGCTTTAGCGCAACATTGGTTTAACTTTAGCGCAATAAGAAAAATGTCTAATTGTCAAAGCATGCGAAGCATCTTTGGAACAGACCTATCACACCACCAACTGACACCTTAAAAAAAGACCTAAGTAATAACAAACCCCTGTAGCAATAAGTCCCTGTAAAGCATAATCTACACACACTGACCCCTATACATGCAGACCCCTATAGACAGAGACCCCTATACATGCAGAATCCTATAGACAGAGCCCCCAGTACCTGTAACCCATGAAGCTGTTTACTGTAGATGTTGAAGACTGTCCTGTGTCTGCTGATGTAGCCGTTGACCACAGCTTGGAATGATGGTAGATCTACCGTGTTGATGTAGCTGGCGTGGGTCACCAATCTAGCGTTGGACATCTCCACTTGCACGTTCAGGTACTTATCCTGTAGGATTCAAACAGTCAAAATTATCCTGTAGGATTCAAACAGTCAAAATTATCCTGTAGGATTCAAACAGTCAAAATTATCCTGTAGGATTCAAACAGTCAAAATTATCCTGTAGGATTCAAACAGTCAAAATTATCCTGTAGGATTCAAACAGTCAAAATTATCCTGTAGGATTCAAACAGTCAAAATTATCCTGTAGGATTCAAACAGTCAAAATTATCCTGTAGGATTCAAACAGTCAAAATTATCCTGTAGGATTCAAACAGTCAAAATTATCCTGTAGGATTCAAACAGTCAAAATTATCCTGTAGGATTCAAACAGTCAAAATTATCCTGTAGGATTCAAACAGTCAAAATTATCCTGTAGGATTCAAACAGTCAAAATTATCCTGTAGGATTCAAACAGTCAAAATTATCCTGTAGGATTCAAACAGTCAAAATTATCCTGTAGGATTCAAACAGTCAAAATTATCCTGTAGGATTCAAACAGTCAAAATTATCCTGTAGGATTCAAACAGTCAAAATTATCCTGCAGGATTCAAACAGTCAAAATTATCCTGTAGGATTCAAACAGTCAAAATTATCCTGTAGGATTCAAACAGTCAAAATTATCCTGTAGGATTCAAACAGTCAAAATTATCCTGTAGGATTCAAACAGTCAAAATTATGCATGTTTAGAAAATAAAGCTTATGCTAATATTTGGCCATCCTCTGTCATGCTATTAGTGAAACTCTCCAGCCCCCATAGATAGAAGTGAAGGTACTCACACAGCTGTGATAGAGTCCCATTGCCTCCAGCTCTTTGACTGTCAGATATTTATTACTTAAATTTAAAACTGAGATTAAGACGAAGGAGGCTGCGATGGCACCCACGATCTTCGGAAAAAATGTAGTGGAAATGGTCTGAAAAATATGAGAGAAAAAAAAATGAGTAAGTCTAGTAATTGGTGTTTTAAAGTTTTAAATTTAAATTGAAGGAAATGTTAAGGAACTCACCTGAGTTAAAAATATTTTAATAAACTGAAAAACTGGAAAATTCTGGCAACTTTGGGCAGGTGCCAACTTGGATTTTGATTCTTTTGATGCAAATACATTGTCTACAATAGCTTCTTCTCCTAAAAACATTGAAAACTTAGTTGATCATTAACCATAATTTTAGATAAATACTTGTATTAATTTACTGAGTAATTAATTAAAATACATTCCCCATTAGACAAATGAATTCACCTAACCTTTCTTTTGTCTGACATATTCCGGGAAGCCAAAGAGAAGAAGTCGAGCAAATGTCCAGGCTTTGCACATGCGGTGTGCCAGAAGTACTAGGTCACACACAAGGAGAAGTCCCAGAAATATAAAAAACACGACTGAGTTTCCCATCTGCTTCTCCTCAGTTTGCTTGAGCGGCGACTAGAAATTATTTAAATTGCCAAATTAAAAGTTGTTTTCAAGAATAATAGTTAAACAAAAATATAATAAAATAAATTTGTAAAGAAAGACCTAAATTTAAAAAAATGATACGCATTTTAAGATTCTAAATTTAGAAAGAATAATAAAAAAAAGACCTTGTAACGTGGTGCCTTCTCTAACTCTCCATTTAAAGGGAAAAACCAGTTGTTGTGTATTTGAATGCTGCGGATGGGATCTTTCTGAGCCATATTTTCAACTGTGTTTCTTTTGATTGGTGGCTTATCAAAGGGCAAGGCCATGAGGTCGTCCAGCATGGGCAGGGCAGGCAAGGAGAAAGACAGGTCTGTGAGATGAGCAGATAGTTGGAAAATAGTTGGCATAGGTCAGTACTCAACGCAATACAGGTGGGTGGAATGCTTTTTAAAAAAAAAATAATAGCCATGTTTCTAAGATGAAAAGTTCTTATTAAATTTTACCAATTTCTAGTTTAGAAAGTTCAGCTTTAATTCCAGTCCACTGCATGAAATCTTTTTGTTCCAAATTGGCCAGTTTTTTCAAAAGTGTGACCTGTTCATGCAAAAATCTGGGGCCCTTGAGCCAGGTGTTGTTGTAGAAGACGTTCTGGAATGATGCCTGGGCGTTCTGGTTGACTTGTCGTAACACAGACTTAGCAGTGGCAGCAAAGGCTTGCCTGTGGGGTTATACCAGATAACACAGATTAGTCTAATGGACTGGCAGAAAGAAATGGATTAGCAATGAGGGGCTGGAGTATCTTTTAGTCTAATGGACTGACAGAAAGAAATGGATTAGCAATGAGGGGCTAGAGTATCCTTTAGTCTAATGGACTGACAGAAAGAAATGGATTAGCAATGAGGGGCTAGAGTATCCTTTAGTCTAATGGACTGACAGAAAGAAATGGATTAGCAATGAGGGGCTAGAGTATCCTTTAGTCTAATGGACTGACAGAAAGAAATGGATTAGCAATGAGGGGGCGGACATGAGCTAGACAAGTAGATACTTGACAGACAGGATCTTTTTGTCTCACTATCAAATGGCAGTAATTTGAAGGACAAATTTAAAAAAAAAATTATGAACATGACAAGACCGACCTAAAATTGTTCAGATCTTTGTTCAGCTTTTCCCTGACATGAATTTTCTGTTTCTCCAGGAGTAGGTCAAGCCTGTGCCGGTCAAAGATGTCTTGTGTTGAGGTCAGCAGCGCCTGATGGAGCTGAATCAAAAACCTCAGTTTTTAGTAGAGAATACATCATTTTGGGGATGTTACTGAATGTATTTAGTACTGGTAGAGAATACATCATTTTGGGGATGTTACTGAATGTATTTAGTACTGGTAGAGAATACATCATTTTGGGGATGTTACTGAATGTATTTAGTACTGGTAGAGAATACATCATTTTGGGAATGTTACTGAATGTAGAGAATACATCATTTTGGGGATGTTACTGAATGTATTTAGTACTGGTAGAGAATACATCATTTTGGGGATGTTACTGAATGTAGAGAATACATCATTTTGGGGATGTTACTGAATGTATTTAGTACTGGTAGAGAATACATCATTGTGGGGATGTTACTGAATGTATTGAGGAGGATTAGTTACACACTAATGATGTTAAATTAAAATGGAAGCTTGTAGAAAGTAAAATATGGCATGACAGTAGGTCTGTCTCATGAAGAGATTATACAATTTGAGCTTAATGATCAAGTTTGTAGATTTAATTTGCCAGGCTATTTCATTTTAAAGATTTACTATTTACATTTTATTGTCTGAAAAACTTGAAAAAAAATCTTCATCTAAATAGGGCAGTGAAGCCTATACAATAGAGAAATAAAACTTGTAATGTTCATGTAAAACAAAGTATTTTAAGAACCTGTTTGAAATCTGCAACAATTTTTGTGACATCTTGAAAACAAGATTTTTGTGAGGCGTCTGCTAGCAAGTCCTGTCTTCTGATTTCTTTCTCCAGGTAGCGCTGCAGGTGGAGCAGGTCAATGTGGCTAGGGTCAAGGCTGAGACCCCCAGTGGGGCCGTGCTGCAGGATGTAGCTGACATGATCGCTGGGGAAACATCAATTCACTCACTGTAGACTGTTACAGGCTACATATGGGCTAACATCAAGTAACTCTCTGTAGACTGTTACAACCTACATATGGGCTAACATCCATTCATTCATCTACTGATATTTGTCTAACTTAGATCATGTGACTGCTCAAGTTTGTAAAAGAAAGAAAACCCTAGATCTACTTACTGTGTGACTTCTCTAGTTTGTAAAAGAAAGAAAACCCTAGATCTACTTACTGTGTGACTGCTGCTCAAGTTTGTAAAAGAAAGAAAACCCTAGATCTACTTACTGTGTGACTTCTCTAGTTTGTAAAAGAAAGAAAAACCTAGATCTACTTACTGTGTGACTACTTAAGTTTGTAAAAGAAAGAAAACCCTAGATCTACTTACTGTGTGACTGCTGCTCAAGTTTGTAAAAGAAAGAAAACCCTAGATCTACTTACTGTGTGACTACTCTAGTTTGTAAAAGAAAGAAAACCCTAGATCTACTTACTGTGTGACTACTCTAGTTTGTAAAAGAAAGGAAACCCTAGATCTACTTACTGTGTGACTACTGCTCAAGTTTGTAAAAGAAAGAAAACCCTAGATCTACTTACTGTGTGACTGCTGCTCAAGTTTGTAAAAGAAAGAAAACCCTAGATCTACTTACTGTGTGACTTCTCTAGTTTGTAAAAGAAAGAAAAACCTAGATCTACTTACTGTGTGACTACTTAAGTTTGTAAAAGAAAGAAAACCATAGATCTACTTACTGTGTGCCTGCTCAAGTTTGTAAAAGAAAGAAAACCCTAGATCTACTTACTGTGTGACTGCTGCTCCAGTTTGTAAAAGAAAGAAAACCCTAGATCTACTTACTGTGTGACTTCTCTAGTTTGTAAAAGAAAGAAAAACCTAGATCTACTTACTGTGTGACTACTTAAGTTTGTAAAAGAAAGAAAACCCTAGATCTACTTACTGTGTGACTTCTCTAGTTTGTAAAAGAAAGAAAACCCTAGATCTACTTACTGTGTGACTTCTCTAGTTTGTAAAAGAAAGAAAACCCTAGATCTACTTACTGTGTGACTACTGAGGTTTGTAAAAGAAAGAAAACCCTAGATCTACTTACTGTGTGACTACTTAAGTTTGTAAAAGAAAGAAAAACCTAGATCTACTTACTGTGTGACTTCTCTAGTTTGTAAAAGAAAGAAAACCCTAGATCTACTTACTGTGTGACTTCTCTAGTTTGTAAAAGAAAGAAAACCCTAGATCTACTTACTGTGTGACTTCTCTAGTTTGTAAAAGAAAGAAAACCCTAGATCTACTTACTGTGTGACTGCTCAAGTTTGTAAAAGAAAGAAAACCCTAGATCTACTTACTGTGTGACTACTGAGGTTTGTAAAAGAAAGAAAACCCTAGATCTACTTACTGTGTGACTACTGAGGTTTGTAAAAGAAAGAAAACCCTAGATCTACTTACTGTGTGACTTCTCAAGTTTGTAAAAGAAAGAAAACCCTAGATCTACTTACTGTGTGACTTCTCAAGTTTGTAAAAGAAAGAAAACCCTAGATCTACTTACTGTGTGACTGGGGTGTGGGGAAATTGCGAGACGCGAAAAGCGAAATGGCGAGGCGGGAAAATGCGAGAAGGTAATGCGAGACATACCTGCGGAATTAAGGGTAAATAGCGAGACACTTTTTGCGAAAAAAAGTTTTTTTCTTTTTTTTCCATCTTAATTTATTTAAATTATTTTTTTTTTGTTTTAAAATAAACAAGCATTTAGCCATACCCTTTAACATGAGTGTTGTATGTTGTTATTTTTTATCTAGATACTAAGAAGATAGATAGATCTATATCTAGATCTATCTATTTAAAAATCCTAACATCGTTGCTGTGCTACTCTCATCGCCCGCTCTTGTTAGCAAGAGGAAAATCCCGTCTCAGTCAGCATTAATTTAAAAATCTAGCCCGCTCATGTTTATACAAACGTGAGCTGTGTCATTGTGAATTGGTATAATCTTGTCAGCAGGAGAGATATTTTGCAACATCTATTTATGGATTTTTGTACTTGCAAAAAGTCATTTATGGAAGACCCCAAAATAACACCACCACCAAAACGAAAAAATTCAGATAAGTTCAACTTGGTTTTAAAAATATTTGAAGTAGGCCCATAGCTTACGATTTAGCACGAGCAACTGATAATATCGGTGACGTCACTTTATTTTTTCCCCAAACAGTAAGTAAGAGAAAAAAAACTGGGGGCATTAAGAGTTCATAAAAGCTTAGGAATAAGCAACACATAAGGGAGGGTTAATCTAGTCCTCGCCTTCACATAGGGTAGTAACTGCATACTTAATTTGATGTTATTTTTTTCTGATTTATTTATGGAAATAATAAATAATAAATTTTTATATATATTTACAATTAATTAATAAATAATAATATAACATTTATGGGAAAATTTGGAAAAGTCACAACCGTGATATAAAATCTAATATAAATTAGTGTATCCAAATGATGTAGGCATTTCCTTGTGCTTAGATGTATATGGTAAAAAAAGCTAGAAAAAAATCGTAGGCGGCGGCTATAATACAAAATTTCTATGCAACAATAGAAAATATGTTTGCGGCGGCAGCGGATCCGGCGATCTTCAAAGACGGTAAATCAGGCGGCCTCGGCGTTCCACACAAAAGACAGAAGTTGATCTATCGTCGGCGGTATTTCCGTCGGTTTCGAACAAGGTGGTATTCTAAGTCGACACAAAAGATGGGGGGAGTTGACAAATCATCAGTATGTCTAGCGACGGAAAAATCGGAAGTTTTAACAATGTAAACGAAACGTCTTTGAAGTCTGGACCAAATACCACTGAATATCGGGTGCGGTAAATTTTTCACAGAAATCTTCGCATTTCAACACTACCCAGCGTAAGTATCGGGTTGTGGTAAAATGCGAGACAAAAAAGTCACGTGACCGACCGTTTTCGCGCCCTTCTCGCATTTTCCCGCCTCGCCATTTCGCTTTTCGCGTCTCGCAATTTCCCCACACCCGTGTGACTGCTGCTCAAGTTTGTAAAAGAAAGAAAACCCTAGATCTACTTACTGTGTGACTACTCTAGTTTGTAAAAGAAAGAAAACCCTAGATCTACTTACTGTGTGACTACTCTAGTTTGTAAAAGAAAGGAAACCCTAGATCTACTTACTGTGTGACTACTGCTCAAGTTTGTAAAAGAAAGAAAACCCTAGATCTACTTACTGTGTGACTGCTGCTCAAGTTTGTAAAAGAAAGAAAACCCTAGATCTACTTACTGTGTGACTTCTCTAGTTTGTAAAAGAAAGAAAAACCTAGATCTACTTACTGTGTGACTACTTAAGTTTGTAAAAGAAAGAAAACCCTAGATCTACTTACTGTGTGACTGCTGCTCAAGTTTGTAAAAGAAAGAAAACCCTAGATCTACTTACTGTGTGACTTCTCAAGTTTGTAAAAGAAAGAAAACCCTAGATCTACTTACTGTGTGACTGCTGCTCAAGTTTGTAAAAGAAAGAAAACCCTAGATCTACTTACTGTGTGACTACTGAGGTTTGTAAAAGAAAGAAAACCCTAGATCTACTTACTGTGTGCCTGCTCAAGTTTGTAAAAGAAAGAAAACCCTAGATCTACTTACTGTGTGACTGCTGCTCAAGTTTGTAAAAGAAAGAAAACCCTAGATCTACTTACTGTGTGACTGCTGCTCAAGTTTGTAAAAGAAAGAAAACCCTAGATCTACTTACTGTGTGACTACTGAGGTTTGTAAAAGAAAGAAAACCCTAGATCTACTTACTGTGTGACTTCTCTAGTTTGTAAAAGAAAGAAAACCCTAGATCTACTTACTGTGTGACTTCTCTAGTTTGTAAAAGAAAGAAAACCCTAGATCTACTTACTGTGTGCCTGCTCAAGTTTGTAAAAGAAAGAAAACCCTAGATCTACTTACTGTGTGCCTGCTCAAGTTTGTAAAAGAAAGAAAACCTTAGATCTACTTACTGTGTGCCTGCTCCAGTTTGTAAAAGAAAGAAAACCCTAGATCTACTTACTGTGTGACTACTGAGGTTTGTAAAAGAAAGAAAACCCTAGATCTACTTACTGTGTGACTGCTGTCAGGATGAGGAAGAAGAAAGTTCCAGAAATGATGGCACTGTACAAGAACTGGAACATCATGTAGACAACAGCAAACACAGGGTGGTACCAGCGGGCAAACTGGGTCTCTGGTAAACCTACAACGATTGGTAAATAGTGAGCTCTTTGTTGGAGTAAGGTGAGTTCTTTGTTGGAGTAAGGTGAGTTAGACCATGATTTCTTGCTTGCTTACCTGGCTGAAATATTAATCCTATAATGGCCAAGACAATCAGGAGCAGGACGCTGCCCGCAATGGCCAACAGATACGGCAGTCCCAGGGGGAGACTCGGCATTCTTCTAGGGGTCATGGCAAAGGTTCTAGCAGGTTCTTTGTTTTCTGCTACCACTACTGGGTCAAAAAAAAAAATCTAGTTCTGCTAATATTTTCATGGTTGGTTTTTACTGACATGAATTAATTCAAAATATTTTCTACTTTCTATTTTCTCAGTCCAACATCTCAGTCCAGCAAACTTACCTTCTGTTTTCCCAGCATCAACTTCCCGCCTGTAAATCCTGAAATTGTGGATTTTGATTTCATCTTGAACAACGACCAGAATCTCTTTAGCTGAGCCAGGCCGGTCAGTTGTTGGGATGGTGAAGTTGATGGAGAAGGTTGGTGGGCACATGACAGCCAGGTCACAGTCCATCAGGGCAGCAGCAGGGCTAGCACTGCTGTACAGCTTCAAGTTCAACACACCTGACACAGAGACATTGGCTTAACACACCTGGCACAGAGACATTGGCTCAACACACCTGACACAGAGACATTGGCTCAACACACCTGACACAGAGACATTGGCTCAACACACCTGACACAGAAACATTGGCTCAACACACCTGACACAGAAACATTGGCTCAACACACCTGACACAGAGACATTGGCTCAACACACCTGACACAGAGACATTGGCTCAACACACCTGACACAGAGACATTGGCTCAATCTAATGACTTCAACACACCTGGCACAGAGACATTGGCTCAATCTAATGACTTCAACACACCTGACACAGAGACATTGGCTCAACACACCTGACACAGAAACATTGGCTCAATCTAATGACTTCAACACACCTGACACAGAGACATTGGCTCAACACACCTGACACAGAGACATTGGCTCAATCTAATGACTTCAACACACCTGACACAGAGACATTGGCTCAACACACCTGACACAGAAACATTGGCTCAATCTAATGACTTCAACACACCTGACACAGAGACATTGGCTCAACACACCTGACACAGAGACATTGGCTCAACACACATGACACAGAGACATTGGCTCAACACACCTGGCACAGAGACATTGGCTCAACACACCTGGCACAGAGACATTGGCTCAACACACCTGACACAGAGACATTGGCTCAATCTAATGACTTCAACACACCTGACACAGAGACATTGGCTCAACACACCTGACACAGAGACATTGGCTCAACACACATGACACAGAGACATTGGCTCAACACACCTGGCACAGAGACATTGGCTCAATCTAATGACTTCAACACACCTGGCACAGAGACATTGGCTCAACACACCTGACACAGAGACATTGGCTCAACACACATGACACAGAGACATTGGCTCAATCTAATGACTTCAACACACCTGGCACAGAGACATTGGCTCAACACACCTGGCACAGAGACATTGGCTCAACACACCTGACACAGAGACATTGGCTCAACACACCTGGCACATTGGCTCAACACACCTGGCACATTGGCTTAACACACCTGACACAGAGACATTGGCTCAACACACCTGGCACAGAGACATTGGCTCAACACACCTGACACAGAGACATTGGCTCAATCTAATGACTTCAACACACCTGGCACAGAGACATTGGCTCAACACACCTGACACAGAGACATTGGCTCAACACACATGACACAGAGACATTGGCTCAACACACCTGGCACAGAGACATTGGCTCAACACACCTGGCACAGAGACATTGGCTCAACACACCTGACACAGAGACATTGGCTCAACACACCTGACACAGAGACATTGGCTCAACACACCTGGCACAGAGACATTGGCTCAACACACCTGACACAGAGACATTGGCTCAATCTAATGACTTCAACACACCTGACACAGAGACATTGGCTCAACACACCTGACACAGAGACATTGGCTCAACACACATGACACAGAGACATTGGCTCAACACACCTGGCACAGAGACATTGGCTCAATCTAATGACTTCAACACACCTGGCACAGAGACATTGGCTCAACACACCTGACACAGAGACATTGGCTCAACACACCTGACACAGAGACATTGGCTTAACACACCTGGCACAGAAACATTGGCTCAACACACCTGACACAGAGACATTGGCTCAACACACCTGACACAGAGACATTGGCTCAACACACCTGACACAGAGACATTGGCTTAACACACCTGGCACAGAAACATTGGCTCAACACACCTGACACAGAGACATTGGCTCAACACACCTGACACAGAGACATTGGCTCAACACACCTGGCACAGAAACATTGGCTCAACACACCTGACACAGAGACATTGGCTCAACACACCTGACACAGAGACATTGGCTCAACACACCTGGCACAGAAACATTGGCTCAATCTAATGACTTCAACACACCTGGCATGATTGGGGCACATTTAGAAACATTGGCTCAATCTAACAATTTAAATTAGAACTGTTTACTCATTGATAGAGAAAGAACTTCTTCAATGATCAAGAAGGAAAGAACATGTTCATACCTTAAATAAATGTTTCATGGATGCATATTTCAAATGTTTACAGATCCAAATGAGTGAAATATTTGGCACTGAATGCTGAATTTACCTGGACACTTTTTGACTGCTCCAGTGAGTAGGACAAGCCAGTGCGTGTTATTTTGAATCAAGTTGCCAGAAAATCTCTCAGCCTCCAATAAAGTGGGGGAGAAAACTTTCTGCAGCAGGGGTACTGTACGGGATAGGCTAGCCTTGACCACGGGGGACTGGTCTTTGTTGGTGATCAAAAATGGGACGGAATGGTTGGTCACAGCCTCCAGGTGCGACAAGGATTTGTAGGGCAGCGTGTCCAGTAGCATCTCATTCATGGCAGGGTATGTGCAGTCTTGCTGGGCTGTGGTCAAGATAAAAAATTAGACCAGTCCTGGTGGGCTGTGGTCAAGATAAAAAATTAGACCAGTCCTGGTGGGCTGTGGTCAAGATAAAATATTAGACCAGTCCTGGTGGGCTGTGGTCAAGATAAAAAATTAGACCAGTCCTGGTGGGTTGTGGTCAAGATAAAAAATTAGACCAGTCCTGGTGGGTTGTGGTCAAGATAAAAAATTAGACCAGTCCTGGTGGGCTGTGGTCAAGATAAAAAATTACTAGACCAGTCCTGGTGGGCTGTGGTCAAGATAAAAAATTAGACCAGTCCTGCTGGGCTGTGGTCATGATAAAAAATTACTAGACCAGTCCTGTTGGGCTGTGGTCAAGATAAAAAATTAGACCAGTCCTGGTGGGCTGTGGTCAAGATAAAAAATTACTAGACCAGTCCTGGTGGGCTGTGGTCAAGATAAAAAATTAGACCAGTCCTGCTGGGCTGTGGTCATGATAAAATATTAGACCAGTCCTGTTGGGCTGTGGTCAAGATAAAAAATTAGACCAGTCCTGGTGGGCTGTGGTCAAGATAAAAAATTAGACCAGTCCTGGTGGGCTGGGTGTGAGAACCTACCTGGTGGCATGGGTGGGATGCCATGGGGCACGGGCGGCCGAATGCGAACTGTGTCGGTGCCAAAAGCAGCTGACCCAAATCTTAAAGTCGCGTCTGAGTTGTACCTGCCGGCATTAAAAATGTTTTTGTTCACGGTCGTCTCCCCTTCAATCATGTCAGGAACTGTGCCCAGACTTGAGTTGACCAAGATTTCTAGAATACCATCACTGCAAGGGAGAGAAAGAAGATTTCTAGAATACCATCACTTCAAGGGAGAGAAAGAAGATTTCTAGAATACCATCACTGCAAGGGAGAGAAACAAGATTTCTAGAATACCATCACTCCAAGGGAGAGAAAGATTTCTAGAATACCATCACTCCAAGGGAGAGAAAGATTTCTAGAATACCATCACTCCAAGGGAGAGAAAGAAGATTTCTAGAATACCATCACTGCAAGGGAGAGAAACAAGATTTCTAGAATACCATCACTCCAAGGGAGAGAAAGATTTCTAGAATACCATCACTCCAAGGGAGAGAAAGAAGATTTCTAGAATACCATCACTGCAAGAGATGATCTGACCAGAAATGTGACAAGGCCACCCACCTGGCTGTCATGTGACCTTGCTTCTCCCACTGACTGTCTCCAAAGACCTGTATGGTGCTGGAGTACAATGGTGTATTCAACTGGGAAAATTTGATGGTGTAGTCTAGTTCTAGCAGTCGCTGTTTTTTCATGGGGGCTATGTGACAAAAGTACCGCGAGTCTTGGATGCTATCCCATGATGGCTCCAAGATGAATTCAAGGATGTTGCCTTTGGAGCATCTGACAATAATTTTTAAAAAAATCTTGATATACAATATTATTTTTAAATATTTAAAAAATTGATTTCAATGTTTAATATTTAGAATGTGGAAAAAAAGTATACTATTATTAACATTTAAAATTTTTTTAAGATTGCTTTCAATGTTTAATATTTAGAATGTAATTAAAATTATACCACTATTAACATTTCAAATTAAAAAACAATTATACTACTATTAACATTTAAAATATTTTTAAAATTGATTTCAATGTTTAACATTTATCTAGAATGTAAAAAAAAATTATACTACTACAAACATTTAAAATATTTAAAAAATTGTTTTCAATATTTACTATTTAGAATGTAAAATAAAAAATTATACTACTCTAAACATTTAAACTATAACACATAGGGGTTCTAAACCCCATAACACTTCCTTGTCAGCACTATGTATTAGCTTGTGTATGATCTTGTCACCATGTATTGACCTGTGTATGATCTTGTATGTATTGAGCTGTGTTTGATCTTGTATGTATTGACCTGTGTTTGAACTTACTGTTCAGGCTGACATCTCCTCTTGTGGTAATCTTTACAAACAGTTGAGCAGTTTTTCTTCACACAGCAGTTGTAGCACATCTTGAACACAAAAAAATAGAATTTGATCCAACACCAAAAAAAATCAATTAAACAATTGTATTAGTACTGGGAATGTATGGAAGACAAAAATATCAAGTATTACAAAATATTTGTGATAGTTTTAAAATCAGACCAAAACTTTGAATAACATTACTAAAGTTTCTAACAAAAGTTTTAAAATCAGGTCAACATTTTCATCAATTGTATTGTACATGACTTACAACTCTGTGGCTAACAAACTATTAGAAAGTTGAAATCAAGTGTTGATGAAAGTTATTTACCATGATTTTGACAGAGTTGCCACTGTAAGTGTCATTGTCAGAAATGGAACAGACTGGGTCATCATGGCGGATGAGGGAAGCTATACAGTCAGTGATACAGGTCTCACAGGTCTGACTGTAGCGCTGACATCTGAACACCACAGGTGGCATCATGGAGAAAAGGCAAACATTTTAGTCACACATTTACCTGGCCACACAGTCACACATTTACCTGGCCACCCAGTCACACATTTACCTGGCCACCCAGTCACATTTACCTGGCCACCCATTTACCTGGCCACTCAGTCACACATTTACCTGGTCACACATTTACCTGGCCACCCAGTCACCCATTTACCTGGCCACCCAGTCACACAACCTGGCAACAATTACCTTTTACTCTTGTCAACCCATTTAGTTTTGGCCAGAAAAAAATCTTCCTCGATGATAAAGTTTGAGGTTAAACTTCCTGGTTGTGAACAAATAAATGAGTTACTGTTCTTGGAGATCTTAAAATAGTCATCAGAAAGCTGTTTGTTGGTGTCACACTCTTCGATTGAACCGTTTTCATTGAGCTTGTAGGTGTAGCCCTAGTGGGATAAAGTTAACAAGTAGATTGTAAATGTAGCCCTAGTGGGATAAAGTTAACAAGTAGATTGTAAATGTAGCCCTAGTGGGATAAAGTTAACAAGTAGATTGTAAATGTAGCCCTAGTAGGATAAAGTTAACAAGTAGATTGTAAATGTAGCCCTAGTAGGATAAAGTTAACAAGTAGATTGTAAATGTAGCCCTAGTAGGATAGTTAACAAGTAGATTGTAAATGTAGCCCTAGTAGGATGAAGTTAACAAGTAGATTGGAGGTATAGCCCTAGTAAAGTTAACAAGTAGATTGTAAATGTAGCCCTAGTAGGACAAAGTTAACAAGTAGATTGTAAATGTAGCCCTAGTAGGATAAAGTTAACAAGTAGATTGTAAATAAAGCCCTAGTAAAGTTAACAAGTAGATTGGAGGTGTAGCCCTAGTAGGATAAAGTTAAAAAGTAGATTGTAGCCCTAGTGGGATAAAGTTAACAAGTAGATTGTAAATGTTGCCAAACACGTAAGGTTTGTATGTGTGACTCAATAGTTTATAAAGCTTGGACATACATGACTTTGACCAACTTTAAAACAGCTGTACGTCTCTCTGTACACTTACCTCATGTTTCCTCAACTTGAGTGTGTAGTAGTTAGGGACGGGGTGGGGGCAGTACAGTTTGACCTGCTCAGACTTCAGCGCTGTTGGCAGCATGCTGTCCATACTGGATGTCTTGGCCAGACTGACCGGCTGGAACCTTTGGGTAGCGTCAATAAACCTGACGGTCAAGTCCACAACAATACCTGTACCTAAGATAAAGTGGCGTCAATAAACCTGACGGTCAAGTCCACAACAATACCTGTACCTGAGATAAAGTGGCGTCAATAAACCTGACAGTCAAGTACACAACAATACCTGTACCTGAGATAAAGTGGGGTCAATAAACCTGACGGTCAAGTCCACAACAATACCTGTACCTGAGATAAAGTGGGGTCAATAAAACCTGACAGTCAAGTCCACAACAATACCTGTACCTGAGATAAAGTGGCGTCAATAAACCTGACGGTCAAGTACACAACAATACCTGTACCTGAGATAAAGTGGGATTTAATTCAGATGATCTTGGAATTCAGGTACTCTTCAGAGGGCATGATCCTAGAGTGTACAACCACTAAACTGAAAGTCTCAAGTTCAGATCTCAGGTTTGCTAGAGTAGGATATCCCTGGGTCCACCCAAGTCTGATGGGTACCTGACTGACGTTAAGTGATGGGTACCTGACTGACGTTAAGTGATGGGTACCTGACTGACGTTAAGTGATGGGTACCTGACTGACGTTAAGGAAAGTAAAACTGGTGGGGATAGTGTTGAACCCACGATTATTTCATGTGATTAGGTCACAGAAACAGGTGAACTCTACTTCAACTGCCTGGTTCAAAAGAGATCTGAAACCATATAATTGATGTGGCTCCAGGTTTGAAAGTAAATCTGAACCAACTGACCTCTGCTCAAAGAGTATCTGGTAAAGCCGACGTAATGTGCAGGGAGTTTGTCCAACACGGCGCTGTCTGTCTGTATGTGGTTCTTTTCTTCTAGGATGATGTTGCTGGACACCGCGGGCAGTTCAATGAGGGAGACATCTGGGGAGGGGGGGGGGGGGAGAGATAAAGGTTAGACCACGGGCAGTTCAATGAGGGAGGCATCTGGGGGAGGGGGGAGATAAAGGTTAGACATCTGGGGGGGGGAGATAAAGGTTAGACATCTGGGGGAGGGGGAGATAAAAGTTAAACCACAGGCAGTTCAATGAGGGAGACATCTGAGGGAGGGGGGGGGATAAAAGTTAGACCACAGGCAGTTTAATGAGGGAGTTAACTGGGGGAGGAGCTTTTATTTCAAAAAGTTTAAGTATTTAAAATGGATTTAAAAAATCATGTTTATATCCCGAGTTGCCATCCCCTGTTGTTTTATATAAGAATATTCAAGAAAGTTTAGGGGAGATCACTACCGGCTTATTTAGGAATAAAGTCAACAGAAAATTGTTATTTGTACAAATTTCTTAGAAAGGAAATAAGTGGTTTTCTGTAAAAATGTGGAAAGGTTGCATCTCTGTTACAACGTACAAACTACCAGATGAAGTACTCACTACTGCACTCCCTATCATGGTACTCAGTACACTGCTTCAGCTCAAATTCACCAGCTGGACATTGGCTTTTACAACCTGTAAAAATTGGTAACAATTTATTTTACATGGGGTAGATTTTTTTTAACAATTTATTTTACGTGGGGGAAAGTTTTTGTTAATAATTTATTTTACGAGGGGGAAAGTTTTTGTTAACAATGTATTTTATGTGGGGGAAAGTTTGTTAAAAATTTATTTCTGGTGGTGGAAAAGTTTTGTTAATTTTTTAAATAGGATGTAAAACTTTTGTTTACACTTAATTTAATAGATGGAAAATTTTTGTTTTCGATTTATTGACTGTGAGGTAAAAATGTTGTGTAAAATTTATTCACTGGAATGTTAATTTTTTGTTTACAGTTTATTTGATGGGGGGTGGGGGGTGGTTAGCGACACCTGTGAGAATAAAATTTTGTTTACCTCTACACAGAGCATCTTTGAACTGGGAACACCGCCTGGCAGTAAAATGTCCATTGCTACACTTTTGTGTGCACGCTGAAAACATTGACAAGAAATGTTAGCTGTAGTGACAAAATTTATTTAAAACTACACTGACAGACCTAAAAAAAATAAAACAAAATGTTACATGATTTAAGCTTTATAAGCTTTTAAAACAATAACCATAAAGAACAAACTAGAGATAGTTAAATTAAATTTTTTTCCGAGGATGTGCTAAATTATTTTATAAAGTTAGTTTCATCCACTCACTAAAAGAAATATTTCATTGGAATTGTCAGGCATAGGAAACATGTGTATCTTAACACTCTACCTGTGTAAGTCATGCCATGGTTAAGTCATGCCAAATGTCAAGTCATGCCACGGTCAAGTCATGCCAAACGTCAAGTCATGCCACAGTCAAGTCATGCCACGGTCAAGTCATGCCACTGTCAAGTCATGCCATGGTCAGTCATGCCATGGTCAAGTCATGCCACAGTCAAGTCATGCCAAATGTCAAGTCATGCCACGGTCAAGTCATGCCATGGTCAGTCATGCCAAACGTCAAGTCATGCCAAATGTCAAGTCATGCTCGAAAAATGAGGTGAACCATAAAAGCACTAACCTTTGCAAATCTTTTGTTTATCAGTGCTGCAAGGTTGTGCTTCATAATGGTTCTCTGGGCATGCTTGTTTACATTCTAGAAGATACACAACTCTATTAGTTATCTAAACACATACACAGCAACTCTATTAGTTATCTAAACAACACAAACACATACACAGCAAACACAAACACATACACAGCAAACACAAACACATACACAGCAACTCTATTAGTTATCTAAACAACACAAACACATACACAGCAACTCTATTAGTTATCTAAACAACACAAACACATACACAGCAAACACAAACACATACACAGCAACTCTATTAGTTATCTAAACAACACAAACACATACACAGCAAACACAAACACATACACAGCAACTCTATTAGTTATCTAAACACATACACAGCAACTCTATTAGTTGTCTAAACAACACAAACACATACACAGCAAACACGAACACATACACAGCAACTCTATTAGTTAATTAAACAACACAAACACATACACAACACATACACAGCAACTCTATTAGTTAACTAAACACATACACAACAACACATACATACATCTCAGCTATTCATCCATTGTCATTGAATGATTACATTCTTTTACATGTGCACACACACATGCACACATATAGGCTTCTCCCCCTCTCTCTCTCTCTCTCTCTCTCTATATATATATATATATATATATATATATATATTTTGTAACTTTCTATACATATATATAATATATTATATATATATATATATATTTTGTAACTTTCTATACATATATATAAGTATAATCGGGTAATTGAATCCATATTTAAACTAAATACAGAGTGAATATCAAGCAACAGATTCGCAACAAAAGTTGAACAAAAGGACTGCCAGACAACAAGTTAGCTAATTAATTAACAAATTTGAGCTAATTAACTAAATGTTATGGGGCCGTACCAGCAGGAAGCCCACCTCTTCAAGGGTGGTAATGCTTGTGCAATATTTCATTAACTTAATTATGTTAATTACCCCTGCAAGTTTTTCCATTTCCGTAAAAGTCTTCGCCACAAATACAGTCGTAGCTTCCCTTTCTGTTGTAGCATCCCGCTGATTTATCGCATTTGGCCTTACCCTCCATACATTCATTCACATCTGATGAGGTAGATCACATTTTTTACTGCTAACTTTTTGTATCAATCTAATTAATGGGTTTCTGAACTTGCTTTGTAATGATTCCAACATTTCTAATCTATTTTTAGTCCCAAGCCTAGTGATTGCTGTAGAATGGCAAGGTGCCCATACCCGGTACGACTGACTGACAGTCAGACACAGTCAGTCTGTCAGGTGCTGCCACAGACAAAGGGCTGTCAGACCAGTGGCGGAACTAGAAAAAATGGGCCACCCCGCAAAAAATTTTTTTGGGCCCCCCTATATATGTATATATATATATATATATATATATATATATATATATATATATATATATATAAACACACACTCAAACAAAATACGAATATAGGATACTCGTTTCTGGCCTGATCGAGTTTTGAAAAAAAAATTCAATTAAATCTAATCACAACAGCATGTCATATGTATGAGTGCATTGGTCTGTTTTGAAAAAATCTCTGTTTTCACGTATATGAAATACTTCTAATCATTAAGTCGGTCAAAAGTGTATGAAGCTTTGTATAAGTAATGGTGTCTCGTGTTATGTTTATTTTTATGTTTTTTTGTATTTATATTATTAACTTTAACTACGTTTCATTTTTATACTATATCATTCTTTAGTACTTATTTTTTTTTAAATAATAATTAAGATAAGTAATTGCCTTTTAATTTGATTATTTAAAAGAGTTTTTGAGCACCCCTATTTGACTATTTGAAAAAGGGAAATAATTTATGCAAGTGGTTTGAACGTTTGCCTATCTTTCACACTACAGCTGTGTTCATTTTTTAAAAATTTTTTTACGCAACAGCATGTCTTAGCTACTATATAACATAACTACTGTATTAGATCTGTTATCTGTTTGTTACTTACAAAACCACTATCAAGTTGCCAGTGACGAAACTATATATATATATATATATATATATATATATATATATATATATATATATATATCTATAATATAAGCGGCTAGGTAGTGTGTCAGTCCTTCCGTCATCGCTATAGATTTTGGGACTATAAAAGTAAACTACGCACCATGCTGTGCTTTTCAGTGCACCGCAGTGTCTTATTATAAGTATTAGAGTAGGGTTTGTTTATATAGCGGCATAGAGCTATTTTATAATTTCCACTGTTTGTACAATTTTGCATAACTTAAAGAAAATATTAAATATACACACACGGCTAAAACATATTAAAAGTATCCATGTCAAATATCATTTTCGTTTATATTCCCAGAAAAAAATTGATACATTTCAATAACATAATAACAGTACGGTAGAAAAATCAAATTAATATAACTCTTTTTTTCTAATTTTGACAAAAGAGGTAATTTAAAAATACATTAAACTCACGCTAATAAAAAATGTGAATGCAAATATACGGTCGTCATAGAAGGAATTAGTGTTGCAATAATATAATTAGCAAAATGTGAATGCAAATTATCCGGATGTGTAAGAGTAAATTATTGTTAGAAAATTATAATTAGCATGGATTGATAAAAGGCAATCTTTTATTTATTTTATTCACTGAATGTAGGCCCTACTGTTTATTACTTATAATTTTGAATCAACTATTCAGCACTATTATAGACGCGTCATCACGTTCATCAGGTGCGCAATGGTTTTAGTTATGAAACTCTATTGTAAATTTTTAAAATTTAAAGTACTGGAAAAAAAATGCGTGAATGGATAAAGTGAAATATTGTAGGTAAAACACGGATATTATAGATACTGCCTATTATTTATACAGTTTTCTAATTATTATTCTATCTTTCGGGTTTTATAGGAGAGGGGGGGGGGCATATGTCCCCGGGTGCCGACCTTAGGGGGCGCCAAAGTGGGTTGGAAAAAATTGCGCGAGGGGGGGGGGGGTGGAAATCGAAAGTTTTAGGGCGGGGGGACGGGGTGCAAATCGAAAGTTTGAGGGGGGTGCAAATCACCGGAAAGGGCGCGATTTGGCGCTACGGGCTAGACTGTGAGCAATATGCCTTTATGATTGTATTTAAATTGTGTTTATGTTATGAGTGTTGTGTTTGTTTTTTCGTTTTTTTTTCTTTGCGTTCGTTTGTGTTGTATTTAGTTTTGTTCTGTTCCCAACTTGGTACATTTAAAAAAGATTTACCGTGTGTTGTGGTTGTGGTTGTTTTGTGGTTGTGTTGTGGTTGTGTTGTGGTTGTTTTGTGGTTGTGTTGTGGGTGTTTTGTGGTTGTGTTGTGGTTGTGGTTGTGTTGTGGGTGTGTTGTGATTGTGTTGTGGTTGTAATGTGGTTGTGTTGTGGTTGCGGTTGTGTTTTGTTTGTGTTTGTGATGTGTTTTTGTTTGTTTTGTTCTGTTCCAAAGTTGGTATATTTTAAAAAGATTTACCGTGGCGGAGCACGGGATGCAGCTAGTATATATATAACACGCTATCATTCGTGTATTCATTTGAGACGTCTGCCTTGTTCTCTAGAACAGTGGTTATTAAACGTAAACAATGTAGGCACTTTATTTCTTGGATATTAGTTGTTGGAGCGCTAGTTTATCAAAACTACCACCGGTTCGAGCCAGCGTTGTTGTTGGAGCGCTATCTATTCGCTTCTTGTAAGGCTAAGAGCGGGAGGGGAGGTCTGAGAAAGGAACTTAAAAGGGATAACAAAGCACCAATGTGATTTTATCCATCAGTACCAAATTTGGGATGGTCTCAAAATGCCGTCTTAATATCTAGCGGTCTCTCGCGCAATTGATGTTTTTTTCAAAAGAATTTTGCCGACAACAGCGTGTGTTTGTAGGAAAAAGAATATACAAGTGCGTGGGATGGTGTCTATAGAATAAAGATACTCCAACCACAGCTACGGTATTCTTTTTCAAAACAACCATCAGGTCAAAAATGCAAGAAAAATAATCTTAACTATAAAAAATTTTTTATGGGCGGCTGTGGGCCCCCTAAACGGCTTGTTCCCCCCCTCCCCCCCAGGCATTGCGGGGTCTGGCGGCACTGTATTTCCTCCCCTGGGCTGTCCTCAACAGCTTCCAAAGTTTTCATGGCGATTAGGTAAATATGCAGTAATGCAAAATAGACAGAAAAATGTTTTTCACATGCACAACTGTATGTGGCCAGCTCACGCGTCGGATAACCTTCTGATTTAGGGGGGGGGGGGGGAATCCACAAATGACGTCACATTTTTTAACGACTAACAAAAAGCCTGACCCTCACACACCCCCACCTCAATAACGGCATTTATAAATAGTAATTGACTATAAATTATATAATAATGTTCAATTAATTTTAAACGTTCTAATTAATTTCTAAATAATTATATAAAAAAAAATCTTACCTTCCTTGTTTTGTGAATTAGATGTGCCTAATACTAATACTATGCAAATAAATCAATATATGTTGACTAGTGCTGTCTAATGTCAGACAAAATGTGCTAAAGTGGTGAATCGTACGGTTAGGAAGTAGTTCATAAACGATACATTGATCTACTCGATACTTGCGAGGCTAAAAAAGAGGGATGGGATGGGGGGTCGGCTCGGGAAAATCTTGAAAGAGACAACAAAGCGCCTATGTACCACCGCCCATTAAAAAACTTACTCAGGGGAGATAATTCCAAGTATAGGCCTTAAAAGTTTACTATGATATTTCTTGTAAAAGTAAAAAACAAGTAAACGTATATAAAAACGAAGTTTCTAGTATTATATTCTTTTTTATTATTTGTAGGATTCAAGATAGTACAGAATACAAATTCAACCACTATCACAAACACATATTAACATTGAAAAATGTACAATGGATTTCGGCGGGTCCCTAACTTATGCCGCAAAGTAGAACCGCGCATCATGAAAGCCACTTCATATGTAGCGGCTTCTCGTGCTATGGTCTTTGTTGTTTTTTTTTAAAGAATTTTGCCGGCGACAGCGTGTGTTTGATTGTGGGGAAATAGAACTCGGCCTTGATGGCCTTAAAAAATACAACTATAAATAAAAAGAAATTTGATCCCCATCCCCTGCCCCATCCGCCACAGTACACTTTGGAGCAGGGGTCTCCAAACTTTTTAGACCGAGGGCCACATTAACTATCGAATTTCAGTTTGGGGGCCAGTTTCTTCCAGGCATGTCTTTGATTTCTCTGGGCAAAGGTCCTCAACCATCACCAACAAACGATTTTTCCTTATACAAAAAGATCTCCGCGGGCCGGATGAGAGGACTTCGCGGGCCGCATCCGGCCCGCGGGCCGTAGTTTGGAGACCCCTGCTTTGGAGGATCGGTCAGTTACGTGTCCTCTATTTAGCTATCAAAGGGGGGAAAAGAGTCAAATGTGTCATTCAAATTTGAAGCGTTGCCTATATTTTACACTGTATTTTGTGTAATGGATTTTATTTTTTTGCTGAAGAGCGTGGTATAGTGACTGTAAAATAAAGATAATCGTACCGCAGCTACAGTGTTTTTCTTTTACAAACTAAATATCAAGGCAAAAATGCACGAAAATTAAATTAAATTTTTAAAAAAATACTAATTATGGTCAGCAGTGGGCCCCTAAACGGCCTGCCCCCCCCCCCACCCGCCCCCACCCGCATTGCGGGGTCTGGCGGCACTGTAGTTCCACCCCTGTATAGATCTTTTGGTTATTTTTAGGCTTAAAAGCTAGATCATTGTATCCTAAAAAATTTTAACTTTAATGTATTTAGTGTTAATAACTAATGTTCCATTAATATGTGTACTAATTATAAAACGATTAATAATATAATGACGAGTCTTACCTTCCTTGTTGTGTGAATTAGATTCGTCAACGAAATACTTCATAAGGTAAATGAACAACTACCGACTAGTGTCTTTAACAAAATGTGCAGAAGTGGTCAGTTTACAGTTCAGTAGTTCATAAACGGTTCGTTAATCTATGCATTACATCTTATTGTAAAAGTAAGGGTGTGGTGAGGGGTAGAGGTTAGGGGGATGGGGGGGGGGGGAGGGAGGGTAGAGAGTTGGGAAGGTTCAAGGGAAGGGGACAAGAAAGCGCCGATTCACATCTACATCAATAGCGCCGACTTTTTCCGGTCGTCTAAAAGACCAGGATAGTCGCCGCAACATTTCCCCAGCTCGATTTTCAAAGCTTTTTTGTTCTCCTAATCGACGCCACTAAAAAAGAACGGTAGGTTGCGTCTTTGAAGTTGTCTATATGTCTGGCGGTCTCTCGAGCTATAGTCTGTGCATTTTTCTCAAAGACGTTTGCCGACTATCGTGTTTGTTTGTAACTGTAGAAGAAAGATAACTCGACATCCACCTAATTTTTTTTATTTAAATTTTAAAAAAAAAAATGTATAATTTAGCCAGGATTTTTGGGCCCCCAATCGGCCTGGGCCCCCCCGCATTGCGGGGTCTGGCGGCACTGTAGTTCCGCCCCTGTGTCAGACCCTTCTCTGACTGCCATGTCTCTCACTGACACTGAGTTTTTCAGTCACAGTGGCAGTTATGTCATGACTGCTGCCAGTAGTGTCAACTAACCATTTCAACAGCCTCAACATTTTATCAATGACTAGATCTAGACTCTTCATCTACATCTAGATTCAATAATATTCTACAAGTTTTGACTTTCTTCTACCCCCAACCCATCTGTAAACCACGGGAAATTATGCAAAAAATTCAAAGTATGAAAAACAAAAGAAAGAACCTGATCTTAAAAATAATAAAATAGTAAATTAGGCTAGGGCAGGGATTATTATTATTTAATTATCATTATTTAAGACTTAAAGTTTAAAGTCACTTAAATTAAATTAGGCCTATTAAACTATTAGTATTAGGCCTTAATATTTTAATAGCTCATTAACTTAATAGATCTAGTTAATATTAGGCCCCGAAGCCCTAAAAGTACTATTAATTATTAAAAGTAGACTTTAAAATAAAATATTAAAAAAGACAATGGATTGGTGAATGAATAGGAGGCCTTGGAAGTTGGAAGCAAATAATATTATAATAATAATATTAATAATTTAATAATATTAGTTTACTAGATGTAGATCTATCTATATTCTATATGTAAACCATCTAAAAAATCCGATGGAACAAATAATAAATATTTGTATAATCTTCCTGAAATAAAGAAATTACTTTTAAGGTCAGCTAGAAATCTATATGAACACATGATTCTTGTTTTAAGTCAAAGTGAAAGAGAGTTGAAACATGCAGTCAAAAGTAGCATAATGAAAGTTGTGTATGCCTTGCAGTAACAAAAGTAAACATAATCTTAGCCAGATAAATATTATGAGTTTACAGCTATAAAAAATAAATAGCTTGAGTGAAAAAAGTGAAGTTTGCGTGACTGGTGATATTAAAAAAATATATTTGGCATTGTATTTACCCAGACACTGGCCTGAGGGGTCCCATTTGTAGCCTTTAAAACAAATACAGTGTCCAGTCTGCTGGTCACAGCCTTGGTCACATGATGAGTTCTGGCACTTCCTGCCAGCCTTAGCATCAGAGTGAAGAAAGTTCTCTGGCACATCTGAAATAAAACTGATCTGTTGGAGCAATAGTAGGCCTATGGTCCTTGTGTCAACATGCAGTTCTTTTCAGACAAAACTTTGTGTACAAACAGCACTTAGATCTAGTGTGTATGTTAGGACAACCAATAGAGCAGATTATGGGCTACTATCAAAACAGACTCACCGTACACCAAGGTGTTAAAGTTGTCACCATTGATGAACTCCGTGTCTTTATAAAAGTTGAAAAAAATTCGTGTAGAGTTGGAGAGCAGGTGTCTAGGAGCAAAAATGGTAACGTCCACTCTGGTCTCACGAGGTCCCATGGAACTGTAGGCGCCAGACACTAAGGTCAGCACACAGAGGGTAGAGACCAGCACCAGGTTCATACTGGAGGTTTTAGATAGGTTCATGGTCAGGAGGTTTTAGATAGGTTCATGGTCAGGAGGTTTTAGATAGGTTCATTGTCAGGAGGTTTTAGGTAGGTTCATGGTCAGGAGGTTTTAGATAGGTTCATCGTCAGGAGGTTTTGGATAGGTTCATGGTCAGGAGATTTTAGATAGGTTCATTGTCAGGAGGTTTTAGGTAGGTTCATGGTCAGGAGGTTTTAGATAGGTTCATGGTCAGGAGGTTTTAGATAGGTTCATTGTCAGGAGGTTTTAGGTAGGTTCATAGTCAGGAGGTTTTAGGTAGGTTCATGGTCAGGAGGTTTTAGGTAGGTTCATGGTCAGGAGGTTTTAGATAGGTTCATGGTCAGGAGGTTTTAGATAGGTTCATGGGAGGTTTTAGATAGGTTCATAGTCAGGAGGTTTTAGATAGGTTCATAGTCAGGAGGTATAGATAGGTTCATAGTCAGGAGGTTTTAGATAGGTTCATAGTCAGGAGGTTTTAGATAGGTTCATGGTCAGGAGGTTTTAGATAGGTTCATGGTCAGGAGGTTTTAGATAGGTTCATGGTCAGGAGGTTTTAGATAGGTTCATAGTCAGGAGGTTTTAGATAGGTTCATGGTCAGGAGGTTTTAGATAGGTTCATAGTCTGGCAGTTTTATAAAACAGTTGTGACAAATACAACTTTTATAAAACAGTTGTGACAAATACAACTTTTATAAAACAGTTGTGACAAATACAACTTTTATAAAACAGTTGTGACAAATACAACTTTTATAAAACAGTTGTGACAAATACAACTTTTATAAAACAGTTGTGACAAATACAACTTTTATAAAACAGTTGTGACAAATACAACTTACTAAGTTGGATTAAGTGGTGAAGCTTTTCTGCCAGGTTTTGGCTGCACATCATCACCCTTAGGTCTCTGGCCACCTTTAGGTCCCTGGTCCCCTTTAGGTCCCTGGTCCCCTTTAGGTCCCTGGTCCCCTTTAGGTCCCTGGTTAGGTTGTTTGATCTGTATATACTCCCCCTGGGTGGTCTGCTTGGGTTTTTCTCTGTGGGGTTGGTTCAAGTATTTGGGTGGGGGTGGGAACTCAAAAGCTGATTCTGGCTCCCCATTGGCTGGACGTGAGGCCTGCTCCGCCTCCTTGCCTGACCTCTGTGCGGATGAGTTCATGTAGAGAGAATCATCTGGTTTGGTTAAAGATTCCTGGCCTGGTTTTGTCCTGAGGTCTATGCTGCTGTATGGCCGAGGTTTGGAGATGTTGACCTTGTTTAAGACATTGGGCCCAGGGGACTTAAGAGCCCCTGGGATGACCTTGATGTCATCATTGACTTTGCCGCGCATCCCTTCTCTACTGAACGGCATCCCCAGCGGACTAGGCAAGCCACCGTCAGACAAAATGTCATCAAAGTCCAGTGGGGGGATGTCCGTGTCTGAGTCGATGTTGTAGTAGTTCTTGCCACCCTCGCTGGCGTCAAATATTTCACTGCTGCCGTACATGGAGGTGGAGTTGGCGCCATCACTGATCACACTAACCTGGTCTTCCCTTGGGTCTTCTAGAATATTCCCCATGCCGGCTAGGTTGTGGGTGAACCAAGACGAGTCAATGGGATCTTTCCTGCCGACAGGATCAAAACTGTCCTGGGGAGGAGGGGAAAACTTCTGGCCATCTTTGGTGTTGTCATAAAACTCGGTCCTCTTCTGGGGCTGGCAGAATGTAGTCAGGGCTGTCTTGAGCTCTGACTGAGTGGTGTAGATGTTCCCATTCTTCGGGGGCTTCTCTTTAGAGATGTAGACAAGTTCTGGTTTTGCGGAATTCATTTTGTGTACGTCTGCAGCCACCAGAACCCCTGGCTCTGTCTGGGGGTCATTAGCATAGGCTGACTCCTGCAAACTCTCCAGGTTGAGTTTTTCAAAGTTTCTGGGCAGTTTGGTGTCGCCAGAGTCTAACATGACCTGTAGCTCCAGCAACTGGGAGTTTTCAGAGTCAGACTTCAACTCGCTGACGTCTGCTTCATCATTGGACGTCTCTTCCTGCTCAGTTGGCAGCCCCCTGTACACGCCATTCTGCGTCCTCTTGTAGGAAACCATTTTCTTTGGGTTCCCAGGTTTCCTGATCAGGTCTTTGTGTACTGTTTTGGTCTGGGAGTTGAGCTTGCTTCTGTTGAGATTCTTCTCTTGGCGATCATCTTCAGTTTCTGTTGTTGATTCCATCTCTTCCTGGAGTTTCAATTTATTCAGCTGTTCCTAATCAAGCAAATGTTACAATTACAATTTTTTGCAAGCAAATTGACAGATATAATTTATTTTAATATCATTTTAAATTGTTTTAAAAAGATAAAGTAAAAATTTTTACACTCTAAATTAGTCTAATTCACTCATCACCTAACTGACCACTGTCCACTCACCATCTCAATAGCCTCTGCCTCCTCCTCCTCCGGCATCTCTGGAACTTGTCTAAGCTCGTCATCACAGTGCAGACTCCTGGAGTGGTCAAGGTCGTCAGCACGGAGCATCAGGTGGTCACCCCCCAGGAGGTGACCCACAGGGCGGTAGATGTTGCCGTGCTGGGAGGAGCTGGTCAAACTCTTGTGGTCAATGTCCAGCTTTTCACATTCTCTCTGGTACCTGCAGGCAGTGTCAGGGTTTTATTTTTGGTTGCAGGTTGGGGTTTTAATCTATGCATGGGTAAAGTGTCTTGAGACACAACATAAGCTTTAGCCCACGTATGATGTGCCATCTATCCTTACGTACTATCTGTCCTTACGTAGTGATGTTTTATAACATGTCAAGACCAGTTTATGTTTACATTGTATCAAGAGAGAAAAACTTCTGTCCATGCTATCCTAAATTTATCAGACTTTGACCTCATTACAATCAGGTTAAATGTCCTTGACCTTAGAATTGAATTCGTTGGCTCCTAAAACATTTTCTCAACATATCCACAGCCTGTAATAACCTTTAGTCTGCCAAAATTTTTTTCAATAACCTGTCACAGGTTAACATAACCTACCAATAGCCTGTCATAGCCTACAATAGCCAACTGTAGCCTGCCAATAGCCTGCCAATAACCTGACATAGCCTGTCAAAGCTTGCTAAGTGCTCCTTAATTACTTCCCTAGACATTTTAATCTTCTAGAAAGATCTTTTTTCTACTAAGCCACCGGCACCCCTGGGTACTAAGCCATTCACCCCCCAGGTCAAACCTTGACTAGTTAGGATCAACTCTTGGTTAATGAAGGGTTAACTAGGATTAGAGAGTTACATGAGTTGTTTCATGTCAAAAGCCCTTATCTCAAGTGCTGTATTTCAACTAGCTTGGCTGGTGGGACGCAATTAGTCAGTGATCATTTGGGATGATGTTTGAGGGCTTACAAGAATAGATTTGAAATGTGTTTTGGTTGTGGATCTTAACAATTTCTCAGTGTATGTTTTTTTTTGTGTGAGTTACCTGAGTAAAAAACTTACCATTTGATTGTGTGGGGTAGTGTGGGGTAGTCTATGTTTTGTGTGTGGGTTACCTGAGTAAAAAACTTACCATTTGATTGTGTGGGGTAGTGTGGGGTAGTCTATGTTTGGTGTGTGTGTTACCTGAGTAAAAAACTTACCATTTGATTGTGTGGGGTAGTGTGGGGTAGTCTATGTTTGGTGTGTGTGTTACCTGAGTAAAAAACTTACCATTTGATTGTGTGGGGTAGTGTGGGGTAGTCTATGTTTGGTGTGTGTGTTACCTGAGTAAAAAACTTACCATTTGATTGTGTGGGGTAGTGTGGGGTAGTCTATGTTTTGTGTGTGTTACCTGGCTCAAACTTACCATTTGATTGTGTGGGGTAGTATGGGGTAGTCTATGTTTGGTGTGTGTTACCTGGCGTAAAAAACTTACCATTTGATTGTGTGGGGTAGTGTGGGGTAGTCTATGTTTTGTGTGTGTTACCTGGCTCAAACTTACCATTTGATTGTGTGGGGTAGTGTGGGGTAGTCTATGTTTTGTGTGTGTGTTACCTGGCTCAAACTTACCATTTGATTGTGTGGGGTAGTGTGGGGTAGTCTATGTTTTGTGTGTGTGTTACCTGGCTCAAACTTACCATTTGATTGTGTGGGGTAGTGTGGGGTAGTCTATGTTTTGTGTGTGTGTTACCTGGCTCAAACTTACCATTTGATTGTGTGGGGTAGTGTACACAGGCCAACAATAAGTGTGGCCCCAATGATACCAATAAAGAGCCAGATCAAATTGAGGGGCTCAGGTGCGGCTCGGCCCTCTTTCTGTGGAGCAGATGTTTTTCATTTCAATTCATTCAAGTGAGCTTAGCAGAACTAGAAGATCAGAAAGTGTAATGGGAAGTGGTTGGTGCAGGTAAGGCGTCAATGCAAGTTGTAGAACTTTGTACAAGTAAAGTTGAAGGAAAATCATGAGGAACAATGTTGTAGAAGATGAGAGACCCCAAGAGGACCCAGTGTTGTAGAAGATGAGAGACCCAAAGGGGACCCAGTGTTGTAGAAGATGAGAGACCCCAAGAGGACCCAGTGTTGTAGAAGATGAGAGACCCCAAGAGGACCCAGTGTTGTAGAAGATGAGAGACCCCAAGAGGACCCAGTGTTGTAGAAGATCTACTCACAATCTCCAGTACCACCCCACAATCTCCAGTACCACCCCACAATCTCCAGTACCACCCCTCTACTCACAATCTCCAGTACCACCCCTCTACTTACAATCTCCAGTACCACCCCTCTACTTACAATCTCCAGTACCACCCCTCTACTTACAATCTCCAGTACCACCCCTCTACTTACAATCTCCAGTACCACCCCTCTACTTACAATCTCCAGTACCACCCCACAATCTCCAGTACCACCCCTCTACTTACAATCTCCAGTACCACCCCTCTACTTACAATCTCCAGTACCACCCCTCTACTCACAATCTCCAGTACCACCCCACAATCTCCAGTACCACCCCTCTACTTACAATCTCCAGTACCACCCCTCTACTTACAATCTCCAGTACCACCCCACAATCTCCAGTACCACCCCACAATCTCCAGTACCACCCCTCTACTTACAATCTCCAGTACCACCCCTCTACTTACAATCTCCAGTACCACCCCACAATCTCCAGTACCACCCCTCTACTTACAATCTCCAGTACCACCCCACAATCTCCAGTACCACCCCTCTACTTACAATCTCTAGTACCACCCCACAATCTCCAGTACCACCCCTCTACTTACAATCTCCAGTACCACCCCACAATCTCCAGTACCACCCCTCTACTTACAATCTCTAGTACCACCCCACAATCTCCAGTACCACCCCTCTACTTACAATCTCCAGTACCACCCCTCTACTTACAATCTCTAGTACCACCCCACAATCTCCAGTACCACCCCTCTACTTACAATCTCCAGTACCACCCCTCTACTTACAATCTCTAGTACCACCCCACAATCTCCAGTACCACCCCACAATCTCTAGTACCACCCCTCTACTTACAATCTCCAGTACCACCCCTCTACTTACAATCTCCAGTACCACCCCTCTACTTACAATCTCCAGTACCACCCCTCTGTGATCAGAGAACAAGCTGACGTTGGCCATATAAGTTTCCTCTAATGTTGCCGATGTGACGTTGACGATAATTTTAAAATCTTTCGAGTCGACAATCTGGACCTGACCCTGGAAAAAAACGACACGTCAATTTCTAGTGTGTGTGGGACAGCCTCTAGATGTCAGTGGTATATATAAAATATATATTCATGTATAAAAAATCCTGCTTATGCCACTAAGTGAAGTTGCAGCAGTACCATCCATGCCTCGACGCCACCCACCAATGAAGTTAACATTGCACTGCCCCCCCCCCCCCCACTGGACATTCTGGGGGATTCTAGCCTCTCCTTTACTCCCTCCGACACTGCTTCCACAAATTCTGGCTTTTCGCTTCATTTTCTGCCAACTTTAGAGCACGTGATTTTCGAATGATAGCTGCACGCGAGATCAAGCACTTTCAACACCATCACGTACTACAGCGCCACCTACCGAATAATCATCTTAGTACTAGTGGCTCCATCTATTTGTACAGGATTAGCGAACACCCATGGCATTAAAAAACCTGCTCACATGTCTGAATGTAACCAGCCCGGCTGGTTCAATTTGTGTGCCGGGTAGCCGTGTGCTGTCTAGTTTCAACTGGTTAGAGAGGCCAGTATAGGGATACAGTTGAGAGAGACTTACATAGGGGATACAGTTGAGAGGGGGATAACCTTAGATAACCTTAGCGCTAACCCCAGCAATATCAGCTTAAACCTAACCTTAGCGCTAACCCCAGCAATATCAGCTTAAACCTAACCTTAGCGCTAACCGTAGCGTTATCCACAGTACGGCTAACCCCTCCCAAATGATCTGCTGCTGAATGATCCGAGAGTTTCAGCTCTCCGTTAAACCACGAGCGGGATGAACAGGATACAGCAGACGACGTGACGTCACAACCGTAAGGTGATCAATTACGTCTGCTAACCGGAGGTTTAACTGCAGCCTAAGTGGGGGGGGGGGGGGGGGGGGGGGGTTGACATCTTTATATTTATCGTATTCATTAATTATACATTAATTAATTCTACGTCTACAAGTTTCCTGTTGGGTAAAGTTTATTTTTAAATTTTCTTTCTGTGTAGGAACAGGGCGCACAGGTAAACAACCTAACCCAACCTATCCCAACCTATCCTAACCTAGTCAACCCAACCTAACCCAACCTATCCTAACCTATCCTTACCTAGTCAACCCAACCTAACCTAGTCCAACCTAACCTAGTCCAACCCAACCCAACCTATCCTTACCTAGTCCAACCCAACCTAACCTAGTCCAACCCAACCCAACCTATCCTAACCTAGTCAACCCAACCTAACCTAGTCCAACCCAACCCAACCTAGCCCAGTCCAACCTAACCCAACCCAGTCCAACCCAACCTAACCCAACCATGTCTAACCCAACCCAACCTAACCCAACCTAACCCAACCCAACCTAACCCAACCTAACCTAACCTAACCTAGCCCAGTCCAACCCAACCTTTCCCAACCTAACCTCGTCCAACCCAACCCAACCACAAATGCAGGCGGCGTCCTAGTCGGCGTGAAATGCCAAATGTGATGATGGTGGCTGAGCTTAATAGACAGCTGTTGGCAAACTGAGCTTAATAGACAGCTGTTGGCAAACTGAGCTTAATAGACAGCTGTTGGCCAACTGAGCTTAAAAGACAGATGTTGGCCAACTGAGCTAAACAGACAGATGTTGGCCAACTGAGCTAAACAGACAGCTGTTGGCCAACTGAGCTTAACAGACAGCTGTTGGCCAACTGAGCTTAACAGACAGCTGTTGGCCAACTGAGCTTAACAGACAGCTGTTGGCCAACTGAGCTTAATAGACAGCTGTTGGCCAACTGAGCTTAACAGACAGCTGTTGGGCAACTGAGCTTAACAGACAGCTGTTGGCCAACTGAGCTTAACAGACAGCTGTTGGCCAACTGAGCTTAATAGACAGCTGCTGGCCAACTGAGCTTAACAGACAGCTGTTGGCCAACTGAGCTTAATAGACAGCTGCTGGCCAACTGAGCTTAACAGACAGCTGTTGGCCAACTGAGCTTAATAGACAGCTGCTGGCCAATTGAGCTTCATGTATAGTTGTTGGCCAACTGAGCTTAATAGACAGCTGTTGGGCAGGGGTTCGGCGTGGTCGAGTCGGTAAAGCTCATGGTTGCTAAACCGAAAAGTCTCGAGTTCGAACCCTCGGCTCGAACCCTGAGGCTCGTTAGCTGGGGACAGCCACTCTTCTAGGAGAGACAACTCCAAAATTAAACAACTGCTGCCTTGTAGTTTGTTCTTGGTTGGACAAAGGCTATGGAAGCAAATCCAAAAAGAAAAGCAGGCTGAAATCGAAGTCAATGGCCTCAATGGCGCATAACCAATTGACACGTAACGCTTAATTGTGTTGGAGGCGCGGTCAAAAAAAAAAAAAGCTCATGGTTGATAAATTCGAACAAAGTCTCGATTTCAAACCCACTGGCAGATAAATCTCGATCACCTTCAACACTAATAATTAAGAACGAAGAAGAAGAAAGAAGCTGTTGGGCAACTGAGCTTAATAGACAGCTGTTGGGCAACTGAGCTTAATAGACAGCTGTTGGGCAACTGAGCTTAATAGACAGCTGTTGGGCAACTGAGCTTAATAGACAGCTGTTGGCCAACTGAGCTTAGTAGACAGCTGCTGGCCAACTGAGCTTAATAGACAGCTGTTGGCCAACTGAGCTTAATAGACAGCTGCTGGCCAACTGAGCTTAATAGACAGCTGTTGGGCAACTGAGCTTAATAGACAGCTGTTGGCCAACTGAGCTTAATAGACAGCTGCTGGCCAACTGAGCTTAATAGACAGCTGCTGGCCAACTGAGCTTAATAGATAGCTGTTGGCCAACTGAGCTTAATGTATAGCTGTTGGCCAACTGAGCTTCATGTATAGCTGTTGGCCAACTGAGCTTCATGTATAGCTGTTGGCCAACTGAGCTTCATGTATAGCTGTTGGCCAACTGAGCTTCATGTATAGCTGTTGGCCAACTGAGCTTCATGTATAGCTGTTGGCCAACCTAGCTGATTACTACAACAGTTGGGGTTACACTGGTGTCAGGTCAAGGAGGGTTTCTTTCAGGTATTTTGCTTGAGGGGGGGGGGGTAATTACAAGTTTGGTAAAAAAAAATTTAATTTATCTTTTTAAAAATGCCTGAAAGAAACACGTTGCACCGTGTTATAAAATAAATGTAAGAAATGAATGCTCCATCTCAAGACGTGAAGACGTCACATTATTTTAAGAAAGTTTTATCTCTCTAGTTAGTCTAGTACACTGAGGGGGGGAAGGGGGGGGGGCTCTCAACTAATTATATCCCGTTGTAATGTCGGTCAGTGACTTGGATCTAGTTCATTGTTTGTTGGTGTGGATTAGGGTTAGGGATTAAAGTCTTACACTGAGTTAGGGTTTAAAGGATTAGAAAGTGTGTCTGAGTTTGTGTAGTAACCACATGACTGACCTACAACACACGGGGGGGGGGGGGGGGGCTGTATTGTTAGGGGTACTTACAGGTCAATTACCACCCCCCTCCCCTCGGGGGTTGAACCTGCTATGACTTTTTACAAGTTGATTGTACATTTATGTTAATTTATGCAAAAACTCTTCGCCATTTGTTTTGTCCCCAGTGGCTGAGAGAATCTAGTCATTCAACTGATAAGGGATTAGTTGTGTCATGGGATCAGTTGTGTCATGGGATCAGGGATCAGTTGTGGTATGGGATCAGGGATCAGTTGTGGTGTGGGATCAGGGGTCAGTTGTGGTGTGGGATCAGGGATCAGTTGTGGTATGGGATCAGGGATCAGTTGTGTCATGGGATCAGTTGTGTCATGGGATCAGTTGTGTCATGGGATCAGGGATCAGTTGTGGTATGGGATCAGTTGTGTCATGGGATCAGTTGTGTCATGGGATCAGGGGTCAGTTGTGGTGTGGGATCAGGGATCAGTTGTGTCATGGGATCAGGGATCAGTTGTGGTGTGGGATCAGGGATTAGTTGTGGTGTGGGATCAGGTTGGTGTGTGTGTTTAGCTGGTGTGTTAGTCAAGGCAAGTGCTTGCATACACATGATTCATTAAACCAAGATGAGCAACATGTGAGAGATGTACACATCACAGATGAGCAACTGATGTGTCAGCTATGTACACTGATGTACACATCGCACAGAGTCCTCTCATGCTGGTCATCCACTAGTCAGGTCGCCTGTAATTGGGGCGGAGCTTGAGGATGCCGCCCCGGGCGCCGAACTTAGGGGGCGCCAAACGGGGTGGTAAATAAATGATTCTGAGCTACATGATTGCAATCTTCACAAAATTGAGAAAGTAGACGGCTAGCTGGCTTTACAGACTGACTGAACTGTTTGCCAGATCAATCGTCTGACACAAACATAAAAACTGTTACATGATTGTAGCTCATAAAGATCGTCTCCGACCTTTACGACTTGGGGGGTGGGGGAAGGGAACGCCTGTTAGCCAAAGATAATAACAATATAGGAGGGGGGGGGGTGCCGGCCTCTGATCCGTAAATGGCGGCCACTTGTTAATACTGTTTACCTCCCTCCCTCCATACCCCCCTCCCTCCCTCCCTCCATACCCCCCCTCCCTCCCTCCCTCCCTCCCTCCATACCCCCTCCCTCCCTCCATCCATACCCCCCCCCTCGAGTCACACAGACAGGAAACACTTTGAGCCTGATGTATCGGTACTGCTGAAGATGGATGGCAGCCGTCTGTAGACGCGACAAAAACATGGCGTGTGTGACAAGAATGGCAGCTAAGTGCTAGTGACAACCACTAGTTAGTGACAACCACTTGTTAGGGACAACCACTTGCTAGTGACAACAGCTTGTTAGTGACAACCACTAGATAGTGACAACCACTAGTTAGTGACAACCACTTGCTAGTGACAACCACTTGTTAGTGACAACCACTTGTTGGTGACAACCACTTGTTAGTGACAACCACTTGTTAGTGACAACCACTTGTTAGTGACAACCACTTGCTAGTGACAACCACTTGCTAGTGACAACCACTTGTTAGTGACAACCACTTGTTAGTGACAACCACTTGCTAGTGACAACCACTTGCTAGTGACAACCACTTGCTAGTGACAACCACTTGCTAGTGACAACCACTTGTTAGTGACAACCCCTTGTTAGTGACAACCACTTGTTGGTGACAACCACTTGTTAGACAACAGATACAACTGTGACAAGACACGACAACAGAGACAGCTGACAAGTAGACCATGTCATACACGACCGGAAGTCAAGCAAGGATTTGAACCAGCGACCTCCAGCTAAGCAAGCATAGCGCTAACAACAGACCTGACGATTTGGTTGGACGGGGCTACCGTCCACAGGGACAACTGAAAATGTTCACCCCCCCCCCCCCCCCAAAACAACTCGTCGTCTGCTACACGTTTGGTACATTCCAAAATTCTTGTGAGTGATGACGTCATGCCAATGGTCGTCTGCTTGCTGGCAGATGCCAGAGATGCTTGTCATTAATTCACTCATTAATTAGCTCATTAATCGAATCATTAATTAAGTTTTCATCCCAAGGGCAAGTCAGACTACCAATCTTTCAGGTGGTAATATAGTCACCCACCCACACATCCACCCACCCACACGTCCCCCACCCACACATCCACCCACCCACACGTCCACCACCCACACATCCACCCACCCACACGTCCCCCACACATCCACCCACCCACACATCCACCACCCGCACATCCACCACCCACACGTCCCCCACACATCCACCCACCCACCCACACATCCACCACCCGCAGATCCACCCCCCACACGTCCCCCACACATCCACCCACCCACACATCCACCACCCGCACATCCACCCCCCACACGTCCCCCACACATCCACCCACCCACACATCCACCCACCCACACGTCCACCACCCACACATCCACCCACCCACACGTCCCCCACACATCCACCCACCCACACATCCACCCACCCACACGTCCACCACCCACACATCCACCCACCCACACATCCACCCCCCACACGTCCACCACCCACACGTCCACCCACCCACACATCCCCCCACCCCGCACACGTCCCCCACCTACCGAGTAATTTGTCCTCACGTCAAGGTTGACTGTCCTGGAGTGGGCGTGGCCTTCAGGGAGGGAGTCAAAGAGGATCAGGTGACTCACGGCCTCTTCTTGACCGGAAGTACAGACCAGCAAGGTGAAGGCCACTAAGATGGCCCACGGAGCCATGCTGGGATAGGACAAGGGCTGATGTTGGCCCACTAGGCCATCCTGAAACAAAATGAAATGGCTCAATTAGAGGCTGATCATTATCATTAAAGAAAGAATTCAAGACACGGAAATGTGAGCAAATCTAGAGCAGGTGGGGAGATTCCAGATGGGGAGATTTCATATGAGCTCAGCAGGTGGGGAGATTCCAGGTGAGCAACAGCAGACGTGTAGCAGCGCAGCCGTAACACAGCCAGACTTTAGCTAGCTGACACAGCCAGACTAGCTAGCTGACATAGCCAGACTTTAGCTGACACAGCCAGACTTTAGCTAGCTGACACAGCCAGACTAGCTAGCTGACATAGCCAGACTTTAGCTAGCTGTCACAGCCAGACTTGAGCTAGCTGACACAACCTAATGTCAGGTTTTCCTCTAACGGTCTGCAGCAGAGTGTGGGGGCGTGTCAACTGTTGGCAGACGACCGTTGGAATCTTCTGCTTGAGTGAACATGGCTGCTGCACCAGGCACTCGGCGCGGACAAAATTTGTCCGGACACACTTGCCGACAGTTTGCAGCCCGCGTGGAGAAATGTATCACTCGCCAGCCTGGCGCGTCTTAGTGCTGACTTCTGGAATCCCAGGTCGTGCCGAGTTATGGGACGTAGATATTAGTGGAAGACAGGAAGTGGTGTACCCTGGTCAACTGTGTGACGTCACTCTGTCATTTGGTGTCATGTCATTTGGTGTCATGTCACTCGGTCTTTGTGGGCTAGTGACAGGCCCAAATTATGTGGGTCAAGGACAGGGCATATCGCAGGTTGTGTGGGCCCACATGGCATGTCGCAGGTTGTGTGGGTCCACAGGGCATGTCGCAGGTTGTGTGGGTCCACAGGGTATGTCGCAGGTTGTGTGGACCAGGGCATGTCGCAGGTTGTGTGGGTCCACAGGGCATGTAGCAGGTTGTGTGGAGATTATCAGAGCCAACCCACCAATAAGACCAACCTGCCAACCTGCCATTAGGAAACAACAGACAACAAAAAATATCTTGTATCAATCTCTTGTAATCGGCCGCCATCCAACGTTCGACAAAGTTTAGCATGACTTCAGTTTTATTGTCAACTTCACCCCCTCCCCCAACACGGTTGTAACTTTTCCCTGCTATGGTTGTCACCTGGAGTGGTTGCTAGAGTGGTTGTCGCCCTTCATCTTGTCGCTGTCGTAAACTGGTTTCACGCATGCTGAGAGGAGGTGGGGTGGGGGTGGGGTGCAGTATTTTATCAGCCAGGTCTCCATCGAGCTAGGTGTGAAAACTCGGTCAGGTGTCTATTAGTCCTGGTCCAGTCATTAGTCGCCTGGGTCACCCTGACCTGGTGCAGGGACGTGCTATGTCATGATCTCATGTCAGACCACAGCTCTCTAGATGACAGGTGACATCTGCAGCCTGACATTTGCTGCCAACTGAGGTGCTGCAGGGGTGTTGGCAGATTGTTGGCGTTCCTTAAACGGCTTTAGAGACACGCATACATATACACATGCACGCGCGCACACATATGCAAACACACACACGCACACACATGCACGCACACACGCACACACACATACGCAAACCCGAGCTTCTACGCACACACACGCATGCAAACGCGAGCATCTACACACATACACTGAATGACAATAGAAAACTATAGGACAGCCCTAGAACTAGTGCACTAAATGTCTTAGTCTGGCCAACACAACGTCACACAATTGAAGTGATTTGTCACCCAACACAACCTCACACAATTGAAGTGATTTGTCACCCTGACAGTGCAACAAAAGAACAGGGGGGGGGGGGGAGTTGACAAACAAAATCTTACCCTGATTGTAATGCCTGGGGGGGGGGGGTGTCTAAGGCGGCGCAATGTCTGAAGGGGAGGGGTGATTAGGATGGAGAGAAAAACTTGCAGGGACCACAGTGAGAGCTGGCTGACATTTCTATACACTAGGGTAGGGTGGGGGGGGGGGGTGTCTAAGGCGGCGCAATGTCTGAAGGGGAGGGGTGATTAGGATGGAGAGAAAAACTTGCAGGGACCACAGTGAGAGCTGGCTGACATTTCTATACACTAGGGTAGGGTGGGGGGGGGTTGTCTAAGGCGGCGCAATGTCTGAAGGGGAGGGGTGATTAGGATGGAGAGAAAAACTTGCAGGGACCACAGTGAGAGCTGGCTGACATTTCTATACACTAGGGTAGGGTGGGGGGGGGGGTGTCTAAGGCGGCGCAATGTCTGAAGGGGAGGGGTGATTAGGATGGAGAGAAAAACTTGCAGGGACCACAGTGAGAGCTGGCTGACATTTCTATACACTAGGGTAGGGTGGGGGGGGGGGTGTCTAAGGCGGCGCAATGTCTGAAGGGGAGGGGTGATTAGGATGGAGAGAAAAACTTGCAGGGACCACAGTGAGAGCTGGCTGACATTTCTATACACGAGGGTAGGGTGGGGGGGGTGTCTAAGGCGGCGCAATGTCTGAAGGGGAGGGGTGATTAGGATGGAGAGAAAAACTTGCAGGGACCACAGTGAGAGCTGGCTGACATTTCTATACACTAGGGTAGGGTGGGGGGGGGGGTGTCTAAGGCGGCGCAATGTCTGAAGGGGAGGGGTGATTATGATGGAGAGAAAAACTTGCAGGGACCACAGTGAGAGCTGGCTGACATTTCTATACACTAGGGTGGGGGGGGGGGTGTCTAAGGCGGCGCAATGTCTGAAGGGGAGGGGTGATTAGGATGGAGAGAAAAACTTGCAGGGACCACAGTGAGAGCTGGCTGACATTTCTATACACTAGGGTAGGGTGGGGGGGGGGGTGTCTAAGGCGGCGCAATGTCTGAAGGGGAGGGGTGATTAGGATGGAGAGAAAAACTTGCAGGGACCACAGTGAGAGCTGGCTGACATTTCTATACACTAGGGTAGGGTGGGGGGGGGGGGGGGGTGTCTAAGGCGGCGCAATGTCTGAAGGGGAGGGGTGATTAGGATGGAGAGAAAAACTTGCAGGGACCACAGTGAGAGCTGGCTGACATTTCTATACACTAGGGTAGGGTGGGGGGGGGTGTCTAAGGCGGCGCAATGTCTGAAGGGGAGGGGTGATTAGGATGGAGAGAAAAACTTGCAGGGACCACAGTGAGAGCTGGCTGACATTTCTATACACTAGGGTAGGGTGGGGGGGGTGTCTAAGGCGGCGCAATGTCTGAAGGGGAGGGGTGATTAGGATGGAGAGAAAAACTTGCAGGGACCACAGTGAGAGCTGGCTGACATTTCTATACACTAGGGTAGGGTGGGGGGGGGGGTGTCTAAGGCGGCGCAATGTCTGAAGGGGAGGGGTGATTAGGATGGAGAGAAAAACTTGCAGGGACCACAGTGAGAGCTGGCTGACATTTCTATACACTAGGGTAGGGTGGGGGGGTGTCTAAGGCGGCGCAATGTCTGAAGGGGAGGGGTGATTAGGATGGAGAGAAAAACTTGCAGGGACCACAGTGAGAGCTGGCTGACATTTCTATACACTAGGGTAGGGTGGGGGGGGGTGTCTAAGGCGGCGCAATGTCTGAAGGGGAGGGGTGATTAGGATGGAGAGAAAAACTTGCAGGGACCACAGTGAGAGCTGGCTGACATTTCTATACACTAGGGTAGGGTGGGGGGGGGGGGTGTCTAAGGCGGCGCAATGTCTGAAGGGGAGGGGTGATTAGGATGGAGAGAAAAACTTGCAGGGACCACAGTGAGAGCTGGCTGACATTTCTATACACTAGGGTAGGGTGGGGGGGGTGTCTAAGGCGGCGCAATGTCTGAAGGGGAGGGGTGATTAGGATGGAGAGAAAAACTTGCAGGGACCACAGTGAGAGCTGGCTGACATTTCTATACACTAGGGTAGGGTGGGGGGGGGGGGTGTCTAAGGCGGCGCAATGTCTGAAGGGAAGGGGTGATTAGGATGGAGAGAAAAACTTGCAGGGACCACAGTGAGAGCTGGCTGACATTTCTATACACTAGGGTAGGGTGGGGGGGGGGGGTGTCTAAGGCGGCGCAATGTCTGAAGGGGAGGGGTGATTAGGATGGAGAGAAAAACTTGCAGGGACCACAGTGAGAGCTGGCTGACATTTCTATACACTAGGGTAGGGTGGGGGGGGGGGGTGTCTAAGGCGGCGCAATGTCTGAAGGGGAGGGGTGATTAGGATGGAGAGAAAAACTTGCAGGGACCACAGTGAGAGCTGGCTGACATTTCTATACACTAGGGTAGGGTGGGGGGGGGGGTGTCTAAGGCGGCGCAATGTCTGAAGGGGAGGGGTGATTAGGATGGAGAGAAAAACTTGCAGGGACCACAGTGAGAGCTGGCTGACATTTCTATACACTAGGGTAGGGTGGGGGGGGGGTGTCTAAGGCGGCGCAATGTCTGAAGGGGAGGGGTGATTAGGATGGAGAGAAAAACTTGCAGGGACCACAGTGAGAGCTGGCTGACATTTCTATACACTAGGGTAGGGTGGGGGGGGGGTGTCTAAGGCGGCGCAATGTCTGAAGGGGAGGGGTGATTAGGATGGAGAGAAAAACTTGCAGGGACCACAGTGAGAGCTGGCTGACATTTCTATACACTAGGGTAGGGTGGGGGGGGGGTGTCTAAGGCGGCGCAATGTCTGAAGGGGAGGGGTGATTAGGATGGAGAGAAAAACTTGCAGGGACCACAGTGAGAGCTGGCTGACATTTCTATACACTAGGGTAGGGTGGGGGGGGGGTGTCTATGGCGGCGCAATGTCTGAAGGGGAGGGGTGATTAGGATGGAGAGAAAAACTTGCAGGGACCACAGTGAGAGCTGGCTGACATTTCTATACACTAGGGTGGGGAGGGGGTGTCTAAGGCGGCGCAATGTCTGAAGGGGAGGGGTGATTAGGATGGAGAGAAAAACTTGCAGGGACCACAGTGAGAGCTGGCTGACATTTCTATACAATAGGGTAGGGTGGGGGGGGGGTGTCTAAGGCGGCGCAATGTCTGAAGGGGAGGGGTGATTAGGATGGAGAGAAAAACTTGCAGGGACCACAGTGAGAGCTGGCTGACA